GACTGTCTGCTCGCGCCAGCCTCCTGGATACGTTTATGGCTATCTCTGGACTTTCATTTCCTTTTGTTGGGGCCGATCTTTTGTGGGCCCATTCTTCGCCCCTTCCTATCTTCCTTCTTCTTCAGGCCCTAGGCCCATTAGGCCCGTACCCCATCAATCATAATACTTTGATTTTTAATATTGTTCTTTATATACATAATATTACCTGAAACTTTGAGTTGACAATATTTTATATGATAATATTTTAAGAGAATGGTAATACTTTAAAAGTTTTATATACTAATTTCAGTACGTGACAAACATCACCAAACTCAATTTTACTAATAATTACAAGGAAAAATCTTAATTTTGACCCCTAAATTGTTACTGATTATGCAATTCCATCTTTGAAATCAAAAGGAAAATGAGAAGAATATAAAGAAAGAATTATCTAAGGATAGTTACAAAATGTCTGATTCTTGATACAAATAAACAATCTCTCATAAGCCAAAGCCATTTTAGTGGCAGTGAACATGGAAGATGCATATTCCTTGCACGCCTTTCCTCTCCTCGCTAGCCTCGCCGGACCTTCAGCCACCGCCGTTTCCAGCGCCTCCACCAACGACTCCACATTCGGAGAAAACATGAACCCAAACTCATCTTCAACAACGATTGTACCTTTGATACTAGGAAACCTCGACGCCATTACCGGTTTTCCGCTCATCATCGCCTCCATTAACGTAAGATCGAGCCCCTGTGGCCTGAGCGTTGGGTTGACAAAGATATCGATTCCGTTGTAGAATGCGCGCAGCTCCGATGGGTGCATTGAGCCTAGAACGACCACCTGCGGCCCCAATTCCTTGTATCTCTGTTCCCATGGCCCTGAACCTGCGACGACGAGGTATATGTCGGGGTGTTTTTGGATTAGTTTGGAGAAGGCCTCGTAAAGAATGGGGTGGCCTTTGTCTTTGACTAGTCTGCCGGCGATTCCGAGGACCAAATTTGAATCTTTTGGGATTCCGATCTTGGACCGGAATTCGCGGCCTAACGTTGGGTCAGTACGGAAATCATCCTCGTTGACTCCGTTGACGATGACGTGGACTCTTTTGGTCGGGATTTGGTACACGTCTCTGAGCATTTCGCCGCAGCTGTCGCTGATGGCGATATGGTGGGCGTAATTGTTGAAGAATCTGATTTCGTTGAGGACTTTGGGGATCATGGTTTGAAGGGTTTGGTTAAAAGCAGGGGAGATTGGTTCGTTCTGGGGGCGAATTAAATCTTGAAAAATGGCGGACTGGACGCTCTCTAAGGCGATTCCGTGCCACGACACGGCGAGATTGGGGATGCCGGCGGCGACGTGGTGGGGCAACGCCACGCTTTCCGAGTGGATTACGTCGAACGCCGCCTTCCGGTTCTCTTCCTCAAACTGTTCCCACGCTTTGTTGTATCGCCACCGCCCCGGTTCCCCGTCGTGCCAGTGAATGACCGGAGAAGGGCTGGTTGTGGCCGGCGGCGTGCCGGTTTCCAGCGGTGGAGAACTGAAGACGTGCACCTCGTGGCCGCGGCGGGCTAGCGCCGTATGCAGCGTGTGAGCGTGACGCTCCATGCCGCCCGGCGTGGCACTGGTCGGCCACTTCCTAGAGAAAACCGCGATCTTGAGAGCCTTCAATGGGGGTTTCCCGCCGGAGAATTCTAGGCGGTTCCATGAGAAGTCAACGGCGCGGAGATCGCCGGACCAGGGCGTGGTTTTGGAAGAAGAGTTGCCGGTGCAGAAGGAGATGGTGGGGGTGCGGAGGAGGAAAAGCGCCGGGACGGTGAAAAGGACGACGAAGAAAAGGGTGGTGGAGAGGCCGGAATGTAAAGAGAGAAGTGGCTTCTTGGCGAGCTTGGCATTGTTAAAGGCCATTGTATTGTTTGTCACAAAACAAAACAATTCGATGAGTTTCAGAATAGTACAAAGGTGATAAGATCATAAGACGTTGTTTTGTTGGTAATATATTTTATTCAAAGTTGAAAAGCTACGGAAAGTGGGGGAAATTAGGCACGCACTGAAGCAAACTGCGACGCTTTTAGTGCGTTCCCCACGTTTCTTTGAACAATACACTTAACACTTTGGCGTGAGCTTTCCATACAATTTAGACTTTCAAGATATAGTTAATATAATGTGACTTTAACCCAACCATGCTAATGCTAATAATGCTACCTCATTCTATATCATGTATCTAAAAATAAAGATAATATTACTTATACTAAATTGCTTTGCATCACATATAACGGGGTGCTTGGTTAGAGCCTTAGAATGATGGAATTATGTGGGAAAGAAATTACAATTTTATGGGTGATGAATAATTACTGGGAATAAAGTGAGATTTTAAATTTCAGTGTTTAATTTACAGGAATAGAATTACTAGGAATTTTAATTCCAATGTTTGGTATACATGTGAATTGAAAGGGAATAAGTAGTATAAAGTCTAAAATGCGCATACTTATTATTATTATTATTAGAGTTAATTTTCAAAATGATCCTTCGACTATGTATTTTTCTCAAATTGGTCATTTGACTTTTAATTTTTCTAAAGTGGTCATCCGTTAGCTTTGATATTAAATTGATGTTAAAATGATGAGTAAAACTGAAAATTTAAATTTTATACTCCCATTTTAAACAATCTGTGATTCCTTTTAGTAGTCCGTACACATATTTTTTCAAATTAAATTTTACTCGAACCCCTAAATCTATAATTAAAATGTGGTCAATTTAAAAGGTAAAAGCATCTTTTAAAGTACTGAGTGTATATTTACTCTCTGTCCTTTCAAGACGGCGGCATTTGTGGGATGATGAAAGACAGCACATTATAAGATTGAATATATACAGGTCACGAAGCCTCGTGGTTAGCAAACAAATCCTGCATATGCACAGAAATTGAAGCTTGTGGTTTCGAGGCTTTTACCTTTCAACCAAAAATCCAACAATTTATTTATTGGAGTGCAGAAATACAAGTGTATTCATATACTAATATTGTAGTATGGATGCCCTCGATTTACACATCTTCAGACTGGCAGTGCTCAATAGAATATATAAGTCAGACACTAAAAAACCCAAACAATATTGGAATGCGCTGATTGGGCAATTTTAAATGCTAAAGTGGCAGGCATCTCCAATTCTCCATCAATAAAATAATAACAGAAGGTTCAGATTCTCATATATCTGAATTCACAGCAATATAATTCTGACTCCACTCGCAAAAAAAAAAAAAAAAAAAAAAAAAGTGAGTCTCTCAATATATAATATCAATCCGTGAATGAGCAGTAGATAGTGATTTTAACAATACACTGAACACTTTGGCAAATCAAAGATATTGTGCATATAATATTTTTAAAAAATAATAATTTTAAAGGAAAAATTCATTTTAAATTAGTTAAATTTGGTTGAAAGTTTGAAAGAATTGAAATGAATGGAGGTAGAGTAGCATATAAAAGTCAACCATTAAGGTTGGCGAAGCAGACGCGTTTGAACGTGGGGGTGGCGTCCTGGACTTGCATAGAGTCTATATATATGTATTTAAAAAAAAAATAAAAATTTTACAAGTTAAATCGTTATATGCTGCATGCCTGCATGCCATTGTCTTAATTTGCAGCTGCCCTTTGCTTTCACTTTAATTCAGCACCATGTCCCTCCGTAATTTTAAGAAATTTAATTTAAATTTCCTTCATTTTAATGTGTTTTTACATTTAAAAAGATTGGAACAAATATGTAAATCAGACTACTTGATTAATTTTGGGCCGACAAAGAATAATGAGTTGAGAGACTGTGGTGCTAAAGCAACTCTCTGATGGTATATATGAAGAAGCTCTTATAATCAGACGTCTTGGGTGGTTAAATGAGCAACTCTCTGATGGTATATATAGTGAGGTGAAGTGATGAAAGTGCACAAGTTTTTGTTAAATGAGCTACCAGTTGGGGCCAAGAGGGAATCCGCCCAAAGTTGGAAATTAGCGAGCGACATATAACCGTGGTGAGCGATTATTTTGATCAGAACCGTACTCAAAGCCTTAATATAATCAAAGGAACTGATTTTGTTGCATAGCTTAGCTTCTTGCATACATAAATTAAGACGTGGGCAGAAATATGGTTCCGGGTTTCCAAACACACCCTAAAGTTACTATTTTGGTGCATTTCTTTCTGGCATGCAAGTGCTCTCTGATCTGCATATAATTTTTATTCAATACCCAAAATGGGAAAGGGCTTATCCTTGCACTCCACTGAGAGAATTGTGTTGCGCCGTGGTTTATATATGGTGGGAAAGAATGTGAACACTTTTCTGATCTCTTTCTTAAAGTTTTCTCTTATCAATCATGCAATAGTTTAATTTAATTTACTGTTGATTGCTAATTGAATAATCCTAGTGTTAGACAATTTGCTACTAATTATGGAATCTATTAATTCACTTATGAGCTCTTCTATTTTATATAGTATATATAAGTGTTCCTTGCTCATAATTGTTTCATAGAGAAAATTTCAATTTTGGTCACATGATTATAGGGGCATTGTTAATTTCAACACTTCTTTTAAAAGTGTCAATTTAGTACCTTGACTATGTAATTTTTGTCAATTTTGATCACTTTGGCCAAATTGACGGTCAAATTTGGCCGGAAAAATTTAATCCAACATTTAGTCTAGAAAGGATCAAAAGACAATTTTGCCCCTCAGTTTATATACTAAATGTTTGATTAAATTTTTCCGGCCAAATTTGACCGCCAATTCGACCGGAGTGTCCAAAATTGACAAAAATTACATAGTCAAGATACTAAATTGACACTTTTGAAAGTCAGGTGCCGAAATTAACAATGCCCCTATAGTCATGTGACCAAAATTGAAATTTTCTCTTGTTTCATGTGTGCGGCTTTTCCTTTTAATTTCTAATACTCAAGGTTACAAAATAAAGAAATTTAACGTGGTTAATTGCAGTTTGTTTTCTTATTGATTTATTAATGCATTTTAACGGTACATATGATGATCCATACATCTTTCAACAAAGATATATTCATTGATGTTTAACATGTCTTTTGGACGTACGTTTTGAATCAGTTCACATGTCTAGCAATCTAACTCCCTTACACAGCCATAACAATTGGGCTTCTAACTCTATACTTTCCACTAGTCCACATACAGGGTGTTATACACAGAAAAATTAAAAGAAAAAAAAAAATTGTACGTTGTGGTTGTTATCTGTGGTCATAAGTGCAGATCTGATGACAGAAACACTGAAACTTGAGTTTCAGTCAAAATATCAACGCCGGGTGCAGAAATGTCTGGCTGCAATACGCCAAAAAACCAAAAAATAAAAAATAAAAAATAAAAAAAATCATCCATGCATCCAATGTTGTTTGTTTGCCCGTAGGTGTCATGCATAAACTGGAGATAATTAACATACTTTAAGAAGATTTACGCTAGCAAGAGAGGGTCCCCGCGATGAGAAGTCTATTAGTACCGGGGCTGGTTTAGACCCGATTACTGTTATTGTGGGGAGAGTTCTTGCAACAAGATTCCTTAATTCACAAAAATTAATTAAATGTATGTTGAGAATTCATAATAGAATTATATTAAAAAAAAAAAAAAGTAATTTTAAATGGCAAATGCATGATGTTTACCGGGTTGAATATAGATAACTGAAGATTTGGGTGGCCTCCTCTTCAGTAATAGTTGATCCAAGAAATTCACCCAAATTTAAGAAAATCAGTCTTTTTTGTCTGGAGACTATGAAAATTATATCTAAACCATCTGCGCGTATGACTTCTGTTTGTCTAACCAATAAGGGCATCATCAATAGTTGGGGATTTTACTCCAAAAATTTAGGAAGATTTTGAAATAGTATAATTTTCTTTGTCAAGTTTTTCACAAATGGGAAGGGGAGATTTTGAGGTGGATGTTGAAACCCACAAAAATTTGGGGTAAAATTCAACTATTGAGGATACCCTTATTGGTTAGACAAACAGAAGTCATACGCACAGGCGGCTTAGGTATAATTTTCATAGTGTCCAAATAAAAAAGAATGATTTCCCTAAATTTCGGTGAATTTCTTGGATCAACTATTACTGAAGAGGAGGCCACCAAATCTTCAGTTATCTATATTCAACCCGGTAAACATCATGCATTTGCCATTTAAAATTACTTTTTTTTTTTTTTTTTAATATAATTCTATTATGAATTCTCAACATACATTTAATTAAGGAATACTTAGACTCATACATATTAGTTTGGCTCAGAATAATTTTCCCACTAGCCTTAACAGGGTTTAACGTCTCAGGCAAACAATCCCTGAAACAAATTAACACCACATTAACATATATATATATAGTACTGCAAATTTTCACTGACTTTTAGCTATAACCATTGAAATACATACATTGTTTCGCAGAATTTGGTTTAAGGTTGTTTGTGTTGACTACATACCTTGATGACTGTGTTGTCGCCAAAGATGACTTGCGACTGGAAATAGCGGTGGATGGTGGAGGCGGCAACCAGACGGTGAATATCCACGGTGTCTCGTTCCACAGGGTACGGGGGATGGGCCAGCGTTTGCTGCTGCGCAAACTACGGCAATCCCTCTTTCGACGGCGAGAAATGTGGTGATGAGCTGAGCTTGATCCTTTGGCATGGCGCCATTGGCGGATGGGGCCGCAGCGCGACCATGTAAACTTTATCATCTTCATAGTGATTAGGATGATGATGATGATGATGAGGGGCTTCAATTCAACCAAAGAAGCATCCCTATATATAGCTGAACAAGTTTGTTGAATGAGCTGAGGTAGAATATAGCAGAGGGCCAAGAGGGCGACCCAAAGTTGGAAATTGCTTAGCTTATCCCAACACTCCATTGATGCAGCAGTGGTGGTGGTGGCTTGTTGTGTCGAAATTCATATCAAAGATGGAAGAATAACAAGAAGATTTGTAATTTTATGTAACAAAGTTTGAACTTATTAGTTTTTTTTTTTTTTTTTTAATCTTATATATCATTGATGAAAGAATGGCAATAAAGATGTGTAATTTAGGTAATACCATATCAAATCCTGGTGTATTTCCCTTTCAAGCCAATTTCTAAGTAAAAATTCTTGTGTCATTTACCTATTGTTTTCATACTTCATTTCAATAAATTTATGTTAGTAAAACAATGAAATTTGTACATATTTAATATTGATCTATCTGATGCTAAATTTGTTGATATTTTTTTATTTTTTATTTTTTTATTTGTAATGAGATGATTGTCTTAATAATAATAATAATAATTTCACTATCTACTAATAATATATAAATAATAAATATAAATTATATAAGAGCCAATGTTAGTAATAATATAAGGTTATAACCGGAATTAAAATGTGTTGGTGTATTTTTTTTTTTTGAAAATATGTGTTGGTGTATTTGTTTGTTGTAATTAGTTATACCTTCTTCTTTTTCTTTTTAATCATAAAATCTTTTTCAATTATGCTCTTATTCTTTTACATTTTATTTTTCCAATTTATCCTCAACCTTGTTAATACTCTAACAGAGGGAGTAACATGAAATCAATATATATACCATCACAAATTTCTTTTACAAGCATAAGGGCAAATTTGGGAGTTAAAGACAATTAATTTCTAATTTATTATTTGACTTTCAACTCTCCACCTAGATGCATGCCCGTTATTGTTATTGTTATTGTTATTGTTATTATTATTATTATTATTATTTATTATTTATTATTATTTTTTTTGTTGAACATTGCAATTATTATTTATATTCTCTAAATATTTGGTAATTTTATGAGTTTATATTAAAGTAAGAAATGAAATTGAATTTATTGTTAATTTGTGAATTATCATAAAAATAGATTTACATTATTTAAGAAAGTTATTAGGTATCATTGTTGTAAAACTAATTAAAATTGTCAGTATGTCAATAAAAATTTTATGTACTGACTTAATACTTATAGTCAATGTATATAAATAATCATATAATTGGTCAATCAAGTTTGATTCACTTTTTGAAGGTTTACATGTAAATATAATATCCCCTTACACTATAAAATAATTGCTTTATATAAGACTTATGTAATTTTACCTTTATGTCAATCTAATAATTTTATCTTCATTTTTATACTATGAATATGTTAGAATGTATTAAAAAATTAATATAAAATTTAATATTAACTTTGGTCAATTAATTAGAATCACGCATTGACATTAATGAAATGATACACTTAATTTACAATATATATTCAATGTAGATGATAAACTATATATGCATGTTATCATTGTCTTTTTGGGTTAGAATGAGTCTTTTTGGATTACGAGGATTTGGTCCTATTTAATTTAAAAATACACATCGAGCATCAGATTATTCGCGCAACGCACGTGTGGCAACTAGTATCTATATAAATTCATATCAATGAGTCCGTCTAACATTCTAATTTGATGTAAAAAACATAGAAAATCAAGTATGTGGAATATGATTCACGTACTTAGGGAGCGTTTGGTTCAGGTTATATAAGATAACCAAGGTTATATTTGCTTGATAATATAATATTCTCATGTTTGGTTCACGTTATGTAACTTTTCCAGGTAATGTCAGATAACCTCCGCATTAAGTTTTTAGCGATTGGAAGGGAATGTGAGATACCCTCCAATTTATTAGGTAATCTCACATTCCCTTGTCTTATTACTAATGTTGGGCTTTGGACGTTTTAATCAATTTATCTTATTACCGTTGTCTTATTTACATATCTTAGTTTTAAACCAAACACAGGAATCTAACATCCCCAGTAATCTAACATTCCCTAAGGTAATCTAACATTCCGTGAACCAAACACCACCCTAGAGGTTATGAATTCAATTCTTGTCAACATTCTATTATTTGTGGTTGACTCTTTTTACGTGGTTTGTGGGCTATTATACAATATTTAAAGGTAAAATTTATATTCTTTCATGTCAAAATCATGGCCTGAGGATTTGTATTGTGTGATCGAGTTGCTGTCTCTATTACCTATACCGATGGATAACGACGGAATGAGCGACGTATAACCGTGAAGAAGCGCAACAGCCGGATGGATAAGAGCTTTTGCATTAAGCCATTAAGCAAGCAACTGATTTTGGTTGCTAATTCCATATGGTAAAACGTGTTAGCACAGATATGGTTTGTGTTGTTAGTGTTGTTTTCTCCAGATTTAGAAATGCCATCATCGTATTGTAGTTTACACACATTCTGGCATAAAATATGGTAGGGGTGGCGCAGCTGGATTCCCGGCGGTTGTTGTAACTTGTAAGCGATGGTGCACCGTCGGATCCGGCGGCGTCTCTCTCTTTCTCGGTGCCGCAGCTTAATGGAGATGAAGCTGATAAGGGGTAAATCTGGGCCGGGTCTGAAAAAATGGCCCAGACCCAGTTCTTTTTCAAAAAAGGGCCTGCTGGGGCAATTTATATCCTACACCACGGCGCACGTTGCACTATGCGCTCAGATGCAAAACGACGTCGTTTTATTTATTTATTTATTTTTTGAAATTTCCCGCCCCAGTGAATGGCAGTAGTTTTTTCTTTAAAAAAAACCCGTTGTTCAAGAATGTACATAATGTTATACTAGAATACACATAATTGTATACATGAATGTACATAATTATATAACAAAATATACATACTCTTTTTAAAAGATAATACACATAATCTAACATAATACATAATAAACATAAACTTTTAACATAAAACACATCAATTATTAACATAATACACATAAATTTTCTGATTCGGATGTACATAATTGTATAAAAAGAATGTACATAATTGTATAAAAAATGTACATAACTGTATGAACCAATACACATAACTGTATGAACAAATACACATAACTGTGTGAACAAATACACATAATCCCAGCAACTTTCTACCGCGCCTCCCAAAACGATGTCGTTTTGGAAGGCGCGCGGCGCACAGTGCTATATGCGCCGTGGTGTAGGGTATAACGATTGGCCTGCTGGTTTATATTTTAATTTAAGCTTAAATTTCTCATTTTGGGTCGACCCAGTTTCTTTAAAATTTCCTCCCACCATTTTGTATTGGGCCTTCATATTTTCAATTTGAGATGTTAAGTGAATATTTTCCCATCAAAATGCGATACTTATTGATATGTAAGTTCTCAAAAAAAAAGTTTAAAAAAACACACTCTATGGGAATCGCGTCCAATGTGCCAAATCTGCCAGTCAAAACTACTCAATCGCCGGTCAAAGTACTATAACGCCGATGAAACGGTCTGCCGCCGATTCGACAACAACTCCGCCATTAGCGGCCTAAAGGCGCCGCACGATGCCCCTCAACGTCGCCGATGTTCGCCATCAAACATCGCCGCCGAAAGGAAGAAAATGATGGACCTCAGGATTTCTCATTCATTTTTAAAAAAGCAAAAAAAATATTATTATATAATATAGTATACGGTACATATATAATATGTGTACCAGACTCAAATCAAGAAATATAATACACACCGGAGGTGTTTTTGTTCCAAATAGAAGTGAAAAGACCAAATTGTCCATGGTATATCGGAGCTATTGCCGGCTTGTTGACGGACTACGGTCGAAGGGACTAAATCAACTAAAAACAATTATTTTCGGGGGTCAAATCGATAAATAAGCGATTGAGAGACTACATTGACAATTCGCTAATAATTGAGGGACCAAATCGTTGTTTAACTCTTATTATTATATTATATCAATGGAACTCGATCATAGTATATGCAATCACCTTTTAAATTGTAAATTTGTAATGATATCTTAAGCAAATAATAACACCTAAAGTCAACTTATTTAAAATGTGCTAATATTTATGTAAATATAATTCGTTAATTTGATGAGACCGCACGAGGTAGTGGCCTGGCTGAGTTAAATGATAGTCTAATATGGTCATTGACTTCTTGTACTGTAAATTCTAGGTATAAAATTTAATATAATCATTAATAGTATTATTATTTTGTCATTAGGGTGTAATACCAAAATAAAAATGATTTAATTGACCATTATTAAAAAATGGAGCATTTACATCTATAATTTTGTGTTTTGGTGAGTTAATTTGTTTGACCCATTAATGATCTATTGTAATCCTTTAAAAATTATAGACAGATATTGCATATTTAATTTGGACAAACTTTATCATGTTAACATCTGTACCACTCAATATTATCACCACTCATGATGCCATCATGTTTATATAAAATGGACATAGTTGTAAGATGTTTGTCATTCCAAACTTCATCAGCTTCTAAATCCATGGATTTAACCTTATTTTTTACGCTGTTTGTTTTTGCTTTGCTTTCTACTCAAACCATTGATGGCTTCACTGTTGAACTCATCCACCCTAATTCTCCTTCAAACCCATATCGCAACCCTTCCAACAACCGGTTTGATTGGATCCGGCAAACGCATAACCCACGCGCCGCCTCTATCGACGGTTCTTCCAAATTCAAGACTTTCATAAAACCCTTGAATGGAGTACGCCATTGGTACGCCGCCGTTTGAAACCTACGGCCTTATCGATACCGGCAGCGACGTCACCTGGACTCAGTGCGAACCATGCATCCATTGCTTCCCACAAAGCTTGCCCATATTTGATCCGAAACACAGCAAATCGTACAAGACGGCCATGTGCAATGATTCGAGTATCAACTGTTCTCTCGATTACGTCTTTTACTGTTCTAACGACAATGTTTGCCGGTACGACGTGATCTACAACGACTATTCCCGAACCCTCGGCGACGTTGCTACTGATACTCTCACCATCGGCGACGCTTCCTTCAAGAACGTTTTGCTGGGGTGCGGCCACCAGAATAAAGCCAAATTCTCAAACACCACTGCCTCTGGCATTGTTGGTCTCGGCTACTCTAACGCCTCGATCATCAAGCAATTGCGTGAACAAATTGGTGGAAAATTTGCTCACTGCTTCTCTCCTCAATCCGATTCTAAAAGCTATATAAGTTTCGGCACTGACGCCATAGTTACGGGTCCTGATACTGTTATAATTCCCTTGACCATAACCACCGGAGATCCATTTTACTGGCTCGTTTTAGACAGCATGAGTGTGGGCAATAAAAACTTTCCGCTCGAGGTTCGTCCGGAAGATGCCGGCAACATTATCATTGATTCAGGGACGACAGTGACATTCCTGCCGCCCAATGTGTTCGATGGTATGAAATCGGAATTTATGAAACACATCGATCACACTCCGATAGATGATCCTCAAGGCTTTTTCCAGTTATGTTACTCGGCCACGGCAATGAAAAGTGGTATTAAGTTGCCAAAAGTTGTTGCACATTTTTCGGGAGGCGATGTAGAATTATCTCCTCGGGGATTATTCGAAGAAGTAGAAGAAGGTGTATCTTGTCTCACTATAGTTCCATATTATTCGATGGGTACATCCATCTTAGGCTCTCCATCTCAGGTAGACTACCTAGTTGGATTTGATTTGGAAATAAATGCAGTCAGCTTCAAGCCTGCAGCTGATTGCTCCAAATTTTAACATTTCAATTCCTTGTGTTATAACTGGACTGTAGCTTTAATTTAATAAGTCTTACAGAAAATATTTGATGCATGTTTGTTCAATTTTGGCCGAATTAAACCCTTTGCAAATTAAAATTTGAGTTTGGAATAATTTCCTTTTGCTTTATTATAAAGGAAGAGAATACCCACATATACAAGCTATTTTGTCAAATGTCACCACCCCAATACCTCCCACATAGAGAAGCAACTTGGTACCACAAGATCCTTGGCAAATAATTTCTTTTTTTAATGACACATATATAATATTAATCCGTAAATGAACAATAAATAATGATTAAAAAAATTATTTATGTTGTGTTGCAAGTTTATTTGCAGACCTTTAGCTCGCGAAGAACAACAAAATAGAGAGAAGAAAATGATGAAATGAGGAATGTATATTGCTTTATTTCATTTCACACCTTCTGTACAAGATTACAAAGTATATATATATATATATATATATATATATATATATATATATATATATATATATATATATACTTTGATTTATAATAAATAAAGAAAACAGATACACAAAAAAAAAAAAAAAAAAAAAAAAACACAAAGAATATCTACTTCATATTGTTCTTAATTGGTATTGCTGATGATAAATTGATAATGATGATGAGAGGCTTGAACTAACCAAACCTAATATCCCTATATAAGTTTCGGCATTGACGCCATAGTTAAGGGTCCTGATGTCGTTTCAATTCCCTTCCTCATATCCCCTATGAAACCATTTTACTGGCTCGTCTTAGACAGCGTGAGCGTCGGCAACAAAACTTTCCCGCTCCAGCGATCTTCCCTTGAATTCTACAGCTATGGCAACATTATAATTGATTCAGGGATGACAGTGACACACCTCCCATCTGATGTGTTCGATAGTATGAAATCGGAATTGATGAAACAGATCCAGGAGACTCCGATAGATGATCCTCAAGGCTTTTTCGGGTTGTGCTTCTCAAGTGTAAAAATTAAAGTGCCCAAAATTGTAGCACATTTCGTGGGAGGGGATGTAGAGTTGTCACCTCGGAGATTATTCGAACAAGTAGAAGAAGGTATCTCTTGTCTCACAATAGTTCCAAGTTATATGGAGGGTGTATCCGTCTTCGGTATTAAGTCCCAGGTAGACTACCTTGTTGGCCTTGATTTGGAAATGAATGCAGTCGCCTTTAAGCCTGCTGATTGTTCCAAATTTTGAGCATTTCAATTCAGTTGGTTTTGTGTTTTGGACTATAGTAGTCATTAATTGAATAAGTTTTATAACATCATTTTAATTAAGAGTAGTAATGTTGCGCTATATTATCAATTAGGCTAGAGCTTGAGGCGGGAGGTCCGGGGTGGCAGTTTACGGGGTATTATGGGTTTTCTGGAAGGGCACAGAGGAGAGAGGCCTGGCAGATGTTGCGGAATTTGGCTGGGCAAAGTACAGAGCCGTGGGTTATAATGGGTGACTTCAACGATTTATTGCATCAAAGTGAAAAGAGGAGCCGAGCACCCCACCCGCCCTGGTGTATTACGGGGTTTGGGGATGCAGTGGCGGATTGTGGGCTTCAGGATATGCCGTTTTCTGGATACCAGTATACATGGGTCCGCTCACGGGGAAGGAGTAATATGGCGGAGGAAAAGCTAGACCGGATTCTCGTGACTGAGGACTGGAGGACTATGTTTGCAGAGACTACGTCGTGTTCCTTACCTTGTGTTTATAGTGATCACATTCCGTTGCTTCTAACTCCGATAGTTGCGGTAAATGGTGTGCGTCGGAAACGGTTTCTCTTTGATAATATGTGGCTCAGGGAGGATAGGTGTCGTGAAATTGTAGCTCACAGCTGGGAACGAACTAGAGGGCAGGATGTGTTACATAGAATTGAAATCTGTGGCCGTGACATCTGGAGATGGGGGAAGTCTTATAACAGGGACTTCAAGAGACGAATAGACCAGTGCAAGTTAAGGTTGGAGAGGTTGCAATCACGGTATGACCAAGGTAGTGTGGCAGCATATGAGCAAGCCGAAAGGGATTATATAGCTGTGTTAGAGCAGCAGCATTATTTTTGGAAACAGAGAGCGAAAGAACACTGGTACAAGGGGGAGATTGCAATAGTAGGTATTTCCATAATTCAGTAAAATCAAGGAGGAGAAGGAATAGGGTAACCAGGCTGAAGGATGAAGATGGGAACTGGGTGGAGGGTACGGATGAAATAGGCCGGGTAATGCAAGGTTATTTTTAGACATTGTTTGAGGCAGACCAAGGGGATATGAATGAAATTTTGGACCGTGTGGGGGTCAAAATTGGAGCACAGGATAATGCAAAGCTTTTGCGCCAGGTGACAGCAGAGGAGGTGCGAAAAGCGGTGTTTCAGATGCACCCAGACAAGTCTCCGGGACCAGATGGGTTGGGGCCTGGATTTTTTCAGCATTATTGGGATATTGTGGGGGAGGCAGTAACAGCTTTTTGCAAGGGGTTTATAACCACAGTAGAACTCCCATCAGTGAATGATACTTACATAGTGCTAGTCCCGAAGAAACACGTTCCGGAAACTATGAAGGATCTAAGACCAATAGCGTTATGTAATGTGGTGTACAAGATTGCCGCGAAGGTGTGCGCGAATAGGATGAAACATCTCTTGGATGGTATTATCTCGCCAGCTCAGAGTGCCTTTGTGCCAGGGCGGCTAATAACAGACAACATTATGTTAGCGTATGATGCCAATCACTATTTAAGGAGGAAGATGCAGCAGGGGAAGGAAGGAGTAGTGGTGCTGAAAGTGGATATGAGTAAAGCCTACGACCGTGTTGAGTGGGGCTTTCTGGATGCGATGATGGATAAGTTGGGGTTTGCCAGGCGTTGGATTGATATAATAATGGGAATAGTCAGAACAGTAAAGTATCATGTCTTATACAAGCAGCGGCAGCTAGGGCCTATTAATCCGGGACGGGGATTGAGGCAAGGGGACCCGTTGTCCCCTTATCTTTTTCTTTTAGTTGTGGAAGGCCTGAGTATTCTAATAGAGAAGTACATGGGAATGGGGATGTTGCATGGGGTGCGTGTAGTCCGTCATGCACCACCAATAACTCACTTACTGTTCGCGGATGATATTTTGGACAAACATACCCCTACCGTTATAACTTCCGTTATCTTTTCCACTATTCTTACCATGCACATGCATCCACCATATATTTTCTTATTTTCTTCATTAATAATAATATATAAACATTGTATATTTGAGTTATATGTTAATTATTACATAAAATATAAGTATCAAATTTATAAAAATGATTTACATTATTATTATTATTATTATTTAGAATAACTTAAATATCTAAAATCTAAATAAATTCTAAAATTTTAATGTAATGTATTAATATTGTGCACCTATTTTTTGCGCATCGCGCATAAAAAAATACTAGTTATTATATAATGCGTATCACAACCCTCAATTCTAAGAAGACAAAACACACATGCACTCTATGTTACATCAATCAACTACTTTTTATGTGAATTTTAGTTTTTTTTTGAAAGCCAATCTGGCGATTGTATTAATGAATCAAAGTCGTAATAGCGTTAGGAGGGATAGAATCACAGTACATAGCTTAATCCTGTGTAAAAGCTAACGAAGTTAAAGTATGCGCATGTAAATTAACCTGTCTAGAAACATAATTTAACGAAATACGACTAAACAAAGACGTAAGTGTTCTGCATTGATCAATTGTGACCCCAACATACGAATGAATTGGTGTGTCATGGTGCCGCATAGTTGTAGCCAATACCATGCAATCAGTGAGTAGACTTACTGATGTGTCGTTCTGTTCAAGCTGCCAAGATAGTGCCTCCTTATATACTTGTGCCTCAGCCATAAGTGGTTAGAAACAAACGGGTAATTTGCCATTCTTTGCTACCACAAAAGAGCCGTTCGGCGCAACAAGTATTATACCGTACGTGGCCTCGCCCGTGTCATGGTCTTCCGCCATCCGTTTTGGTGGGTGGCGCCGAAGCCGGAGCCGGCTGTGTCTGGCGGTACTGGGCAGTGCCGTAGGCCTGGAAAGTTGCGGCTGCCACTCTGCCAACATCGGCAGGCCACATCATAGACCCCTTCCATACGGCTGAGTTGCGGGTCCTCCAAATATGATATAACACGGCTACCATCAACCGGGTTTGCTCATCCGTTAAGACCGCCAAAGCCCCTTTTAGCCATGTTGTAAAAGAATCTGCAATAATATTAGTGATAGGCAATTGTGTTATATTCCAAACAAGTGTAGAATATTCATAGAGCACTAAAGCATGTAACACAACTTCATGATCTAAAGCACACATTGGGCATATTGGATCCACTTCAACCCTTTTAATAATCAAATTAGTGGTTGTGGGTAGAATATCACAAATGGCTCTCCACAAAAACATCTTCCACTTGGGAGAGACTTTTAATTTCCACATTAAAATCCATTTATCAAACACAGCTAGATTATTCTCATAGTCCCCAACAATACGCCTATAGGCATTCTTCACAGTGTATGATCTCATAGTCAGGACTAATAGGGATCATACTTATCCGGTTCACATCTTCAGGAATAAACAGACCAGTTAAAATATGTGAATTCCATGTATGTGTTTGTAAATCAATCAAACCCGCGACCCGTGCCTCTCTTAATTCTTCTGGCATCTCTGTTTGGATTAAAGGGTTTGGGTTATCTGGTAGCCACGGGTGTCCCCATACCAAAGTTGTTTGTCCATTTCCAATTCTCCTACGCACCCCAGAGACTACCACTGCATGTGCCGCCATAATACTCCTCCAACAATAACTTGGGCAATTCCCAATAGTAGCATCAGTCAAACTAGTTGTAGGGTAATACCTTGCTTTATAAATTTTTGCTGCAAGCATTCCTGGATTTGTTAGAAAACGCTATGCCTGTTTTCCCAACATAGCAAGATTAAAAGCCCTAAGCTCCTTAAAACCCAAACCACCATACTTCTTTGTGAATTTTAGTTAATCAAGTCGATTAATTAATTTTACCAAATTAAATTATATGTAGGCATTTCAATTCAATAATTAATTTTATCAAATATAAAAATTAAATAAATTGAAAATTGAATGCATGAACATCTCCAATGATATAAGAGAATGCTATTTATATTAAATATTTTACATAAAATCTTGTAATAATATATTAATCGAAATGACTTGTAGTATATGCAATTGCCTCTTATATATATTACTAGTTCTACACGCGCATTGCGCGAATAAGTTAATGCCCAATGTTTATAATTAAATAAATATTTGAAAATATATCAATTTAAGATTATATATGAGAAGTTCATACATAAGTTAAATTTAACTATGTATCTCACAGTATATGAATACAATGTAATATAAGTGATTTATTATAATTGTTACTAAACCTTTTTTAAATAGTAACCAAGTATTTTTGTTGCAAAGGGTTCTAATATATTTAATGAATACACATATATACAATTGCTTGGCTCATAAATAGTAGAATTGTTGAGATTATTGAGAGTTTTTGCATAAGTCACTGTTTTACAAACTTTGCATTTGAGAAGTGCATTTTGCCACTTTTAAAGATCGAGTACAGTAAACGCTCAAGTGAAGCCTTAAACTATTTTCAAACCCTATATCTATTTTGAAAAATCATTATTTATTTTGCATTGAGAGTTGCATGATATTTGATTTCCAAAGTTGTGAGAAAGAGGAGTTGATTGAGATTATTTGTGCATGAGTATGCATAAGAAAAGTTGTGGCATGAGGCATATATATATATATATATATATATATATATATATATATATATATATATATATATATATATATATATATATATATAGTGAGGTAAATTGATTTTGGAGGCCCGTTAGGACTATGTCATTTCGGAAGGAAAAGTGAAAGAATGAAAGTTTGAGAAAGATTTGGACATTGCGGTCCATTGTGAGTAACTTGATCGATATTCATGCGTTACTAAGTTGGAATGTTGGATACTACCCGACGAGCTTATTTCTTTTTGGCTTTTCCTTTCACCTGTTTTACATGTGTTGCATCTAGATCATGTTGAGTTATATACCTTGTTATTGTTCATTGATGGGCTTGAAGGCTTGAGTATATATTGAGCTATGTTTACTCGTGTTTGTTAAGCATGACTATTGTGTACGTTGATTTATATGTTGACTAGGTTGCAAGCATATATATTTGATTTTGAGTTGTTGAGTTATTGTCCAAGTGTTGAAAGTACTTGAGTTATGTGTGCTTGCCAAATGCTTTTCAAAATCTATATTCTATAGTACTTTACATGAGTGGTTTATACTTAGAATTAATTTGCTAACTGGTTTATTCTCAAATTGTTTTGTAACCCCTTTCAGGTGGGCCCAGTTGTTGAGCGCGCACGAGAGTAATTAGTGCACAGATGAGCTTTTAGGGCCTAGTTATCTTCTTTTGATGTTTTGACTAGTGTTGTATTGTTGTTAGACTTTGTTACTTATGGATTCTTAGATTTCCGTTTTGTTGGTGTTGAACACCGGGGTCGTACCCCATGTTTAAATTTTCAATGAAGTTTGACTGTTAGTTTTCTTTCTTTTTTAGCCAGTGCAGTCACCTCGAGTGCTGATTGTGGCGGTAACACCCATTGGTTGGTTTAAATTAGCTTTAAGTCCTTGAATCTTTTGTTTATTTCGTGCTTAGCTTATCTTATTAAGCTAAGTGTTCGAGAATCTAGATTAAGAAAAGTGAGGTGTTACACTTTAAGTACAAGAATCATGTTTTACCCTTTTAGTCATTTATTTTAACATTAGATTAAAATGTCAAAAGTTCGACTCTCAATTACAAGTGTACCTACTTCACATACAAGTGCATGTAATTTTGTCTTGTTAACATTCATTGATCAGGTGTACCTACTTTCACCTAGATGCACCTAGTTATAACTATATATGCACTTAGATTTTCGCACTTGGGCGCGCCATTTGCACCAGAACGAAACTATATATATATATATATATATATATATATATATATATATATATATATATATATATATATATATATATATATATATATATATATATATATATATATATATATATATATATATGTTCAAGAAATTTGACATACACATTATAATATAGCTAAGTTTCCAGAATCATATCCACTCTTCACTCACACGGTAGCTCTACATCTTGCCTTTCTCAAAGTCACAAACTAAGAACTCTCTAGACACTCCTGACTGTATTCAAGCTAAATTTACTGATTTGCACTCTACAAATTTTCCTTTCGAGATCTTCTACTTTATTTTCAAAAAAATAAATAAATTAGAGTTCTTTCCTAGCTAATTAACAAAAAAAAAAAAAAATCATTACAACTAAAACGTAGTTTTGGCCTTATGGATAGCTAATTCTTCAATAATTTTATTTCTTCGAATTCAAAAATTAAAAGATTATATTAGGACGTGACCTTCATCACTTTGTGGCCTAGTAAAAACAAGGTGATACTTTATACATACAGTGAGTTTAGCTAGAAAATTTTGTATGGATCAATAATACATCAACTCAAAGTTTCATGTATTGTTATGTATAAAAAAAAATATTAAAAATCAAAGTGTTATGATAATTCTAAGTACAATTTTTTTAGCCGTAATTTGGACCTTCAGTTGGGATTGAAGCTTAATTTGTTTGCTATTCACATGAGTTAATATTGAGATTGGTCTTCTTTGAGGATGGTTGTGTCAATTTAGGTCTACGGTAATATTAAATGATGATTTTGGCCTTAATTAAATTTATAATATTATGCAGTTAATTTGATTATATGCATAAAACCCATCTCAAATTAAAAATATGAAGCCCCAATACAAAATGGTGAAAGGAGATTTTATAAAAATTGGAAGAAGAGATTTTAAAAAACTGGGTTGGCCCAAAATGGGAAATTTGAGTCCAAATTAAAATATAAACCAGCATGCCGCCTTTTTGAGAAAAGAAGAACTGGTCAAATTATTGCATGGACTATGGTCCACATAATTGTGTGGACTATGAACATCAGATATATTTTTAATATATTAAAAATACATTATTTTTGTACTGAAGATACATTATATAAAATAATGTACCTTTAGTATATTCAAAATGTACTTTTAAAAAATGTATCTTACGTATATAAATAATGTACGTCGTTAAAGGGGCTTTACTCAATAAGAATATCAGAATTAAGGAGTCTTTATGTCGCGTTACCGAGGACCTCGTTTCAAAAAAATAGGTCGCCTAAGGGCTTTACTAGGACTAACTAATAATTAAAAGGCCTAGGACTGAAAGTGATCTTAGAAACCAATCGCGTTCCGGGAAAAAATCTCAATATTGTATTTGCCTAGAAGAAAAACAAAAATTGCATTTTCATTATGGTCTTACAGAACGACAGTTAATTCAATATGTTCGGATTGCCAGAAAAGCCAAGGGGTCAACAGGTCAAGTTTTACTACAATTACTTGAAATGCGTTTCGATAACATCCTTTTTCGATTGGGTATGGCTTCAATTCGACTATTCCTGCAACCCGTCAATTAGTGAATCATCGACATATTTTAACGAATGGTCGTATAGTAGATATACCGAGTTATCGCTGCAAACCCCGAGAAAGAGAGACGCCACCGGATACAACGGAGGAGGACCACCATCGCTTACAACCACCTCCGGGAATCCAGCTGCGCCATCCCTACCATATTTTATGCGAGAGTGTACGTGTACACTACGATGATGGTATTTCTAAATCTGGAGAAAACAACACTAACAACCCAAGCCATATATGTGATACACGTTTTAACATAAAATCAGTTCATTGCTTAATTAGACGTCGCTCATTCATCTCGCCGTTACCAATCGGTATCACTACTGTTGCATGAATGGAGTGTTGGGGTGGATGCCTGACCTCTTGGCCTTCTGTTATCCTAGCTCATTCAACACTCAGCTCATGACTATATATAGGGATACTTGTTTGGTTCAAGCTCCTCCCTCATCATCATCATCATAAATTCATAACCATTCTCAATTTATCACCATCTGTCAGCAGCAGTACCAAGCTAGAACACTATGAAGAAGATATTATTGTTTGTGTTTTTGTAGGGCCGATATTTAAATTTTTGTGGCCCTGTTCGAGTAAATAAATATGGCCCTACCAAAATTAAAATATTTAAAATTAATACCGTAATTTTATTATCAAAATATATAACACAAAAAAAAATTATTCGTGCATCGCACGCACATTGCACGCACACTGCACGGATAATTGGGCAATTATTTGCTCGAATTCATTCAAGGATAACATAAAAAAAAAACATAATCGATACAACTCATTTCACTAATTGCACTATATATATAATATTCGTTGTTATAATTTAAAGATTATAACAAATCTTTTCTGTGCAACGCACAAGTAAAAATAGACATATTATGGAATAATAATAATAGTGTGCACAAGTTTTGAACCTTAACCTCAAAGTTAAAATACAATAAATACAGAGTTAATACCCAAAATCGTCCTCGACTATAGTGGTTTTTCTCAATTTCGTCCTAAACGACTTTGGTGACCTAATATCGTCCCAAACTTTTATGTTTCGCTCAATTTCGTCCCATACTTTTGTGTTTTTGCTCAATTTAGTCCCTCCTTTGTTATTCTATCCATTTGGTGTTAAATAAATAGACAATTAAGTAATGTTAATATTGGCATCTCTTTACGCATAGACATGTGAACTGCGAAATCCCTTTTTTTTTTTACGAATTAGTCCCAGAATTACTCCTAAAACTGCGAATATAAAATTTGATTTGCAGGTCCGGGAGTAATTCTGGCTGTAATTCGTACAAGAAAGAGGAATTTCGCACTTCACAAGTTGAAAGTAAAGAGAGATCAATATTGACATTACTGAAATGTCCCTAAATTTAACACCAATTTGACGGAATAACAAATGGAGGACTAAATTGAGCGAAACACAAAAGTTTGGGATGATATTAGGTCACCAAAGTCGTTTAGGACGAAATTGAGAAAAACCACTATAGTCGAGGACGATTTTGGGTATTAACTCAATAAATACATGTTCCTATCATTTTTTTTTTTTTATAAAGCCTTTTAGGTTTAATTAAAAACTTTTAATTTTTATTTCTAAACTAACTAGGTAAAAATAAAATATTGAGCTTCTAAAATTTGGGACCCCTCTAAAATTTGAGGCCCTGTGCAGTAGCCCAGCTTGCACGGCCCAAAATCCGGGCCTGGTACTTTTTGTGTGTGTCTGCCATCTTCTTTTGCTCTTGTGTGGGAGAATCTGAGCCAAAGCCTCCTACGCTACAAAAAAATGGTAATAAAGTTTACATCGTCTATATTGGCGCTGCGGCCCCATCCAGCAATGGTGCCATGCGAAAGGATCAAGCTCAACTCATCACCTCATTGCTTAAAAGGTATGGTCAATCTAAAATATATATATATATATATATATATATATATATATATATATATATATATATATATATATATATATATATATATATATTGTCAATTTGTCATGGTTATGCATGTTCACTGATATTAATAACATATGTGTATCTGATCTGCAGGAATAGTAAAGCATTGGTGTACACCTACACAAATGGGTTCTGTGGGTTTTCAGCCAGGTTGACGGCGGAAGAAGCTCGATCAATTGCTCAAAGCCCCGGAGTGGTATCTGTTTTTCCTGATCCAATTTTACAGCTCCAAACAACCCGCTCCTGGGATTTCTTGGATTCTATGTCTTATAAAAAAATCTCTCCTTCTACCACGGATAAACAATCATCATCTTCCAATGAAGCAGATACCATAATTGGATTCATAGACTCAGGTTTTTGATTACAGGAATTTTATATATAATGTTAATACTCCTTACTAAATAATAATAATAATGTTACGTTGCTGATTTACAAACTATGTATGTTAATTAGGAATCTGGCCTGAATCTCCTAGCTTCAATGACAATGGAATGGGACCCATCCCGACCCGGTGGAAGGGAAAATGTCAGGAAGGGTTTGATTTCAGTTATACCAATTGTAATAGGTAATAAGCCAGAAGACAACTAATTTCATGTCCAAGGTTGGCTGCATTTGAGTAACTAGCATTATATTGTATCAACTTACATAAAACTTTTTTTGTGACTCTTATTAGGAAAATTATAGGAGTTAGATTTTACAAGGATGTCTTTGGAAGACCATTTTTGTCGGGAAGGGATAACTTGGGCCATGGAAGCCATGTTGCATCCACGGCCTCTGGCTCCAGAGTTGAAAATATTTCATACTATGGTCAAGCTACAGGGACTGCCAGGGGTGGGTCCCCTAGTTCACGGATCTCTGTATACAAGGTATGTAATTACCTCGGGTGTCCTGGATCTTCAATACTTAAAAGCTTTGAAGATTCAATTAGTGATGGAGTGGATATATTATCCATCTCCTTACTAATGCTGAAAAACTCCCAAGGCATTTATGCAAATTTTTCAAACGATCCAATTGCAATTGAATCTTTCCATGCAACCGAAAAAGGCATTGCCGTTGTCTGTGCTGCCGGAAACAACGGCCCAGACCCGCAACTGCCCCGCGAGCAACATGTGTGCCGGTGCGTCGTAAGAGGATGTACGTTTATTTAAGACAGTTGGATGCACGCAATTAATGCACCGGATGAGTGCACACGTTCACACTTTAAGAATGGAGTGCACCTGAAAATTAGCCTATATATATGTTTTAATTTGTTTTAACAAATTTGTTAGTGTTGTTTTGTCCGATATATATAGCATGGCAATATCTCCATCAGTCATTCAGATCAATCGGTTGTCTGATCTTATTTTAATGGAACAATAGTAATTAACATTTAACAAGGACTAATAACTAATTCAGTCCCATTATTTATTAGTAGAACAATAGTAATTAACAAGGACTTATAACTAATTCAATAGACTAATAACTAATTCAGTCCCATTATTTCTTAGTAGAACAATAGTAATTAACAATGACTAATAACTAATTCAATTTTAATTTGTTCCTTATTAGTGGAACAATATATAGTAATTAACACGGACTAATAACTAATTTAGGGTGTGTTTGGTTCGCACATACATGAGAATAGGAATCAGAATGAGAATCAAATACTTGGTAATTGTATGAGTTTTGGTGAAAGTATTTTGCATGTTTGGTAGTAAGGTGAAAATGGAATGATTACCAATATTGATGTTTGGTTATGTATGACTCTATAATGGAAATAAATGTTTTAGAAATACAAAAATAAAAAATCAAGACAATTATTGTAATGATATCTTAAGGAAATAATAACACCTAAAGTCAACTTATTATTGTAAAATGTGCTAATATTTATATAAATATAATTCGTTAATTTGATAAGACCGCACGAGGTAGTGGTGGAGTTAAATGATAGTTTAAATCCAAATTTAATGATAATCTGCAAAGTGGCAATAAAGTAATACAATTCTATTCTTCCAAAAAAATGCTGAACCCCAACCCTAAGGGCCTCCACACCCCGACCCGACAGAGCATTTGGAAGGATAAAAAAATTTGTGATAATTTATAGTAGAGTTGATAAATTTATTGAAAGTTCATTAAAATAAAGATGTCCCCTTTCTAAAGGCATTTAGATCATATTAATCTGTGAATGAGAAGTAGATAGTGATTTTAATAATTTTAAAAAGAGTGAATTCCATTTTTGGTCATATTGTTATAGGTACTTTTTCAATTTTAATCCATCATAATTATTTTTGTCACATTGCATCCACTTTTATTAAAAATGTACCAATTTTAGTCCATTTTAAGATTTTTTGTGGACTAAAATTGGAACACTTTTAATAATAGTGGACGCAATGTGACAAAAATAATTATGATGGACTAAAATTAGAATGATCCCTTTAACAGTAAGACCAAAAATGGAATTCATTCTTTTAAAAAAATATTTTTCAAATTTCAAATTCTAATGTATAGAATGAATTGAGTAATGGGACTGATTTTATTCCCTCTTCCAATTAATTAATTAATTCTGAAATTAATACTCAAATAAATTGGTACTCCGTATTAAATTGCTTAAAACTGTGTAATCTACTAGTGAAGTTTGTACGTGGATTTTTATTTTAAAAAATTGAAATCAAATTTCTTTGTACTTATTTTAACTTTTTATGTCACAATATTTAATTTGATTAATTTATTTTATATTTGATTAATATATAATTTTTTTAATGCTATATAAGGTCGGCTTATTCATGATAGCTACTGCATACAAAAATTAAAAAAAGAAAAATGGGAGCAACCCCATTTAATATGGTCAGTGACTTCTTGTATTGTCGTAAATCCTAGGTATAAAATTTAATATTATTATTAATAACATAGGGTCAAATAGGCCACTGAACTGCACAACAATGTGCAATTAGGCCATCAAACTAAAAAACAATGCAATTGGGTCATTGAACAATACAAAATTATGCAATTAGGTTCAAAATAACTTGTTTACCAGAAATGGCGGTTGTCAATTTTAAAAATAATTTTTAAATACTATTTTAAATAAAATAATTAATTAAAATTTTAATTTTTTTTTTAAAAAAAAAAACCTAGAACTACCGGAGACGAAGACGTTCGTCTCCATGGCCAGGAGACCATCTCTTCGTCTCCGGCCATGGAGACGAATCGTCTCCGGCAGTTTCGTCTCCATGGCCGGAGGCGAAGGCTTCGTCTCCATGGCCAGGGATATGAAACTTCGTCTCCTGGCCATGGAGACGGAACTGCCGTAGACGAGTTGTAGTTTTTGTTTTTTTTTTTTTTGTTTTTAATTATAAATTTTAATTAATTATTTTATTTAAAATTATATTTTAATTTTTTTTAAATTGGTAACCGCCACGTTAGCACAATTCCAGGTCAACAAGTCATTTTAGAACTAATTGTATGATTTTGTGTTGTTCAGAGACCCAATTGCATTTTTTTAGTTCAATTCGATGACTTAATTGCACTTTGGTGTGCAGTTCAGTAGCCTATTTGACCCTTATTCATATTATTTTTGTCATTAGGGTGTAATGCCAAAATAAAAATTACAATTGATCATTATTAAAAAATGGAGCATTTACATCTATAACTTTTGTGCCTTGGTGAGTTAATTGGTTTGACCCATTAATGAGATGTTGTAATCCTTTCAAAATTATAGACAGACATTGCATATTTAATTTCGACAAATTTTATCATGTTCACATCTGCACCACTGAATATTATCATCACTCATGATGCCATCATGTTTATATTAATATTAATACAGGAAAATAATTAAATTCGGTATATAAAATGGACATAGTTGTAAGATGTTTGTCATTCCAAACTTCATCAGCTTCTAAATCCATGGATTTAATAACCTTATTTTTTAAATTGTTTGTTTTTGCTTTGCTTTCTACTCAAATCATTAATGGCTTTACTGTTGAACTCATCCACCCTAATTCTCCTTCAAACCCTTATCGCAACCCTTCCAACAATAGGTTTGATTGGACCCGGCAGGCGTATAACAACAGTCGATCACGCGCCGCCTCTATCCAGAGTCACCTCGGAGGAGTTGACGGTTCTTCCAAATTCAAGACTAACAGACCCTTGGATGGAGGAGGATACGTGATGAAGTACTCTATCGGTACGCCGCCGTTTGAAACCTATGGCGTTGTTGATACCGGCAACGACGTCACCTGGACTCAGTGCCAACCATGCATCGATTGCTTCCCACAAAGCTTGCCCATATTTGATCCGAAGAACAGCAATTCCTACAAGACGGCCATGTGAAACAATTCGGATACCACCTGTTCTCTCGATGCCGGCTTTTACTGTTCCAATGACAACGTTTGCCAGTATTATCTGACCTACGGCGACTATTTCCAAACTGTCAGCGACGTTGCTACTGATACTCTCACCACCGGTGATGTTTCATTCAACAACGTTGTACTGGGGTGCGGCCACCGGAATAAAGTCTACATCTCGAATACCACGGCTTCTGGCACTGTTGGTCTCGGCTACTCCAACGTCTCGATCATCAAGCAGTTGCGTAAAGAAATCGGTGGAAAATTTGCCCATTGCCTGTCTCCTCAATCTGATTCCAAAAGCTATATAAGTTTCGGCACTGACGCCATAGTTAAGGGTCCTGATGTCGTTTCAATTCCCTTCCTCATATCCCCTATGAAACCATTTTACTGGCTCGTCTTAGACAGCGTGAGCGTCGGCAACAAAACTTTCCCGCTCCAGCGATCTTCCCTTGAATTCTACGGCTATGGCAACATTATAATTGATTCAGGGATGACAGTGACACACCTCCCATCTGATGTGTTCGATAGTATGAAATCGGAATTGATGAAACAGATCCAGGAGACTCCGATAGATGATCCTCAAGACTTTTTCGAGTTGTGCTTCTCAAGTGTAAAAATTAATGCGCCGAAAATTGTAGCACATTTCGTGGGAGGCGATGTAGAGTTGTCACCTAGGGGATTATTCAAACAAGTAGAAGAAGGTATCTCTTGTCTCACAATAGTTCCAAGTTATATGGAGGGTGTATCCGTCTTCGGTTGTAAGTCCCAGGTAGACTACCTTGTTGGCTTTGATTTGGAAATGAATGCAGTCGCCTTTAAGCCTGCTGATTGTTCCAAATTTTAAGCATTTCAATTGGTTTTGTGTTTTGGACTATAGCAACAAATTGTTGGGAATAACGGAGTCATCTATTTGCTTGTCATTGCCCCTTTTCTTCTTGCTTAAATTGCTTCCCTTTTGAATTGGCTCTTTTCCTTTTGAGTTGCTTCTATGAATAAGAGGCTCATTTTCATTTTCACTCTAAAAAAATTTCTCAACTTCTTCCTCAACCTTAGAATCCCCTTCTTTATCTTTCTCAACATCTTCTTCAAAAGCAAGATCATTAGTAGGTAGAGATGGGCCTTTCAACGACTTCATTCTCACTTCTAGTGGTGATGGCATTGACATGATTTCTAGAATTCTCGATGCTAGCGTGAAGCCTACCACTAGAAGATGAAACTTTTGGAGAGCCTTGAGTCCCTATCCCTTGGCTTTGAGCTTGCAGATCCTCCATTTGAAATTGCAACATGTTCATTTGAGAGTTGAGACATCATCATATTCATGAAAGTTTTCACGCTTACATCTTGAGAAGATTATTGGAAAGATCCTTGTTGATTTTGATTAGTCCCATGACCTTAATTGTATTGCCCTTGTCCTTAATTTTCTCTCCATGGTTGGTTCCTTTGGTTTCCACCTCTATTTCCTTGATTCCCTTGAAAACTCAGAGGTGGGTTCCCAAGAAGAACCAAATTGAATTGATTCATGGCTTCCTTGTTGACCATAATTCTCATACCTTTGCCCTTCGTTTTGGGGTCTATAATATCCACTTGTTTCATGTTTGATGAAAAGCATTGACCACTACAGTCCCACAACTGACAAGCTTAGGGAGTATGGGATCCACCACACCGTAGCAGTGTTAGAGACGGTTCCCTCAGACGAAATAGCTGCACAACCATCAGGAATGGACGCCATGAGAAAACCTAGACTACTGATATCATGTGAATGTTTGTATTCTGTGATAAAAATAATACGTGCAGTACAAATAATTTCATGTATCTATATGGAATGAGCAGCATGATCTTATTTTTCATAGAAAGAATGGTGAGTTGGTATCTACCAGTAAACTCTCTGCGTCGTGGTCGGTTAAAAAAAATGTATGAGTAAAATAATCAATTATAAAAAAATCATGTGACCTTCATACCATTGAACCACAACAATAAAAAAATAAAAAAATAATAATAATAAAGGATTCCGACCACCGAGGTGGTGGGAAACAAGATTAGTGAGTAAATTACCAAAATGGTCCCTCGACTATGTCGATTTCACCTTTTTGGTCCTAGTTATTTTGATTTGGCTAATTACACCCTTTGACTATTAATTTTTTAACCATTTTGGTCCCCAGGCAACTTAGACGGCAATTTTTTAGGGATATTATTGGAAGTTCACTGTTAACACTTCTCTTGCTCTTCTTCATGATCGCTCATCTTCTCCCCGGACTTTGCCTTGTTCATCTCTGCTCTCCCTCTCAAAATCTTCACTAATTCCCCCATTGTTGCCTTCTTGTTTCTCCTGTTCTTTATCAGCACCTCGTTGATGTCCGCCGGCGTCATCTCCACCGCCTCAATCACATCCTCTAGTTCGCTGGAGAGGTTGTTCTCTACATTGGCGTCGTCGTAGCCTAGGTAGTTCTTGAGGAGGATTTTGAGGGCTGGAAAAGTACAGTAGCTCATGTGGATGTGCTTGTTCATTCACCTTGCACAGCAATGCGGGATCGAGTTTCTCGACATGATTGGTGGTGAATACGAAAATCCTCTCGTTGTCGTAGCAAGACCACAATCTGTCTGTGAAGTTCAAGATGTTGGAGAGAGTTATGGTGTTAGTGGCTCAGTCCTCACAGGCGTTATTGATATCGGGAGTGGAGGAGTAGAAGCAGGCAGTGGTGTTGTTCTGGCCTGTCTTACCATAATTATTGGTTTTGTTTTTGTTGGCGAGGTTGATGGAGCAGTCGATATCCTCAATTACTATGATGGATTTGGAGCTTGTCTTCATAATCAGCTTTCGGAGCTCGCAATTGGTGTGGATCTCGGCGAGTTCCAGGTCGTAGATGTCATAGACCAAGAAATTGGCCATGGCAGCGATCATACGGGACTTTGTAGTGTCGGGTGGGCTATACAGAAGGCAACCCCTTTTTCAAACTCATTCCTTCCTCTGGTAAAAAGCTTCACCATTTACAAAATCCTTTATATCAGCCATGATTTCTTCCTTTCTTTGGGAGGTCCATGGCAAGTGTCTCAAATGTGCTGTGGTGTTTGAACGGAACTGCTTCCCAGGGATAGCCGCGGGAGTCCAGAGATCTGCTACGTGAGTTGGTTCACCGTAGGCGATCTTGATTTTTTCGGGGAATCTCGATGGCCTTTTTTAATAAAATCAAGGTAGGAGCCGATGAAGGTGGGTGTGGAGGAGAAACTCGTGCTTCTCCTCCAGTAGCGGGCGCCATGTGAAGGTCGTGCCTTAAGTCACCAGAGGTATGTTGAAAGAAGAAGCACATATTATACTCAAATTACTTCATTACCCTTATACTTGCCGGAAGTTTGGTGCCTTAAGTCACCGGAGAACCGAAATGGTTAAAAAATTGATAGTCGAAGGATGCAATTAGCGAAGTTAAAATGAGTAGAACGAAATTAGTGAAATCGACATAGTCGAGGGACCATTTTGGTAATTTGCTCCAAGATTAGTATACAAATTTAAACTTCCAAAATAATATTTCCGACCATCTTCCAAAACGTGGTTGGAAAGTCCGACCACTAAGGTGGTCGCAAATAAACTCTAATTTAAAAAATTAAATTTGGCAAAATGTTTCCGACCACTTATTAAAAGTGGTCGGAAATGCCGACCACTTTGACCTCCCATCGAAAAAATGAAAAAAATCACTTTTTGTGGCCAATTTTTCGAGTGGTCGGAAAATCACAAAATTTCAGCAGTGTATTGCCAAATCTTGAAAACTGAGTGAATTGTAAGTTTGTGACAAGGAATAAGGAGTGGACATGTAGAGTCGTTGAGGTGGGGATTGAGTCACCACTTGCACACCTCTTCCTTTAAGCCATGCATAATTTGTTTGAGCATGTGTTGGAATATATATATATAGTACTAGTTAATTCAATAAGTTTTACAACATTTTATTATTGTACTGGTGTTGTAAAATTAATGCATATATAAGTAAGTGAAATAATAGGAAAATATGGCTTTGTACTAATAATGAAGGGATTTTGTTATGTGTGGTACGTAGTGATCTCGGACAAGTTTCTGGCTTGTAATCAAGGCGCTTCTAGAATTTTTTTTAGTACTATCAAACTCTGTTACAATGCAGTATGCCAATATGTATATGTCCATCTCAAGTTACTGAAATACAAAGAGTCAATACCATCTTCACGGAGACTTGAACTCACAACCTCTCATATAGGTGAGCTACTTGCCGCCTCTAGAATTCAAATTAAAAAACCGATATCGTATCATTTATTTATTACGTTAGTTAGAACTACATCGAAAAATATCTGACATTAATAGAATTTTTTGTGCTAGGGAAGTATCCCTATACAAAATATAATAATAATAATATTGTAATGATATTTTAAAGTCAACTCATTGTAAAATGTGCTAAATTAATGTGAATACTTCGTTAATTTGATGAGAGGGCATCAGATGCTGGTGGGGTTAAATCAACTTTAACTCTCGAAGCAATCTGAGAGGCGATTGCTTTTCGGTGCAAATACAAATTTAATGATAGTCCTTTAGTCAAAGTGGTAATAAAGCAATACAATTCTATTTACAAAAATTGTACTCCGTAATAATATAATTTATGGTAGGGCTGATAAATTTATTAAAAGTTCATTGAAATAAAAATGTCCCCTTTCTAAAGGCAGTTAGATAATATCAATCCGTGAATGAGCATTAGATAGTGATTTTAATAATTTTAAGAAATATTTTTCATATTTCAAATTCTAATGTATCGAACGAATTGATTAGTGGGACTGGTTTTATTCCCTTTTTAATTTTAAATTAATTAATTTTGAAATTAATACTTAACTAAATTAGTACTAGTCAATGGCCTTGTGTTCTAGTGGTACGAAGTCACTCTTTCAAATTGCAGGTTATGGATTCGATCCACAATGAAGACGGTGTTGATTCTTTGGTCTGATCTTGAGTGAAAAAATTCGTCCATCCTTAACTAAACATCAATGATTGAGCATCCTTAAATCTCCAGAACAATTGTGGAAACTTTGAGTACACCCAAAAAAAAAAAAATCTTTATATCTAAGATAGTAATGCTACATTCCTCTTCCGGTTTTAACTTTTTATGAGACAATATTTGATTAATATGTAGCTTTTTTTTTAATGCTATATGGGTTCAGTTTGTTCAGGGTAGCTAATGAATAAAAGAAATTGGATGAACGAAAATGGGAGCATCCTCATCTAATTAATACGGTTATTGACTTCTTGTACTGTGGTAAATCCTAGGTATAAAATTTAATATTAACATTAATAGTATTATTATTTTTTCTTTTAGGATGTAATACCAAAATAAAAATTATAATTGACCATGATTAAAAATTGGAACATTTTCTTTTTTTTTTTTTTTTTAAAAAAAAAACTCTGGAGCACTTAGCTTACAGCTATAATTTTTGTGTCTAGGTGATCAAGTTAATTTGTTTGACTCATTAATGATATGTTTTAATCGTTTTCAAATTATAGACATACATATTTTTATAAAATGGTTCACGACTTAATGTTTGAACACTCAAACAAATAAGTCTATGATGAACTAAAACAAACGGAGAGCACTTCGACTTTTTTCGGAAGTGTAGACAAAAATTTACTAAAAAAGAAATAATTTTGGAGAGAGATGGATAGAAAAACAACGATTTTGAATAAAAAATTTATTGTCTTGACAAAAGATCAATATAATGCCATAAAATTAGGAAGGTAAAATAGCATTATTAAAAAAAAAATTAATAAAATTAACATTCTCAATTCTAGCTATGCAGTTTGTAACACATCTGTTACCATTTCAAATGAGTGATAATAGGATTCAATTAGGAGCATTGATCTTTGGGGTGAGAATTGAGAAAGATATATAGTTCACAGGTTAAAACTCATTAATTTTTGTGTCTTGGCCAAATGATTTTTTGATCCATTAATAATCATTTTAAATTCGGCCGACATTATTTTCCAAATTCTTGCAGGATTGTCTGAATTAAAATGGGTATAAAGTTGTAATATCTTTGTCATTCCAATCTTCATATATACTTCATTTGGCAATGTCGTATAAATCCATGGATTTAACTGTGATTTTTATGTTGTCTGTTTTTGCCTTGATTTCTACAAAAATTATTAACGGCTTCACTATTGAACTCATCCACCCTAACTCTCCGTCAAACCCTTACCGCAACCCTTCCAACAACAAATTTGATCCGATCCGGCAAGCGTATAGCAACACTCGCCCACGCGCCGCCTCAATCCAAAGTCGCCTCAGAGTTAACGTTGACGCTTCTTTCAAATTCAAGACTGACGTAAAGCCCTTGGATGGAGGATACGTCATGAAGTACTCCATCGGAACGCCGCCGTTTGAAACCTACGGCGTCGCCGATACCGGCAGTGACGTCACCTGGACTCAGTGCGAACCATGCATCCATTGCTTCCCGCAAAGCCTACCCATATTTGATCCGAAGCACAGCAAATCGTACAAGACGGCCACGTGTGACTCAGATGCGTGTTATCTCGATGACTTCCATTATTGTTCCGACGACAACGTTTGCCAGTATGACGTCAGCTACGGCGACGAGTCCCAAAGCGCCGGCGACGTGGTTACCGATACTCTCACCATCGGCGACGCTTCGTTTAAGAACGTGGTGCTGGGGTGCGGCCACCGGAATGACGTCACGTTCTCCAACGGCATCGCCTCCGGCATTGTTGGCCTCGGATACTCTAACGTCTCGATCGTGAAGCATTTGAGCGAAGAAATCGGCGGAAAATTCGCTCACTGTCTATCTTCTCAGTCTGATTCTAAAAGCTATATAAGTTTCGGCCCAGACGCCATAGTTACCGGTCCTGATTCTGTTTCAACTCATATCTCCATACGCCCCGAAGAACCTCCATTTTACTGGCTCTCCTTAGAAAGCATGAGCGTCGGTGATAAAAACTTCCCGGTCAAGCAATCTCCACCTGAAACCCCCGGCAACATTATCATTGATTCAGGGATGACGATGACAACCCTCCCGCCCGATGTGTTCGATAGTATGAAATCCGAAATGATGAAACAGATCCCCGGAAAGACTCCGATAGATGATCCTCAAGGCTTATTCGGGCTATGCTACTCGACAAGTAAAAAAATTAAAGTACCAAAAATTATTGCACATTTCTCAGGGGCTCATGTAGAATTGTCACCTCGGGGGTTGTTTGAAGAAGTAGAAGAAGGTATCTCTTGTTTCACAATAACTTCATTCACATACATGGAAACATCCATCTTCGGCTGTCCATCCCAAGTAGACTACCATATAGGATATAATTTGGAAGAGATGATGGTTACCTTCAAGCCTGCGGATTGCTCCAAATTTTAAGCCTCACTTAATTTGCATTTTGAATCCTTTGGTGTTTTAGAATAATGTAGTCGCTAATTCAATAAGTTTTATAGCATCAAGGGTAATGCTATATACTATTGATGTTGGAAAAAAAAAAGTTTAAATTTTTAATTATTTCAATTTCAGCATCTTGTTGGGGTTGTTCTTTTACCGGTGTGGTGACCTCACCCCATAAGATAATTCCTTAAAAAAAATGTACATAATTCTTTATTGACTAATATTTACGAAGTTAGAAGAATAAATATAAAAATAATTTATTAAATTACAAAGATAAATTACCTCAACTCCAAATTGTAATGTGAAAAATGCATCTGAACCCTATAGAATAAAAGTACATATATTATTTAAAAGTAATAAACTATAAACTATTAAAATTATAATAATTTAAATTTTTAGATATTCAAATTGGTTCTCTAGCAACATACTATCACGAACTTTTGAAATAAGTCCTTGTTCACAACAAAGTTTCATCACGAACAAAGATTCATACATATTTAATATGTTCTCTGACTTTACTTGAATCTTAAATAGAACGTGTTGGTCAACTATAGCATCCATTTCAGGTGGGAATGAATTCATTTCGTCCTAAACAATAAAGAGTATTCAATTAGTACAAAATGAATCAAAAAAAATAGTATACATACATACATACATACATACATACATACATATATATATATATATATATATATATATATATATATATATATATATATATATATATATATTAAAAGAAGCATAATATAATAAAAAAATTATTTCTAACCCCCACATAATTTTTTTTTTTTTAATTTTGATGCAGATTTTTCAAACAACTCAGTGCATTCACGATCCCATAATTGGAACGATGCATTCCCACGGCCATCAGGAACAAAAGTAGGAGCCGGCCATTATATTATATGTAGATTATTTTATATGGAGAATATGTATCTGAACCAGTGAGATACAATGAAATATATGAAATTGGTAGTAGTAGTAATATGTTTCTTGAAATGCTTGATTTATATAGTGGTAGTGGTAGCATAATTGAAGTTAGAAAATTTGATGAAATTAATTATTATAATATTATATTTGGTAAATTGACAATGATTTTTGTATAATTGATTTAGCATTTTTGTAATTATGTATTATGTATATAATGTATATAAAGGATATGTAAAATAAATTAATTATTATAATATTATATTTGATAAATTGGCAATGATTTTGTATAATTGATTTAGTATTTTTGTAAATATTTTTGTAAATATGTATGAATCTTTGTTTGTAAATAAGGAGTTCGGTCAGCAAGCCGTTGGGAGGCCCAGTAACGGCAGCCCAACGGCCCTTAGAGTTAATAAGCCGATTTATGGCCTTAAATGTATATTTTTGAATGAATCAGAGGAAACCCACTATAAAAGGGGACTCCTCAAGAATGTAAGGGAGACGGCAAGTTCAGGCCAAGAGTATACACACACGGATAAGAGCTATTGTTTTCCTTCTATTTTTGAAAGGTGAATCTACCAACCACGGTTGTGTTGGACCTTCCTGGGCCCAAAAACCAACATAGCATAATTGAAAGAATTGAACTAATTTAAATTTTTGGGATGAAAATTTGGGTTGGGGGGGGGGGGGGGGGGGGGAGTTATAGAGATAGAGATAGGGATAGTCCACGCCATTAATAAATTTAATTTTTTTAATACGCAAAGCAGAAAAGACAAATTTGGAGAATATTTTTTTTGAAAGGAAAGAGAATATTATCTTTTTTTTTTTGAAAGTTACTGGCTCTATTACATTGTAGTATCTGTTCATATACTTTCTCAACCTACTGAAACATTGTAGTATCTGTTCATATACTTTCTCAACCTACTGAAACACAAAGAACCAATAACGCGTCCACTGAGGTTCAAACTCATAATCTTCCAAATGAAAGTCCAACCCGAATACCATTAGATCGCATAGTCTAGGTAAAGAGAATATGATCTAATTGTGAATAATTTTAATATTTAATGCATTGAAACTCGTATTAAAAATGGATCAATATTTAATGCACCTAAATATACCATGTATGGTGTAATAATCATATATTTGGCAAATTGGTAATAGAATTAGGTCAACCATAATCAAATTGGTTAGGTTGTTGATTTTGCAATCACAATTCACAAAGTTACAAGTTAACCTTATTGATTTTGAACTGATTTTTACTCTACCCATTGGTTTGCCTACTTGGGGCATAAAGAGAGGGTTTACGCAATGTACATCATTATTAACATGCCAGGTTGATCAATTTATACATGAGTTGATCAATTTAATTTTAAACCCATTAAATTTCTAATAATCGCTTTCAAAAAATATATAATTCCATATTTTATAATAATTGAAAAATAGTTAAAGTTAAGAGAGAAATTAATAGAAAATGTTGTAAATTTTTTTTTGGTTGCTCAAAGGTATCCCTCCAGCCGAAAGCCAGAAGACTAATCCCCCGTCCCTTACGGTCAGCACACCAAGTGGTAGGGGACTAGCCAAATGGTTTGCTCCATTCACATGGATGGGGATCGAACCCCCAATCTCATGTTTAAGGGACGAGGTGCTGAACCACCACGCCAACCATGTTGGTTAAAATGTTGTAAATTTCTAAATATCTGAGATTGCTTTCCAAATTCTTGCATGAATGTCCGTGTATAAAATGAACATAGTAGTACTAAGATCTTTGCATTGTTATCCCAATCTTCACACTTCAGTTGGCGATGGCGTTGAAATCCATGGGTTTAACTGTGTTGTCTGTTTTTGCTTTGCTTTATGCTCAAACCATTAATGGTTTCACGGTTGAACTCATCCACCCTAACTCTCTTTCAAACCCTAATCGCAACCCTTCCAACAGTCAGTTCCATTGGATCCGGCAGGCGTATAACCACACTCGATCACGCGCCGCCTCTATCCAAAGTAGCCTCGGCGGCGGCGGTTCAGCCAAATTCAAGACCGATATAGAGTCGTATGGGGGAGGATACGCGATGAAGTACTCCCTAGGTACGCCGCCGTTTGAAATCTACGGCATCGCCGATACCGGCAGTGACGTCACCTGGACTCAGTGCGAACCATGCATTAATTGCTTCTCGCAAAGCTTGCCGTTGTTTGACCCGAAGCACAGCAAATCGTACAAGACGGTCTCGTGCGACTCAGATGCTTGTACTCTTGTCAAGTCCAACGGCGGCCCCGGCGCCGGCGAATGTTCCGGCGAAAACGTTTGCCAGTACCAGTTAACCTACGGCGACAATACCCAAAGCATCGGCGACGTGGCGACCGATACTCTCACCATCGGCGGTGCCTCGTTTAAGAACGTGGTGTTCGGGTGCGGCCACAAAAATAGAGCGACTTCCTACGGCAACGCCACCCACAACGCCACCGGCGTTGTCGGTCTCGGATACTCCAACGGCTCGATCGTCACACAATTGGATAAAGATTTCGGTGGAAAATTCGCGTACTGTCTGTCTTCCCAGCCTGATTCCAAAAGCCATATAAGTTTCGGCAAAGACGCCATTGTTAATGGTACCGGTGCCGTTTCAACTCCCTTCGACGCAGGCCCTTACAATTCTACACTTTACTATCTCTCCTTAGAAAGCATCAGCATCGGCAACCAAAGCATCCCATTTAAGAAATCTGTCTCTTCTAACGTTGGTGGTCGGCGCGCCGGCATTAAGAAGACCTCGGCCAATGGCAACATTGTCATTGACTCAGGAACCGGAGTAACAATCATCCCACCCAATGAATTTGATAATTTGAAATCGGAGTTGACGAAACAGATCCCGGCGACTCCGATAGACGATCCTCAAGGCCAATACAGTCTATGCTACTCGACAATTGACAAAATTGAGGTGCCAAAAATAGTTGCACATTTTTCTGGCGCTGATGTAGAGTTGTCGCCTAGAGGATCATATATTGAAGTAGAAGAAGGTATATCTTGTTTCACTATAATTCCAGATATAGGTTTTGAAACCTTCATCTTTGGCAGTCTGTCCGTGGTAGATTACCTTATTGGATATGATTTAGAGGCACAGACTGTCACCTTCAAGTCTACTGATTGCTCCAAATATTAATTAAGCTCTGATCTGATCTAGCTCGGCTAGACTACTTGATGGTACTTGTTGGTTTTAGGGTTTTTGGGCCCAGGGAGGTCCAACACAACCTTGGTCGGTGGATTCACCTTTCACATGCGGCTTATATAGAAAAATAAGTATAACAAATATAACTCAATGCTTTTTGTACGTGGAAACCGAAAGGAAAACCACAGGCCTTTTTGGGCGGTGCCAAGCCTAACTCCACTATGTATTTTGTAGGTGTCTTCGTACATGTTGTATGGCTATTTTGTATCTAGAGATATTGTATAAGAATAAAACTATTTATGATACCGAGAGATGGAGTATGCTTCTTTGTGGTCGAATGGAGCCTTCTTGATAGTCTTCTTGTTGTGTATGTGAATTGCCTTCTCTTGGGAAAGTGGTGTAGGAAGAGTGCTTGTATGTATGAATGATATGTCTTCTTAGAGGAGAAAGAATAGTGAGTGGGAGAAATAGTATTTGGGAGAGTCCTCCCACATGTAGATGAATGAGTATGGATCCCCACTCTTGTTCCCTTTCTTCCTTTTTATAGCTTGAAGAATGAGAGCTAGCCGTTGGGTGATTCAATGGAATAATAAATAGGTTGATGGTGGAGGAATAATAGCCAAGTAAATGGGTCATTAAGAATGATAATGTGTAGTGGGGGTTGCATTTTGACTTGGCGGAAGAGTGTTTAAAGGGTTCCTTATGAGGAATAAATGGAGTTTAATGGCTTTTAGTTGGGTAGTAAATGGGTTAACAGCTAGTTTAAACGGACCGTCCACCCGTGCTGACCTCCGAATCGAGCCGACTCCTGGGTCGAGCCGACCCCTCGGTTTGGCCCATATCTATTCTTGGACTTCTCTTCTTCTTCTGGACTTGATCTCTTTTTTTCTTGAGCCCTGAGCCCACGGGATTCACACCCCATCAGTACCAATTACATTTGCAATACCATCAAGTGTAATTGGTAAAATTAAAAAAGTTTGTACCATTTCGAATAGTAATCTGTAGTATTAAAAGGTGTGAAACGGTAAATTTATGTTTAGTATAATTGGTCTTAAATAAGTAAGCAATACATTTCGAATATTAATAAATTTGCAATAGCATACATAATATTCATTTGCAATCCGTCTTCCATCTGTTAGTACTTATTACCATATACATAATATTCACGCTACAATAAACTGATTACCAATTAATACATTTACAGTATATACCATAATCATGCAATATTATCAATTAATACCTTTTAATTAATTTCCATTAAACATTTACTTACCAAATAAGATTTATTAATTACTTGACAAAAAATTATAAAATATTTAATTAATTTAGAACAAAATTTGGGCGGAAAACTGATGTAGATTAATAATTAGATATATATATATATATATATATATATATATATATATATATATATATATATATATATATATATATAATTAAGTAATAAATATGCTTAGAAAAGTAGATATATTTTATTAATTAGAAATAAAAGAGTTTTCTAAAAAAATTACAAGTCTTAGATATTTTGTAAAAAAGGACCCGGTTAATATTGATTTTATATTTTTAATGATGCGTTATCTCCTCATTCACCGCCAGTGTATAGCATCTATACATCGACGGTGCATCAAATATTAATCCATGATTTAATTATGAAAATAATACTCAATTAACTAAATTGTTTATAACATCATAATTTTTAGGGGTTAATTCCACCATAGATCCCTTGTATTTGGTGACAATTCCAAATTTAGTCTCAGACTATCGTTTTTGCCATTTAACATCCCAGACTATTATTTTCTGGACACTTTTAGTCCTATTCATAATTTTTTCTATTTTTAGTAAGGGCATTTTTGTCTATTCATATTTTTTCATTTATTATTTTTTCTTATTTCAACCGGTTTAATTGGTTTAGAACTTTACTAAAAACCGGTTGAAAAATATAGTTACTAAAAATCAAAGGTTACCTAAAGTTCTAAACTGATTAAACCGGTTGAAACCCGAAAAATAACAAAATAAAAATATGAAAAGACAAAAATACCTTTGCTAAAAGTAGGAATAGTCATTAGAAGGACTAAAAGTGTGCAAAAAACAATAGTCTGAAACTAAATTTAGAATTGCCAGAAAAGACAAGGAATCTCTGGTGTAATTAACTCTAATTTTTAGTGTTATTGTGAGACTTTTTATTTTATATATATATATATATATATATATATATATATATATATATATATATATATATATATATATATATATATATAACGCTATTACAGATTACATCTTAATTTTTGACAAACGTGAATTTCTAGCCGTACTGGTCCATTCTTAATCGTGGTCAATTATAATAATGCTATTACATCTAACTAAAAATGTTATTGCCGTAATTTTTTTAATTAGTTTAATGCTAGTTTTGTTTTTCATTTAAATATTTAAGGAATCAACTTTAAAACTGTTCTTTTATATATATATATATATATATATATATATATATATATATATATATATATATATATATATATTCCACGCCATTAATAGTTTTGTTTTTAATACACAAAGCAGAAAAGGCAAATTTGGAGAATATCTAATTGTGAATAATTTTAATATTTTATGCATTGATACTCGTATTAAAAATGGATCAATATAATATTTAATGCACCTAACATATACCATGTATGGTGTAATAATCATATTTGGCAAATTGGTAATAGAAATGAGTCAACCATAGTCAAGTTGGTTAGGTTATTTACTTTGCAATCAGAATTCACAAAATTACAAGTTAACCTTTTTGGGTTTTAGCAGGTTTTTACTCAACCCATTGGTTTGCATACTTGTGCTCTTTTGTTGGATAGGGGCATAAAGAGAGGGTTTACGCAATGTACATCATTATTAACAGGTTGATCAATTTAAACCCATTAAATTTCTAATAATTCCATCTTTTATAATTGAAAAATAATTAAAGTTGAATAGATAAAATAGAAAATGTTGTAAATTTATAGAAATCTGAGATTGCTTTCCAAATTCTTGCATGAAAGTCCGTGTATAAAATGAACATATATAGTATGTTTCGCTAATAACGCTTTCACTGAGGCTCGAACTCATAATCTTCCACTTGGAAGTCTAACCCCGGTACCATTAGACCACATAGTCCTGGTAACATATATATAGTATGTAGTACTAAGATCTTTGTTATCCCAATCTTCACACTTCAGTTGGCGATGGCGTTGAAATCCATGGGTTTAGCTGTGTTGTCTGTTTTTGCTTTGCTTTGTGCTCAAACCATTAATGGTTTCACGGTAGAACTCATCCACCCTAACTCTCTTTCAAACCCTAATCGCAACCCTTTCAACAGTCAGTTCCATTGGATCCGGCGGGCGTATAACCACACTCGATCACGCGCCGCCTCTATCCAAAGTCGCCTCGGCGGCGGCGGTTCAGCTAAATTCAAGGCCGATATAGAGTCGGAGTCTGGGGGAGGATACGTCATGAAATACTCCATAGGTACGCCGCCGATTGAAACCTACGGCATCGCCGATACCGGCAGTGACGTCACCTGGACTCAGTGCGAGCCATGCATAGATTGCTTCCCGCAAAGCTTGCCGGTATTTGATCCGAAGCACAGCAAATCGTACAAGACGGTCTCGTGCGACTCAGATGCCTGTGCTCTTGTCGGCTATAGCGCCGGCAAATGTTCCGACCGAAACGTTTGCCAGTACCAGATAACCTACGGCGACCATTCCCAAAGCGACGGCAACGTGGCGACCGATACTCTCACCCTCGGCGATGCCTCGTTTAAGAACGTGGTGTTCGGGTGCGGCCACCAAAATAGCGGTACTTTCTTCGGCAACACCTCCGGCATTGTCGGTCTCGGAAACTCCGACATCTCGATCGTCAAACAATTGGATAAAGAGATCGGCGGAAAATTCGCTTACTGTCTGTCTTCTCATCATCCTGATTCCAAAAGCCATATAAGTTTCGGCAAAGACGCCATAGTTAAGGGTTCCGGTGCCGTTTCAACTCCCTTCTCCATAAGCCCTGCGCAATCTACATTTTACCATCTCTCCTTAGAAAGCATCAGCGTCGGCGACAAAAACTTCCCATTGAAGCAATCTATCTCTTCTAACGTTGGTGGTCGTCGGCGCGCCGGCATTAAGAAAACCTCGGCCTATGGCAACATTATCATTGATTCTGGAACCACGCTGACAATCATCCCGTCGGATTTGTTCGATAGTTTGAAATCGGAGTTGACCAAACAGATCCCGGAAACTCCGATAGATGATCCTCAAGGCTCATACGGTCTATGCTACTCGACAAGTGACAAAATTCAGGTGCCAAAAATAGTTGCACATTTCTCTGGCGCCGATGTAGAGTTGTCACCTCGAGGATTATTTATAGAAGTAGAAGAAGGTATCTCTTGTTTCACTATAATTTCAGATATAAAGTTGGGTATCTCCATCTTCGGCAACCTATCAGAAGTAGATTACCTTGTTGGATATGATTTAGCGGCACAAACTGTTACTTTCAAGCCTACTGATTGCTCCAAATATTAAGTTTTAATCTAGCTCGGCTAGTTTGATCTATTTAGCATTATTTTAGTTTACATTTTAATACTCATAGTATTTTGGACAGTAATCCCTAACTCTATAAGTTTTATAACGTCATTTTAATTGAGAGTAATGCTATATTATACTATTGTATTGATGATTTGATGTTGTAAAATTAACCCATAATGGAAAAAAAATTATTATTCTAGTCAATGAATTTGCTATGTAAATTTTATTATTTATAGGCTTTTAAATTTATTACATATATAGCTTATAACATTATATAGATCAGATTATAATCTAATATGTAGTTCATGTAATATATTTTAATTATATAATTATATTAATTCATGATTAGGTAAAGTAATATTAATCATATGAATTAATATTTGTAAACATATATAATTGACTATTTTAATTATATATAAATTGTGTGTGATTAATGTTTGTCTAAATGTTACGTAGTATATATGAACAAAAAAAAATACAAAATGAAACTGACAATATAGATGAGTTAACCTTAGAGGTTAGAGATTCAAATTTGTACTTTAATGAAAATTTTACATATTAAAATTAAAATTTAAAAATTTAAGAGGTGATGTGTTATATAAGCCAATCCGTGGGTTACATGGGTTAGTCCATGTAACTCATGGGTTAAATGGACCAAGCAGCGAATATATAACACTAACCCAACATGTCTTAAAACTGATTAAACATATTGAGCCCGGCAAATTATTGTGTGGACCATGGTTCACACAATGTTATGTGAACCATAATAAAAAATACATTTTTAATATACTAAATATATATTATTTTTGTACTGAATGTACATTATACAATATAATGTACACTCAGTATAAAAATAATGTACATCCCCTGAATACAATGTACATTATTTTTGTACTAAATGTACATTATTTTTATATTCAATGTACATTATTTTACAATATACAAAATATGGTCCATACAAGTTGTGAGGAGTCCACACAATAATGATTGATTAAGCCCTTCTCAATAAGTTTGAATCGCCTGTTTTGATAACTCTATATAAATATATAAATTTTTGAATCAACAATAATGGCCTTATGAATGTCGTTACAAATTACAAAACCTAGTATGGAATGAATTGACTAGTGAGACTGAATTTATTCCCAACTTCTAAATAATCAATTCTGAAATAAATACTCAATTAATTTGTGAGACTTTTTATAAAAAGGTTCTTTTTTTTTTTAAAGTCAAAAATTCAAAATATATTATGTATGAAAGAGCGAATACAACGAGTATATCAACTCAGATGAGAGAGCCAAACTGAGAGCCAGCGGTGTGCCTGTTAATATGTAAATGAAAAAAAAAAAAAAAAAAAAAAAAACTAGCATTAAACTAAATAACAAAATTACGGCAATAGCATTTTTAGATGTAATAGCATTATTATAATTTACAATTGATCATGATTAAGAATGGACCAGTACAGCTAGAAATGCACGTTTGCCAAAAATTAAAATGTAATCCGTAATAGCGTTATATATATTCCGCGTATCATTAATAGTTTTTTTCTTTTTAATACTCAAAGCAGTAAAGGCAAATTTGGAGAATATCTAATTGTGAATAATTTTAATATTTTATGCATTCATACTCGTATTAAAAATATATAGATCAATATTATTTAATGCACCTAACATATACCATGTATGGTTATCATATTTTGCAATTTGGTAATAGAATTGTTGACTTTTCAATTACACGGTTACAAGTTAATCTTCTTAGTTTGAGCGAATTTTTACTTGATCCATTGGTTTACCTCATTGTGCTCTTTTATTAAATATAGGGACATAAGAAAATAGGGACATAAGAAAAGGATTTATGCAGCGTACATCATTATTGTCAGGTTGAACAATTCATACATGGGTTAATCAATTTAAACCCATTATATTAATTTTTGCTTATTGACCATTTTAGTTATTTCCACTACGGAAAACTATAAAATTTCTGACCACCTGAAAGTAATCTTTAATCAAGTCGAAAGTCTTGTTTCGACCACTTTTAGTATTCGGAATAATCTTTATTGCTATTTCCGATCACTTTTTACTTTCAATTTGATTTAAGATCACTTTTAAATGGTCGTAAATTTCAGAATTTCTAGCCGTGTTTAACTCATTAACAATCCAGGTTAAAATTACTAGGTCAACGTATTTTCAATTTCATTAATTTTCATAATTGTTACACGGACCCACGTCTACCCCACTCAATATTATCGTTGCTCGTGATGTCAACATTATTGTTTTAATACAAGAAAATAATTAAATTTCTAATAATTCCATATTTTATAATTGAAAAATGGTTAAAGCTGAAGAGAGAAATTAATAGAAAATATAGTAAATTTCTAAATATCTGAGATTGCTTTCCAAATTCTTGCATGAATGTCCGTGTATAAAATGAACACAGTAGTACTAAGATCTTTAATTTGCTATCCCAATCTTCAGACTTCAGTTGGTGATGGCGTTGAAATCCATGGGTTTAGCTGTGTTGTTTGTTTTTGCTTTGCTTTATGCTCAAACCATTAATGGTTTCACGGTTGAACTCATCCACCCTAACTCTCTTTCAAACCCTAATCGCAACCCTTCCAACAGTCAGTTCCATTGGATCCGGCTGGCGTATAACCACACTCGCTCACGCGCCGCCTCTATCCAAAGGCGCCTCAGCGGCGGCGGTTCAGCCAAATTCAAGACCGATATAAAATCGGATGGGGGAGGATACATCATGAAGTACTCCATAGGTACGCCGCCGTTTGAAACCTACGGCATCGCCGATACCGGCAGTGACGTCACCTGGACTCAGTGCCAACCTTGCACTGATTGCTTCCCGCAAAGCTTGCCGGTGTTTGATCCGAAGCACAGCAAATCGTACAAGGCGGCCTCGTGTGACTCAGATGCCTGTGCACTTGTCGGCTCTAGCGCCGGCGAATGTTCCAACGGAAACGTTTGCCAGTACCAGTTAACCTACGGCGACAATTCTCAAAGTGTCGGTGACGTGGCGACTGATACTCTCACCATCGGCGATTCCTCATTTAAGAACGTGGTGATCGGGTGCGGCCACCAAAATAGCGGTACTTTCTCCGGCAACGCCTCCGGCATTGTCGGTCTCGGAAACTCCGACATCTCGATCGTTAAACAATTGGATAAAGATGTCGGCGGAAAATTCGCTTACTGTCTGTCTTCTCAGCCTGATTCCAAAAGCCATATAAGTTTCGGCAAAGACGCCATTGTTAAGGGTACCGGTGCCGTTTCAACTCCCTTCTCCGTAAGCCCTGCGCAATCTACATTTTACTATCTCTCCTTAGAAAGCATCAGCGTCGGCGGCCAAAGCTTCCCATTGAAGAAATCTGTCTCTTCTAACGTTGGTGGTCGGCGCGCCGGCATTAAAGAAACCTCGGTGAATGGCAACATTATCATTGATTCAGGAACCACGCTGACAATCATCCCGTCCGATACGTTCGATAGTTTGAAATCGGAATTGATGAAACAGATCCCGGAGACTCCCATAGACGATCCTCAAGGCGCATTCGGTCTATGTTACTCGACAAGTGACAAAATTGAGGTGCCAAAAATTGTTGCACATTTTTCTGGCGCTGATGTAGAGTTGTCACCTCGAGGATCATTTCTTGAAATAGAAGAAGGTATCTCTTGTTTCACTTTAGTTCAAAACTCAGATTTCGACCTTTCTATCTTCGGTAACCTGTCCGAGGTAGATTACCTTGTTGGATACGATTTAGAGGCGCAGACTGTCACCTTCAAGCCTACCGATTGCTCCAAATATTAATAATTAAGCTTTAATATAGCTGGACAGCCTCGGCTAGTTTGATCTATTTAGCATTGTTTCAGTTTACATTTTAATACATATAGTGTTTTGGACGGTAATCTTTAATTCTACAAGTTTTATAACATCATTTTAATTGAGAGTAATGCTATATTATTGTATTGATGTTGTAAAATTAACCAATAATGAAAAAATAATAATTAGTTCTAGTCAATGAATTTTGCTATGTAAATTGTATGATTTGTAGGCTTTTAAATTTTATTACATATATAGTTTATAAGTTTATACAGATCAGATTATATATAACAGACTTTATATAATCTAATATGTAGTTCATGTAATATATATTAATTCATAATTAGATAAAGTAATATTAATCACATTAACTAATATTTTTAAACATATATAATTGATTATTTTAATTATATATAAATTGTGTGTGTATAATATTTGTCTTAAAGTTATATATGAACAAAAAAAATATACAAAATGAAACTGACCAGTATTGTTTGAAGAATTTGTTATAATATGGATGAGTTAACCTTGAGGTTAGAGGTTCAAATTTGTACTTTAAGGGAAATTTTACATATTAAAATTTAAAAATTTAGGAGGTGATGTGTTATATAAGCCAATTCGCAATCGTTATACCCTACACCACGGCGCACATAGCACGGTGCGCCGCGCGCCTCCCAAAACGACGTCGTTTTGGGGTCGTTTTGGGAGGCGCGGTAGGAAGTTGCTGGGATTATGTGTATTTGTTCACACAGTTATGTGTATTTGTTCATACAGTTATGTGTATTGGTTCATACAGTTATGTACATTTTTTATACAATTATGTACATTCTTTTTATACAATTATGTACATCCGAATCAGAAAATTTGTGTGTATTATGTTAATAGTTGAGTGTATTATGTTAAAAGTTTATGTTTATTATGTATTATGTTAGATTATGTGTGTTATCTTTTAAAAAGAATATGTATATTTTGTTATATAATTATGTACATTCATGTATACAATTATGTGTATTCTAGTATAACATTATGTACATTCTTGAACAGGGGTTTTTTTTTTTTTTTAAAGAAAAAACTACTGCCACTCACTGGGGCGGGAAATTTCAAAAAAAAAAAAATTAAAACGACGTCGTTTTGCATCTGGGCGCATAGTGCAACGCGCGCCGTGGTGTTGGATATAAATTGCCGCCAATTCGTGGGTTACATGGGTTAGTCCATGTAACTCATGTATTAAACGGGCTAAGCAGATAATATATAACACTACCCTAACATGTTTTAAAACTGATTAAACATATCGAACCCTTCTCAATAACTTTGAATTGCCTGTTTTGATAACTCTATATAGATATATAAATTTTTGAATCAACAATAATGGCCTTATGAATGTCGTTACAAATTACAAAACCTAGTATGGAATGAATTAACTAGTGAAACTGAATTTATTCCCTCTTCTAAATAATCAATCTTAACTATAATATAGCTATATGGTTTGGTGAGCAATTATTGTATCAATAATTGCTCACCAAACCATATGGTTATATTATAGTTAAGAAACCATATAGTTATATAATAGTTAAGATTTATTTATTTACTTATTACATGGTGCATAAAAATTCAAATTAACCTTAATTCATTTTCATCTCTCTTGCCTTATCCAATCCATTCAAAAACTCACAAATAAACTTCAATTGAGATTATTCTAATGAGGTCAATCTTATAAATTTAGTACATAGTATTTAATATTACAAATTTTTAAGAACTTAGTAAACTACAGTAATAATTGAATTACAATTTTCAGAGATAAAATTTTTTCGACCTTTGAGATTTCTAGAGTACTATTGTAGTTTACTAAGTCCTTAAAAATTTGTAATATTAAATACTATGTACTGAATTTTTAATATAGTTTAAGATTTGTAGTAATCCCCCACCTTAAATATCAATTCTTATTTTAATTGTAAATATATTTATATATGTTCATAATTTTATCATAGCAATTCACACATAATTATTAAATAATAAAATATTTACATATGAATAAACTTCATATAGGGTATATTTTTATAACATATTTCCCGTGCATCGCACGAGATAAATACTAGTTCTGAAATAAATACTCAATTAAGTTGTGAAACTTTTTATAAAAAGGTTCTTTTTTTTTTTTTTTTTGAAAGTCAAAAACTCAAAATATATTATGTATGAAAGAGCGAATACAGGAGTATATCAACTCAGATGAGATCAGAGAGCCAGCTGCCCTAGGCAAAGCGTGGTAAATCGACTGTATAATTGGTAGAATCCAATTCAAAATATTTAATACAAGAAATCATATATGAAGATAATGAGTTAATATTTAGATATAATTTTTAAAACTCCGTACCATGTTTTATAATTGGAAATTAGTTAAAGCTCAACAGGAAAATAATAGAAAATATTCTAAATTGACAATTAGTTTAATTGCCGAGATTGTTTTCCAAATTCTTGCATGAATGTCCATATATAAATTGGACAGAGTTGTAAGTAATCGATCTTCAATTCATTCTTCTTCAGCTCCCCTGGCGATGTCGTCTAAATCCATGGATTTAATTAATTGTGGTTTTGACGTCTGTTTTTGCTTTGCTATCTGCTCAAACCATTAACGGCGTCACGCAAAGCAGAAAAGGCAAATTTCAAATTCTAATGTATCGAATGAATTGATTAGTGGGACTGGTTTTATTCCCTTCTCCAATTAATTAATTTTGAAAGTAATAGTCAACTAAATTAGTATTAATCAATGATTTTGTGGTCTAGTGGTATGAAGTTGGTCTTCTAAATGGGAGATTATGAGATTCATCCTCAGTGGTGGTATTGACTTTTTGATCTTGAATAAAAAAATTCAAACGTCATCTATCCTTGACTTTGTGTATTGAGCATCCTTAAACCTCTAAGTTAATTGTGGAAACTTTAGGTACACTAAAAAAAAAAAATTGCTTTATATCTATGATAGTAATGCTACATTCCTCTTCTCGTTTTAACTTTTTATGAGACAATATTTGATTAATATATAGATTTTTTTTTAATGCTATATGGGGTCCGCTTAGTCAGGGTAGCTAATGAATAAAAGAAATTTGAAAAAGAAAAATGGGAGCAACCCATCTAATATGGTCATTGACATCTTGTACTGTGGTATAAATCCTAGGTATAATTTTAATACTAACATGAATAATATTAATAAATTTAGTGTTATAAATGTGAGGCTTTTTATTTTTTTTAAAAAGTTTTAAATTGATTCAAATGAAAAAAAAATATTAAGATGTAATCCGTAATAGCGTTATATATATATATATATATATATATATATATATATATATATATATATATATATATATATATTCCACGCCATTAAATAGTTTTTTTTAATACTCAAAGCAATAAAGGCAAATTTGGAGAATATCTAATTGTGAATAATTTTAATATTTTATGCATTGATACTCGTATTAAATATATATAGATCAGTATTATTTAATGCACCTAACATATACCATGTATGGTGCAATAATCATATTTTGCAAATTGGTAATAGAAGTATTGCGCCAGTCATAATCAAATTGGTTAGATTGTTGACTTTGCAATTACACGGTTACAAAAGTTAACCTTTTTGGTTTGAGTGAATTTGTACTCGACCCATTGATTTATCTTATTGTGCTCTTTTATTGAATATAGCGACATAAAGAGAGGATTTATGCAGCTTACATCATTATTATCAGGTTGATCAATTCATACATGGGTTGATCAATTTAAACCCATTAATTTTTGTTTATTGACCATTTTAGTTATTTAACTCATTAACAATCCAGGTTAAAAGAAAATAAAAATAAATAAATAAATAAAAACAATCCAAGTTAAAATTAGAGTAAATACCCAAAATGGTCCATCGACTATAGCTAAAATTCACAAATTGGTCATCGACTTTCAATTTCAACCAATTAAGTCCTTAACTTTGGAATATTGTCACGATTTGGTCCTCCATCTATTTGACCTTTTGTTGACCGCAATCTTTGAGGATATATATGTAGTTTCACGTGCAAAGCTCAAGAGAACGCTCTTAGAGGTGACATCGTTGTTTCGGACTGGAAGTGCTTCTTCGCTTGCTGCTTGGGGATCACGAGTTGGTTCAACTTAGAGAGCGCTCTTAGACATGACCGCGGTTCCGGTTCCGGTTCGGGTTCGGTTCCGGTTCTGCAAATGGCCAAATCGAAAGGTTCCGGTTCCGGTTGGAACCGTCGGTTCTAACCAGATTTATTAAAAAAAAAAAAAAAGCTTTAATTTTTTAATTTTTTCCGATTTGGAACAGGAACCGGCGGTTCCGGTTCCTTGTCATCTCGAATCTTAACCGGAACCAGAACCGTACGGACCGTTCGATTTCGGTTATGGTTCAACAGTGCATGGTTCGGTTCGAACCGAACTGTGGTCACCCCTAAGCGCTCCTAGAGGTGACAGCGCCGTTTCGGAGGGGGGAAGTGCTTCTCTGCTTGCTGCTTGGGGATCCCGAGCCGATTTAGCTTGCCTACATCGCTTGGAGTCACGGCTTTCTCAAAGAGCCACTCCAGGGACTTCGGCGATCTATCTATCAAAAGCTATAATCTCTCCGGCATGGGGTGTAGCACCGGCAGTGGATTCAAATGTAACAGTGCGGTCTAGAAATGCATCCGGAACCTTAAAAAACCGATGATGGACCATGAAATTACATATATATCATAAAAATGCGCAGTCAACAAACGGTCAAATAGACAAATGACCAAATTGTGTTAAAATTACAAAGTTAAGGACTTAATTGGTTGAAATTAAAAGTCGATGACCAATTTGTGAATTTAGCTATATTCGAGAGACCATTTTAAGTATTTACTCTTAAAATTACTAGGTCAACGGGTATTTTCAATTTCATTAATTTATATAATTGTTAGACGTACCCATGTTCACCCCACTCAATATTATTGTTGCTGACCCGTATGGGCAGCTCAACTGGTCACAGTCTCACCAAGTGAGGGGTTCCTTTTGGAAGAATATTATCGTTGCTCGTGATGTCAACATTTGTGTTTTAATACAAGAAAATAATAAGAATATTATCGTTGCTCGTGATGTCAACATTGTTGTTTTAATACAAGAAAATAATTAAATTTCCAATAATTCCATATTTTATAATTGAAAAATGGTTAAAGCTGAAGAGAGAAATTACTAGAAAATGTTGTAAATTTCTAAATATCTGAGATTGCTTTCCAAATTCTTGCTTGAATGTCCGTGTATAAAATGAACACAGTAGTACTAATATCTTTAATTTGCTATCCCAATCTTCAGACTTTAGTTGGCGATGGCGTTGAAATCCATGGGTTTAGCTGTGTTGTTTGTTTTTGCTTTGCTTTATGCTCAAACCATTAATGGTTTCACGGTTGAACTCATCCACCCTAACTCTCTTTCAAACCCTAATCGCAACCCTTCCAACAGTCAGTTCCATTGGATCCGGCTGGCGTATAACCACACTCGATCACGCGCCGCCTCTATCCAAAGTCGCCTCAGCGGCGGCGGTTCAGCCAAATTCAAGACCGATATAAAGTCGGATGGGGGAGCATACATCATGAAGTACTCCATAGGTACGCCGCCGTTTGAAACCTACGGCATCGCCGATACCGGCAGTGACGTCACCTGGACTCAGTGCGAACCATGCACTGATTGCTTCCCGCAAAGCTTGCCGGTGTTTGATCCGAAGCACAGCAAATCGTACAAGACGGCCTCGTGTGACTCAGATGCCTGTGCCCTTGTCGGCTCTAGCGCCGGCGAATGTTCCAACCGAAACGTTTGCCAGTACCAGTTAACCTACGGCGACAATTCTCAAAGTGTCGGTGACGTGGCGACTGATACTCTCACCATCGGCGATTCCTCGTTTAAGAACGTGGTGTTCGGGTGCGGCCACCAAAATAGCGTTACTTTTTCCGGCAACGTCTCCGGCATTGTCGGTCTCGGAAACTCCAACATCTCGATCGTTAAACAATTGGATAAAGATGTCGGCGGAAAATTCGCTTACTGTCTGTCTTCTCAGCCTGATTCCAAAAGCCATATAAGTTTCGGCAAAGACGCCATTGTTAAGGGTACTGGTGCCGTTTCAACTCCCTTCGACATAAATCCTGAGCAATCTACATTTTACTATCTCTCCTTAGAAAGCATCAGCGTCGGCGACCAAAGCTTCCCATTGAAGCAATCTGTCTCTTCTAACGTTGGTGGTCGGCGCGCCGGCATTAAAAAAACCTCGGCCAATGGCAACATTATCATTGATTCAGGAACCACGCTGACAATGGTCCCGTCCGACACGTTCGAAAGTTTAAAATCGGAGTTGACGAAACAGATCCCGAAAACTCCGATAGACGATCCTCAAGGCCAATTCGGTCTATGCTACTCGACTAGTGACAAAATTGAGGTGCCAAAAATCGTTGCACATTTCTCCGGCACCGATTTAGAGTTGTCACCTCGAGGATCATTTCTTGAAGTAGAAGAAGGTATATCTTGTTTCACTATAATTCCAGGTAGTATCTCCATCTTCGGCAACCTGTCCGAGGTAGATTACCTTGTTGGATATGATTTAAAGGCATAGACGGTCACCTTCAAACCTACTGATTGCTCCAAATATTAATTAAGCTCTAATCTAGCTCGGCAGCCTCGGCTAGTTTGATCTATTTAGCATTGTTTCAGTTTACATTTTAATACCTATAGTGTTTTGGACGGTAATCCTTAATTATACAAGTTTTATAACATCATTTTAATTGAGATTAATGCTATATTATTGTATTGATGTTGTAAAATTAACCCATAATGGAAAAAAAAAAAAATTATTCTAGTCAATGAATTTTGCTATGTAAATTTTATGATTTGTAGGCTTTTAAATTTTATTACATATATAGTTTATAAGTTTATACAGATCAGATTATATATAACAGACTTTATATAATCTAATATGTAGTTCATGTAATATATATTAATTATACAATTATATTAATTCATAATTAGATAAAGTAATATTAATCACATTAACTAATATTTTTAAACATATATAATTGATTATTTTAATTATATATAAATTGTGTGTGTATAATGTTTGTCAAAAAGTTATATATGAAAAAAAAAAAATACAAAATGAAACTAACCAGTATTGTTTGAAGAATTCGTTATAATATGGATGAGTTAACCTTGAGGTTAGAGTTTGAAATTTGTACTTTAAGAAAAATTTTGCATATTAAAATTAAAATTTAAAAATTTAGGAGGTGATGTGTTATATAAGCCAATCCGTGGGTTACATGGGTTAGTCCATGTAACTCATGGATTAAACGGACCAAGCAGAGAATATATAACACTAACTCAACATGTCTTAAAACTGATTAAACATATCGAGGCCTTCTCAATAAGTTTGAATTGCCTGTTTTGATAACTCTATATATATATATAAATTATTGAATCAACCATAATGGCCTTATGAATGTCGTTACAAATTACAAAACCTAGTATATATGGAACGAATTCACTAAATGAGATTGAATTTATTCCCTCTTTTAAATAATCAATTTAGAAATTGTTAAATGATATGGATGCTTGCACAAGAAGTAGTTAGCCACAAGTAGTAGTTAGTTGGTTATTTTCATAACCTCTTTTCCCTCCTTCATCTTTCAGCCATCTTCCATATGTATATGAGCAATGTAACAGTAGCAACTGAACAAATTTTTCCAGTTTTACTTCTTCATCTTCTTAATACTCTTAAGATCTCTTTCTCTTCTGTTATTCATGTTTATTAACATGGTATCAGAGCTCTAAGAAATGGCTTGGCGATCAACAACACATGGATCATCACAGATCTTCCTCCCAACAAAGAGCCAATAGGATGCAGGTGGGTCTATAAGACTAAACTTAAGGCTGATGGAACCATTGAAAGACACAAGGCTAGGCTGGTGGCAAAGGGGTACACTCAAACACATGGACTAGATTACTTAGACACTTTTAGTCCTGTTGCAAAGATCACAACCATCAGAATGCTTCTAGCTGTTGCTGCTATTAAGGGTTGGGCTTTGCATCAATTAGATGTTAACAATGCCTTCCTACATGGAGAATTAAATGAAGAAGTCTTTATGAAACTGCCCCCCTGGTCTCATTTCAAACAAACCTGGTCAAGTTTGCAAGTTAGTTAAGTCCTTGTATGGTCTTAAACAAGCAAGCAGGCAGTGGAACATCAAGCTGACTCATGAGCTGGTGGGAATGGGGTTCAAACAAGCAGTTTCTGATCCTTCCTTGTTTACTAGAGGACAAGATGATGATTTTGTGGCTTTACTTGTTTATGTTGATGATGTGGTGCTTGCCAGTCCTAATTTAAACCAGGTGGTACAAATCAAGGAACATTTGGATCAAGTGTTTCACATTAAGGACTTAGGCCCTTTAAGGTTTTTTCTGGGATTAGAAGTTGCAAGAAGTAGCAAAGGCATCTCAATGACTCAAAGAAAGTATGCTATAGAATTGCTTGAAGAAACAAATTTTCTGGAATGCAAACCTGCTTGTACACCCATGGTTACCTCAATTAAATACAGTAGATCAAATGGCAATACTATTCAAGATGCTACTCAATACAGAAAACTAGTGAGAAAATTGCTATATCTCACTATAACTAGACCTGATATTAGATATGCTGTTCAACAACTATCTCAATTTTTGGACTGCCCCACTGATGTACATATGCAGGCAGCACATAGGGTCTTAAGGTATATCAAATCTGCCCCAGGACAAGGCTTGTTCTTCTCAGCAAAATCCTCTTTACAAATCAAAGGCTTCACTGATTCAGACTGGGCTGCATGTCCAGACACCAGGAAGTCTGTCACTGGTTTCTGCATCTTCCTTGGCAGCACCTTGGTGTCTTGGAAGTCCAAAAAGCAAGTAACAATTTCAAGAAGTTCATCTTAAGCAGAGTACAGAGCTCTTGCCACAGCAGCATGTGAGATCCAATGGTTGATCTATCTATTGCAGGACTTGAAGATAGATGAAAATCTTGCAGCTATGTTGTATTGTGATAGTAAATCTACTATTGCAATAGCTGAAAACCCTGATTTTCATGAAAGAACAAAGCATATTGAGATTGATTGCCATCTAGTAAGGGAGAAGATACAAAAAGGAGTTCTAAGGCTTCTACATGTTACCACCGCAAATCAGCTTGCAGATGTGTTTACCAAGCCACATACAGCAGCCACTTTTCATGGTCTGATCTCCAAGCTGTGTCTACATGATTTGTATACTCCAGCTTGCGGGGGGTGTTAAATGATATGGATGCTTGCACAAGAAGTAGTTAGCTACAAGTAGTAGTTAGTTGGTTATTTTCATAACCTCTTTTCCCTCCTTCATCTTTCACCCATCTTCCATATGTATATGAGCAATGTAACAGTAGCAACTGAACAAGATTTTCCAGTTTTACTTCTTCATCTTCTTAATACTCTTAAGATCTCTTTCTCTTATGTTATTCATGTTTATCAACAGAAATAAATACTCAATTAAATTGTGAGACTTTCTATAAAATGGTTCAATTTCTTTTTTTTTGAAAGTCAAAAACTCAAAATATATTATGCATGAAAGAGCGAATACAATCGTTATATGAACTCAGATGAGAGAGCCCAACTGAGAGCCAGCTGCCCTAGGCAAAGCGTGACAAATCGACGGTAGAATTGGTAGAATCCAAAATATTTAATACAAGAAATCATATCATATATATAAAAAATATATATATGAAGATAATGAGTTAATATTTAGATATAATTTTTAAAACTCCGTATCATGTTTTATAATTGGAAATTAGTTAAAGCTCAACAGGAAAATAATAGAAAATATTCTAAATTGACAATTAGTTTAATTGCCTAGATTTTTTTCCAAATTCTGGCATGAATGTCCATATATAAATTGGACAGAGTTGTATGATCTGATTTGTGTTATTCCACCATAATCCATCTTCATTCTTCTTCAGTTGGCCTGGCGATGTCGTCTAAATCCATGGATTTAATTGTAGTTTTGACATCTGTTTTAGCTTTGCTATTTGCTCAAACCATTAATGGCGTCACTGTTGAGCTCATACACCCTAACTCTCCTTCAAACCCTAATCGCAACCAGTTTGATTGGATCCGGCAGGCGTATAACAACACTCGATCACGCGCCGCCTTCATCCACAGTCGCCTCCTCGGAGTCGACGATTCTTCCAAATTCAAGACCGATATGATCCCCAACGGGGGAGGATACATCATGAAGTACTCCGTCGGTACACCGCCGTTTGAAACCTACGGCATCGCCGATACCGGCAGTGACGTTACGTGGACTCAGTGCCAACCTTGCACCGATTGCTTCCCGCAAACCCCGCCCATATTTGATCCCAAGAATAGCAATTCATACAAAACGACACCGTGCGATTCGGATGCCTGTTCTATCTTCGGCTCTATCTGTTCCGACCAAAAAGTTTGCCAGTACGACATCACCTACGGCGACCAGTCCCATACCGCCGGCGATGTGGCTACCGATACACTAACCATCGGCGACGGCTCCTTCACGGACGTCATGTTCGGTTGCGGCCACAATAATTCCGGCTTCCCCGACGTCAGCTCCGGCATTTTCGGTCTCGGCTACTCCAACGTGTCGTTCGTCAAGAAGTTGAGAAACCAAATCGACGGAAAATTCGCTTATTGCCTGTCTCCTCAGCCTGATTCCAAAAGCTATATAAGTTTCGGAACAGACGCCATAGTTACCGGTGCCGATGCAGTTTCAACTCCCTTCGCTGTAAGCCTTGACAAAACTATATTTTACTGGCTCTCCTTAGAAAGCATGAGCGCCGGAGACAAAAACTTCCCGGTCAAGCAATCTTCCACTTCCGACACCAGTGATCAGACCGGCAACGTTATCATTGATTCAGGAACCATGCTGACAGTCATCCCGACCGATATGTTCAATAGTCTGAAATCGGAACTAACGAAACAGATCCCGGCTACTCCCATAGATGATCCTCAAGGCGAATTCGGGCTATGCTACTCGACAAGTGATAAATTTGAGGCGCCAAAAATTGTTGCACATTTTTCCGGCGCTGATGTATCGTTGTCATCTCGGGGAATATTCCAACAAGCAGGAGAAGGTATCTCTTGTTTGACAATAGTTCCAGATCAACACCTCAATATATTTATCTTTGGCAACTTGTCCGAAGTAGATTACCTTGTTGGATATGATTTGAAAGCCAAGACAGTCACCTTCAAGCCTGCTGATTGCTCCAAATTTTAAGCTTCTATCTAGGGTAATTTTTGCTATTTAGCATTTCAGTTTGCATTTTAATTTTCGTTGTGTTTTGGACTGTAGCTGTCAATTCAATAAGTTTTATAACATCTATTGTTTTACTCTCCAAAAAAAAATTGAAATTTGCTATATAATTGAGTTACAATTGTAGTGTTGATTTTTGACTCCCAATTAATGTGCAGGCTCTTCACAACCCGGTTGGGTTATTAGAGTTGGACCGATCATGATTGATTAGCATGTATTGTACATGACTTATTTATGAACTGGTTTGTAATGATTTTGTAGTTGATTAAAACGACTATATTGAGTCATCTAGGTCCATTGTCCTCAAATTTATTTATTTTTTGTTCAAAAAGGAGAGATAAACCAGGGTGGAGACACTGCTACGAAATATAACTACAATGTCCTCTTGGCTGATCTCTACGCCATGACCTCGCCCCATTCATGTCTTCCCACATCAGATCCTCATCCAAATGAGGCATGTTGTCCAGGCATTGCCCTCCCAGAGCATGCGTTATGTCCCATCAAATTCATTTAAATTCTATCCAATATAATAACATAAGAATTGTAAAATAAAAAACATTTTAGTATTATTTTTCAAATAATTTCAATAATAAGAAAAATAATCTCTCAAATATAAGAATAAGTTGTCTTAAAAAATTCATATTTACAAAACCCGAAGTTCTTTATAAGTTCCGAGAATGTACATTCGGCTTCTAATCGCATACGTTTTCCTTGCTTCACATGCATGATTTGATTGTGCTTATATGTGTACGTCGAATGTCAACATGTCCTCAGTTTGTCCATATGTCGACCCTTATTTTTGAGTGAAGAACCAACCCGCCAACATTATCCGAAAATATGTATTGTATAAATCTTGCTTTATAACCATAATTAAGTAAATTAGACTATGTGACCCATAATTAACCGATTTAAATTAAGAATGTCAATAAATTGCTCATTTTGAGAGATGAATTTGTAACACTTACATCCACTTCACAACATTTTGGCAGCGCAGCTCGCATGGATAGCTGAATTGGTCATAGGGGTGAAGTTTGAAAACAATGACGTAAGATCGAGTTTCACTCACTCACCCGCACACTTTTAGACTTTATAGCATTTATGCAGAAACGAAATAATATAGTTTCCTAAGGGATTCAACCTTTTGAGAAACGCAAAATATAATTTCATTTTTGACTTATTTGTATTGCCATATTGATTTGCACGAAGTAAAACCTTTAAAAAACAACATTCTCAAACATATATCACTCTTACTATCTAGAGCTAATTAAAATTTTGAAAAGTAAGAATCACTAAATCAATGCGGTATAATCACCGTGACGGTAAATATGTTACCGTGAATATTGTTATGAGGCTAATAAGTGACAATAGTATTTTCTTTGTGTTTCAGTCCAGTATATTGAATGTATCATCCCAAGCTGAAGGGAGCATCTACTTATACAAGGGTGCTAACGGTAACAACATGAGACATAAATGGGGAGCTAAGCCTTTAATTCTCTCTCATCAATGGTGGCTTCAATGGCAATAAAGGTGACATCTATTGAAATTCTGCCCGTTGGAGTTTTGTTCGTTGGGTTTCCATGTGGTGCCGGGTCAGATGCCTACTTATGCTCCGGGTCGGGTGTCAGCCTTATTATCCTGTCACACCGCAAATACATTTCTTCTATATAACTGAAGATATTATTCCAATATAAACTTTATAGCATTTATGCAGAAATGTAATAATGTAGTTTCTCCAGGGAATAATTGACAACAGTTTGACAACACAAAATATAATTTCATTTCTGACTTATTTGTATTGCCATATTGATTTGCACGAAGTAAAACCTTTAAAAAAGACAATATTCTCAAACATATATCACTCTTACTAGCTAGAGCTAATTAAATTTCTGAAAAATAAGAATCACTTAATCAATGCGATATAATCACCGCAATTACATTTCTTTTATAATTGAAGATATTACGCCAATATAAACTTTATAGCATTATATGCAATAATAGCATTTATATGCAATAATGTAGTTTCGATGGGGATTCAACCTTTGAGGAATAATAACATTTTGACAGCACATTTGTGTGAAAGAACGAATAATATAGTTAGGCGGAGTATTTCAACTAGGGCTGTCAATGCAGGTTGGCCCGCTCCATTATGCCCTTCCCACTGCAGACTTTTTTTGTGGCCGAACCTCGAAGCCTGCAAACTAAGATTATACAACCCTACCTCATGCGGGCTCGCGGGCCTAACTTTAAAAATAAATAAAAATTTTAAACCTCAAGGTCTTAACCCGCCTCACCGCGGGGTGGTTTAGGGTTGGCCCACGGGCTTTAGTTGACACTCGTCATTTTAACTAACTTAGGTTAGCGAGCCAAACTGAGAGCCAGGTGCCCTAGTCAAAGAGTGGCAAATTGTGGGTAGAATTGGTGGAATCCAAAATATTTAATACAAGAAATCATATATGAAGATAATGAGGTAATATTTAGATACAATTTTTAATATTCCATGTCATGTTTTATAATTGAAAATTAGTTAAAGTTGAACAGGAAAATAGAAAATATTGTAAATTGACAATTAGTTTAATTGCCGACGACATTGTTTTCCAAATTCTTGCATGAATGTCCATATATAAATTGGACAGAGTTGTAAGTAATCATCTTCAATTCATTCTTCTTCAGCGCCCCTGGCAATGTCGTCTAAATCCATGGATTTAATTGTGGTTTTGACGTTGTCTGTTTTTGCTTTGCTATCTGTTCAAACCATTAATGGCGTCACTGTTGAGCTCATACACCCTAACTCTCCTTCAAACCCTTATCGCAACCCTACCAACAATCAGTTCGATTGGATCCGGCAGGAATATGACAACACTCGATCACGCGCCGCCTTCATCCACAGTCGCCTCAGAGACGACAATCCTTCCAAATTCAAGACCGAAATGATGCCCTACGGGGGAGGATACTTCATGAAGTACTCCATTGGTACACCGCCGTTTGAAACCTACGCCATCGCCGATACCGGCAGTGACGTCACCTGGACTCAGTGCCAGCCTTGCACCGGTTGCTTCCCGGAAATCTCACCCATATTTTCTCCGGCGAATAGCAATTCGTACCAGACGACGCTGTGCAATTCGGATACCTGTTCTATCTTCGGCTCTATCTGTTCAGACCAAAAAATCTGCCAGTACTACCTCACCTTAGGCGACGAGTCCCATACCGGCGGCGAGGTGGCTACCGATACACTAACCATCGGCGACGGCTCCTTCACGAACGTAATTTTCGGGTGCGGCGACAATAATGTCTTCTTCCCCAACGTTACCTCCGGCGTTGTCGGTCTCGGCTACTCCAGCGTGTCGATCGTCAAGCAGTTGGGTAACAAAATCCGCGGAAAATTCGCTTATTGCCTGTCTCCTCAGCCTGATTCCAAAAGCTATATATGTTTCGGAACAGACGCCATAGTTTCCGGTCCCGATGCAGTTTCAACTCCCATCGCCGTAAGCCTCGACAAAACTACATATTACTGGCTCTCCTTAGAAAGCATAAGCGCCGGCGACAAAAACTTCCCGGTCAAGCAATCTTCCACTTCCGACACCAGTGGTCAGACCGGCAACGTTATCATTGATTCAGGAACCACGCTGACAATCATCCCGGCCGATGTGTTCGATAGTCTGAAATCGGAACTGATGAAACAGATCCCGGCAACTCCCGTAGATGATCCTCGAGGCTCATTCGGGCTATGCTACTCGACAAGTGATAAATTTAAGGTGCCAAAAGTTATTGCACATTTCTCTGGTGGCGCCGATGTAGCGTTGTCACCTCCGGGATTATTCCAACAAGTAGATGAAGGTATTTTTTGTTTGGCAATAATTCCAGATCAAGATCTCGGTATATTCATCTTCGGCATCATGTCCGAGGTAGATTACTTTGTTGGATATGATTTGAAAGCCAAGAGAGTCACCTTCAAGCAATCAAGCCTGCAGATTGCTCCAAATTTTAAACTTCGTTCTATCGGCTAAGCTAGTTTTTGCTATTTAGCATTTTATTTTGGACTGTAAGTAGCTGTCAATTCAATAAGGCCCGTTTGGTTCACGGAAAATATTTGAGTGGAAATAAAATTAAAATTCAATGGAAAAGAAATTAACAGGAAGATTAATTACATTTTTTGGTTGGTGAAAAATAAATTAATAGGAATATCGATTCCATTGTTTGGTTGAGTTTGGAATTGTAAGGAATAATAATGAGTATAAAGACAACCAGGGCCTGTTCTGAGCATGTCTAACATGAGCAACCGCACAGGGCCCCCAATTTTTGGGGCCCCATATTTTTTTTTATGTATATATATTATACAGAATTTTAGACTAAGTGCATTGAGACTCATGCTGGCACTCCTGATCAGAGAATCATGCATGGAGATTACTGCTCATATTGAACAATTTGATGAGAGTGTTGATGAAACTTCATTATCACCAGAATAATCTTTTATGGTTCATTTTTTTTTTATACATGAGCAACATGGAGTATATGAAGGAACTTTAGGTTTTTTTGTGTAGTTGTAACAAGTTACAATCGATGGCTACTATATATAGATTTGAAGTCTTGTTGCATTTGTTTAATTAGAAGCACCTTTTAAGAGAGATGAACATTTTGGTGATATTGATGGAAATGAATTATATATTGAGCTAAAATTGTTTAAAGAGATTTTATTGAAAGAAAAGATAGGGGCAGTGAGTATATTGAATTCATTGAAACAGATGGGTTGTTTTCCAAATGCTACTATTGCATATCGAATATTATTGACTATCTCAATTACTGTTGTCTCTGCATAAAAGAGTTTTTCAAAGTTGAAATTGTTGAAATCTTACTTACGATCAAGTATGTTGCAAGAGAGATTTGATCAATTGCACGGCACGTGTCAAATGAGCTTTTGGAAGGAGTACACTGTACACTTGATATCAAAAGTTTGGTAGATAATTTTGCGTCTAAATGTGCACGGCGCATGTCACTTTTTAAATGAAATTTTAGATGTATTTTTTTTATACAATATTTATATTTTGATACAACTTTTTGAATAACTATATAAATTACTTATAAAATGGCTCAAATTAATAGGGCCCCAATTTTTATTGGAACGGCTCTGAAGACAACTATACTTCTACATAATAATAACAACAACATTAATAATGGTAATTAATAAAAGTTTGCATAATTGTCCTACTTATTTTCCATGAAAAAAATATTTTTCATGAAAAACAAAATATCAAGGGAGACCATGAAAATGTTTTTCATCTTAACCTCTGGGGGCACTTTAGCTCCTCTTACCTCACCAAAAAATAAATGAAAAATATTTTATATGAACCAAACAAATTAATAGAAAATTTAGTTTTCCTCAAATTTAAAGAAAATTTTTCCATGAGCCAAACATACCCTAAGTTTTATAACATCTATATATAATTTTAATTAATAAGGATAATATGCCCGCATGGGTAGCTCAACTGGTCATAGATGTGAAACAAATAATGACCAGGGATTGAGTCTCACCAGCGACAGTGTATTCCTTTGGAATAATTAATAAGAATAATATAGCGTTGGACCGATCTTGGTTTGTGATGATTTTGTACTACTAGACTAAAGTGAGTAAGTGACTAGATTGTGTCATATATATAGGTCCATTATCCCATCAAATTCATTTAAATTTTATCCAATATTAACATACGAATTATAAAAGGAAAAAAAAAAACTATTTCAGTATTATTTTTCAATAATAGTAATATCATACGTGTTACTTTAATTAGATAAAATATCAAATATTTACTAATAAGAAATTAAAACCAATCCCCTTAAAAAGTAACAATCTGTTATTATATTTAGTAATAGTTATGCTTTGGAAATAGTAATTATTTAGGTAACACTAATCAAGTTGATAAAATTTTAAATTTTAATTCGTGATAAGAATAGCTTATTGATCGGTACAAATTATTTTTGTACAATTTAACTTTTAAAATACTAATAAAAAAATTGACGTTCAAGTTGATGGCTCCAGTTAGTGGGTCCTAGCAGGCTATCGCCGTCGGCAATATTATCATCTACTCGGGGGCCGAATCGACACTCCCTCCGCTTGATTTCTACAAGAGTTTGAAGTTAGAGGGAATGGGTTTGATTTTGAAGATTTTATATTTTAATGTGTGATGCAAAATATAATTCTATTTCTAACTTATTTGTATTGCCATATACTAAAAAAGAAACAATATTCTCAAACATATGTCTTTCTTACTAGCTAGAGATAATTAAATTTCTAAAAGGTAAGAATCACAGAATCAATATGGTATAATCACCACAATTACATTTCTTCTACAATTGAAGATATTATCCCAATTTAAACTTTATATATGGTATAATCACCACAATTACATTTCTTCTATGATTGAAGACATTATCCCAATTTAAACTTTATAGCATTTATCCAGAAATGCAATAACCTAGTTTCTCCAGGGATTCAACCTTTAACAACACAAAATATAATTTCATTTTTGACTTATTGTATTGTCATATTACTTATTCATATATATTTTTTCAAACTACTGAAGCTTAACGAGTCAATCTGAAAAATGGAGGGTCACTTCGTGCCGTTTGACCACAAAATCTTAGCATATTGCCATTTTTTTTTTTGGTAGAAACGGCATATTGCCATATTGATTTGCACAAAGTAAGACTTTTAAAAAAGAGAATATTCTAAATTAAACATATATCACTCTTACTAATTAGAGCTAATTAAAATTTTGAAAGGTAAGAATCACTAAATCAATGGGATATAATCACAGCAATTACATTTTTCTTCTATAATGGAAGATATTATCCAAATTTAAACTTTATAGCATTTGTGCAGAAAAATGCAGTACTGTAGTTTCTCCGATCCCCTATAAATGGTGAGCAGTGTTAGAGGATTCCATTATATTCCATCTCCTTAGCTTCCTCCTCAACAGTAAAAATGGCGTCCAAAATATTCATGATCTTCGGTGTTTTTGCTATGCTATTTGCAGAAATCAATGGCATTACCCTTGATCTTATCCACCCTGACTCTCCTAAAAACCCCTTCCGCCACCCTTCCCAGTCACGGTTCGAATATATCCGCCATGCCTTCCGCCAGTCTCAGTCGAGAGCGGCGTATATCAATCATCGCATTAACGGCGATTTCTCGGCAAAGTTCAAGACCGTCGTGAAGCCCGCTCCGGGAGGGTACGTCATGAAGTATTCCATCGGAACGCCGCCGTTTGAAACGTACGGGATTGCGGATACCGGCAGTGATATTACGTGGACCCAGTGCAAACCATGCACAAGTTGCTTCGACCAATCTCTGCCGTTGTTTGATCCCAAGGACAGCAGCTCTTACGCATTGGTGTCGTGTGATTCCGACACGTGTAGCTCCTCACAGAGCTTCGGTTGTGGGACCGACGATGAATGCCAGTACGAGGTGACGTACGGCGACCAGTCGTCGACGGTCGGGGATTTGGCTATCGACACTCTCACCTTAGGTAACACGTCCTTCAAGAGCGTTTTGTTCGGTTGCGGCCACGAAAACTCCGGCACGTTCAGCTCCGACACCTCCGGCATCGTCGGCCTCGGCGGCGACGGCGCCACCTCCATCATTTACCAGTTGGACAAGAAAATCGGCGGCAAATTCGCCTACTGCTTATCCCCGGATGCGAATTCCACTAGCCACATAAGTTTCGGCCCTGACGCCGTGGTTCGTGGCACTGGCGCCGTTTCCACGCCGTTAATCAAAAAAGCCGAGCAGGCTACCTTTTACTGGCTCAACTTGGAACGCCTCTCCGTCGGCGGCAAATCCTTAACGGTCAAATCTCCGTCGGTTTCAATCAGCGGCCGGCGAGCTGGAGGCATCAAACAGGCTAGCGTTGAAGGCAATATCATCATTGACTCCGGAACGACACTTACTTATCTCCCGTCGGATTTATACACGAGCTTCGAATCTGCTGTTAAAGACGCAATCTCCGCCACGCCGGTGAGTGATTCATCAGGCCTATTCCCGTTGTGCTACTCATCTGACAGTCTTGAGGTGCCGACAATTATTGCACATTTCACCGGTGCCGACGTGGAGTTGTCGCCGAAAGGCACTTTCGTTGAAGTGGAAGAAGGATTGGTCTGTTTGACCCTCATCCCGAACACGAATCTTGGTGCTGATTTAGCCATCTTCGGCAACCTGTCGGAGACAGACTACATCGTCGCTTACGACTTGGTGGCCAAGACTGTTACCTTTAAACCTTCTGATTGCTCTAAGTTTTAATTTGTTTTTATTTGGCATTAGAATAACATATACCGAATAATTTTGTATGGTTCAATATCATATTTGCTTGAATAAATTATTATTATTATTAGAATTATACTGCGATTGTCATTTTTTACTCGTATGTCATCCAATGAACTACAATTTTTATTTATTCAATTCCCCTTTCTTTACACAATAAAACATATACATGTACGTACACACACATGTGTTTGTGTGTGTATATATATATATATATATATATATATGTAGTCATATGAAAATATGAAAAATATTATGAGACAAAATTATGATAAAAATATAACTATAATTCTATGAGAAATGGCTGTTGGCATGCACATGTGAATGCACTTTACGTAAATAATTACTTTTTTTTTGTTAACCAATCATTTCTCAAAGTAGAGGGACTAAATTGAACAAAATAAAAATATAAGGACTAAATTGAACAAAACACTATTAGTACTTTGGCCATCATTTCACAAAGTGGAATAATTATTTTCAAAAAGAATTAATTCCATTTTTGGTCCTAGATTTATAGGTATCAATCCATTTTAAATTTTTTTTGTTACTAGAACATTCACTTTTGGTCCTAATATTATTGTGGCATGATTATTTTTTATTCTTTATCAACAAAATAGTTTAAATATTGTTGACTATAAGGGTATTTCGGTCATCAATTTATAGACTTTTTTTCAAAAAAATAAATAAACATAAAAAATATAACAATTTAACCTACTTTATATACAAACATTTTAAAAATCGTTGAATATAACGACATTTTGACGATTTTGTTGAAAGAAGACTAAAAATAGCCATGACACAATAATTTTAGGATTACATGATGATGTTTTAATAAAAAAAATGACTAAAAATCAATTGTCACCTATAAATCTACGATAAAAAATAGAATTTACTCTTTCCAAAAAGTTTTAATTTCAAAGTTCTTGCCATTTAAAAACTATCTCGAAGATAATGTTTAAGGAATTACTTAAAATGTGAAATTAAATTGTGTGAAATCATGCCTAAAATCTTTATTGAAAAAGTAACTGATATGATTTCATAAAATATAAGCAATTACGTGAAAACACAGTTACCTTTAAAGAATATTCTTTAATTTATGAGAAAAAAAATCGCAAGAACTACCTTAGTCAACAAATATTGGTCGAGCTGTTGTTGAAATTTGATTTCTTAACTAGAGCGGTCTATTGACTTTATAGATTTGAGGTCACAATTCACAAAGCATTTACCCAGTTCACACCATCGAGTCTTTTCCTCTCCACATAAAAAAAACTGTTATTCCAATTTTTTTTTTAATGATCTAAGATCGATTCGGTGACTGATTGTTTATTTGTATTTGGTGTGCACGGATTTAATGAGTCGCAATGCATTTAGGGTGCGATTATACGTTTTCCCATCAGATCACTTAATCGACTCTCCATGTTCATTCATGCATGCATCTACGCTTTCATCACTGTCTATAAAGTGTAAGCACCCATGACTTCCCATTTCAACAATGGCTTCCAAAATCTTTTCCGTTTTCGCGGTTTTTTATCTGTTTTCTGCTCAGAGCAATGGCTTCACAGTCGACCTAATCCACCGTGACTCCCCTTTGTCCCCTTTCTTCAACCCTTCCAACTCCCGATTTGATTCTTTACGGGAATCTTTTCGCCGCTCCCAAGCACGCGCCGCCTACTTCAAGAAACGCGCCGCTTTGGGCTCTGCTAAGTTCGTGGTTGACATCGAGGTTATCCCGGGAGAATACATCATGAAGTTCTCGATTGGTACGCCGCCGGTGGAGACTTTTGCCATTGCCGATACCGGAAGTGATCTCACCTGGACGCAATGCCTACCCTGCGTTCGCTGCTTCGACCAGGACTTTCCGCTGTTCGAACCTCAAAAGAGTTCGTCTTATAGATCCTTGCCGTGCAATTCGCCCCTCTGCTCGGAGTTTTTCTGCGCCGCCGCCGGTAATGTTTGCCAGTATCAGTATAGTTACGCGGACGAATCCAAAACCGTCGGCGTGATTGCCAACGAAACCCTGCTCCTTGGTAACGCTTCTTTCCCGAATGTCGCGTTCGGTTGCGGCCACCAAAATGGCGGCACGTTCACCGACGCCGCCTCCGGAATTGTCGGCCTCGGCGGCGGCCCGGTCTCCATCATCACACAGTTGAGTAAACATATCGCCGGAAAGTTTGCCTACTGCTTGCCGCCACCCCAACCATCGAATATCTCCACTCACATCAAATTCGGCCCCGACGCCGCCATGGCTCCGGATACCGCCGTCGTTTCGACTCCCTTAACCCCAAAAGCCCCGGCGACATTTTACTGGCTCACCCTGGAAAACATTAGCGTTGGGAACAAGACCTTGAGGAACAACCAATCATCTGAAACTCTCGGCCGGGAAATGGGTAACATCATCATTGACTCGGGAACGACAATGACTTATATCCCGCCCGATCTGTACGACCTTTTGGAATCGGAGTTGAAGCGGCAGATTAAGAAGACTCCGGTGAATGATCCGGAAGGCGTCTTTAAGCTCTGCTTCCAAACTAGCGGCGGCTTGGAGCTGCCAAGCATCGTTGCACATTTCACCGGCGCCGACATTGAGTTGTCGCCGAAGGGTATATTCATTTTTGTGGATGAAAGCGTGGTTTGTCTGACGCTTTTCCCGGCGACGGAGATTGATCCCATCTTCGGCAACTTGTCGCAGGTTGACTACATTGTTGCATATGATTTGGTCGGGAATACTGTTAGCTTCAAGCCCGCTGACTGTTCCAAGTATTGATCGAGCTAGATGCGTAGATCCATGTAGTCCCAGTTTGATATGAATTAATATATATTATGCATGGCTTGTGTTTAATTCAACTTAATTACTTTTTCCAGTTACTTGCTAATACCTACTTTGGATAAGGATTTGTCGCGTTTACTGTTTAGAATCCAGTTGTGTTGATTTGTAATGCTAAAACGGCTGGACTTATTGGTAATTTATTAGTACACATTTTAACTTTAATTATTATTATTTATAGTCTAAATTTGTATTCTTAATCTTACTTAATAGTCCAAATTAATATTATCCTATTCAATGACAAAGAATCAATTAATTAATAAATATAAATAGTTATAGCTTGCTCGGTTTTGACTTTTGAATTCTTAATTGAGAATTTCCGTTTCAAATTTGAGTGAAAATTTGTGAATAATTAAATTTCATTCTTTAAAAATAAACTCTTTTTTGGGATACATGTGATAACTGATAAGTGCATAATTGTTTATATTTATACCTCATACTTCACTTTATTTTTTGAAGTGTTACATTTGTATCAAAAATGATTCTTATTTTCTTCATTTGATCAATTCGGAATTGAACAATTTATTATCTTTGAGACATTTAGTATAAATAAAGGAGTTTAGAGCATTTTTTATGTAGTAGGAGTCAATGAGATCCAACGTGAAGCTAAGAGGATGGATAACATATTTTCAAAGGAGTAAAAAAAGTGATATTTTCAATGGTTTCGATTATATGGATAAACCAAGGCAAAAGTGAAACAAGTGTCAAAAAACTAAAATTCTCACACAGATTGGTCATATTATTCGGTATTTAGACCATATCTCAGCCTATAAATGTCCAAATTATTTTTTTTTTTTTGTCATTGGATAGAAGACTCAAAGAGATACAACTCTTCCCATCAAAAAAAGAGATACAACTCTTATGAAGACATCAATACCTAAAAAGGAAGTCACATGGGTCAAAATTGTCCTTGAAGTTTAAGTTCCAAACTTACATATTTCATCCAAAATCAACCAAAATTTTGATTTTGACCATATCTTGATATAGGATCGGAAGGTTAAAATGGGATGATTCCAACGACATTAAAAAGATAACTTGAAGAGATACAATTTTGATGAACACCATAAAATCATTTGCTAAATATTCGAGATCAAAATGAATGGAGAATGACTCAACATTCTCACTATGTTGCATGGTTCATTTTAGTCGTACAATCGAACCCTGCCATCACAAGTTTGAATAATCAACTTTGTGTATGTTGCATTATGTTATTAAGGGAGTGTTTGGTAAATAGTTGTTAGCTGATTGGTTTAATGGGTTTAATTAGTTGATATCATTAGCTGATTGTAGAAAGATGTTTGGTAAATTAACTGTTAGTTGATAGTTGATTACATACAAAATGACTATCTCAAAAAGCTTACCGAAAAAACTACTTTGAGTAGCTTTTGGAATTGTAGCATTTTTGAGCACTAAACTGTTTAAAAAAAAAAACTAATTAATTAATCAAACACTTATATTGGTTATTTAATCAAATCAAACAACTAATAATGGTCAAACAAGTCAAAATTAGCTAATAAGCTAACCATGTTACCAAATAGGGCTTAAGTTGTTTTTAAAAATTGGAAAAAGTGTTAAATTGACACCCTAAGTCGAGTGGATAGTGCAATTGAGTCCCCTAAGTGAAAAAAACTCCATTCAGGTCCTCAAAACCTGTAAAATTGTTCAATTAAGTCCAAGTTGACTTGTTTATCAGGTTAAATGCATATGGTGTTGACACATGACCTTATTTTATTATGTACTTTGTTTCATTTTACTTGTTTACTATTCAGTGAATCATTGGTCAAATTAACTATTTCTTCTTTACTTATTTTTTTAATTAATTTTTAATTATTTTTAAAATTTGATTTTTCATGTATAATATGACTTTCAGTATAATTTCTAAAAATATATAGATTTTATATATTAATAATAAATTTAATATTATGAAATTGAATAAAAAGATTCAGTCAAATCTGGTTAATTAACTGAACCAACATATAATATAAGGTAAAAACTTGTGTGATGCCGTCTAAGACGGATTAGGTTAAGATTAAAATGTATTACAATTGAGCATATAAGTATGACGTTTGTGTGATGATCCGATTCGACTCGTCACGTCTCACAAAAAAGAATACGTGAGATGGTCTCACACAAGTGTGACCCATAATTTAAAAAATAAAAAATGAGAACTCATAGTTGCTGATTACTTGCTGCTCCTATGTGATTTACTAATCTCTTTAGTGTAGTACGGCCAATTGCTTAACAACAAATCCTTATCCTTATTATAAAATAAATCAAACACTTCATTCAAATAATTGGAGCCAATCCAATCATTTTAATTATTTTAATCACTCTTCCAAAAATAATCCAAGGAAGATGAAATTCCGGCGTCACTCTACACTAAGCAGAATTTGATTAAGGTAAAAGGAGCAGATCGAATGTGAGGGCAGTAGTTGATGACAACCGCAGCGTCGGTCGCACGTGCGGAGGGTCACCCATTGTAACGTGCGAAAGCACTCCACATTCCACAATGATTGTCTGTTTCCGCTGGAAGGCTGGCTGATGCGGCTTTCTTTCAATCGGAGCATCAATTCTCACTCTCTCTCTCTCTATCTACACTTACTACTACAACGCTAGCTTGTCGCAATCTCCAAAATCTCTAGAGAGAGAAAATTGCTTCACTGTTCTTTACTGTTTCCCTTCTATCACTACAGCTCTCAACTCAACTTTACAGCTATACTTTCCATCTCTCTCTCTCTCCTTTTCCATGAACTGAAAGCCTGAAATGAGCTCCCACCGCTGCTTCACAGATCGAATCTAACTCTGTCCAGGTATTCGCTTTGTTTACTGGTGTATTTAAATCAATCGCGCTTTACGTTATGTAAGTTATTGGAAAAAGGATTCAACGAAACGCACGGTTCACTGCTTTGATTGTTGTCCGCCGTATCAGTGCTTGATTCTCGAAGCAGTTATCTGAATTGCGCAGATTGTTTGTCTGTTTCTGTGAATGTATGCTTTTATTTTTTGTATTTTTATCTTTCTGTTCAGTTTGGGGGAATTTCGTAGCTGCGTAAGCGAGCAAACTCTTTTTGCTATAAGTAAAATTCCGTGTTTGGGGGTTTACACAGTGAGATGAATTTACGCGTTGCGATAGTATTAACTTGTTTTAAAGTGATTGTTGATGAAATAGAGGCGCTTATGAAGCAGATTTTGTAATTTATAATGGAGCTTTTAAGCTTTTCAATATCCGGAATAGTTTTTTATTTTTATTTTTTCCACATATAAAGACGAAGTTGTATATGCATTCAGGAATATAGTGACACTTGCTGAACTTAAATTAAGAAGAGGTTAATTTTGCTTAATGTGCACGAGTGGGCAGTGGGACATGATCTAATGTTTATCTCCAAGGATGGAAGTTGGAAATAATGAAAATTGTGCTTAAAAAGAACAGGATGTGTAGGAATGTCACAACTTCCTCTCATTGCTTAACTTAATCGTTTCATTAACTGCTAAGTTACATAGCAAGCCCTTGCTTGTGCATAGAATTCTCATTAGCTCTATTGGATTTGATTGGTAAACACTTCCTTGCACTTATTTATTTATTATTATTTTTTAAAAGTGCTTCCTTAAGTTGAAAGGCTAACTTAGCATCAATGATGTTTCATCCCATAATTCTTGGCTGTACGGTACTCCTATGATATTGTTAAATTTGAGTTAAGTAGTTGTCTAGATTTGACTTTTGATCAACTTAACCACATTGCATTCTTATGCAATGTCACAACCTTAAATCTGTTGAGATATAGCCACATAAAAGCAGTGGGAGTGCAGAACAGAGTCCATTGAATTTCTTTGAAACTTAATAGGTTTTGTAATTCACTGGAAAATGATATTTGTTTGTGAAATTCAGTTAAAGTTTGAGTGAGTAGATACAGTTGCCTTACTGTAGTTATTTTAATCTAAATTCTGGTGCTGAATGGAAACACCTGTAATTAGTATATGACTATATTCATTGAGAAAGTTATCTGAACAAGTTCTTATTATTCTCTGCATTTCACTATTTTCAAGATGATGATCATATGCTTTTGTCCTCCCAGGGAGCTAAAATATCTTTGTAAAGTGGCTTCTCTTTTGTATCATCAAGTTTTTAACTGTATGTCCACGGGAGCAATCACTCAGCCTGTTGCCTCAAATGATTTGCAATAATCCTATGCTTGACCAGTGCCAAAATGGGCAGATTTTGTCTGAATTCTGGGCAGCCATTGCTTTTATACACCCTGTTACTCTGCATTTTGGTAGAAGTGCAACCTCTTAGTCCTGATGGTAAGATGTCTATTCTATGTTAAATATGTTCTTCCCTACTTGCTTTATGTACTTTAGAAGTTAAGCTCCATTGAACTATAACATTTGGAATTGGGAGCATGTTAGTAAATACTCAATGAATTCAATGAAAATCCAAGTCTAGTGCCATTATCAGACCCTTAAACAAGGGATTTTACATGTGTATTATACAGCATAAATTTTCAGTAGTTTATAGATGAAGATTCTCAGGAGTATATAGATATGTTTTTCTCCCTAATCATCTCTTATTTCTTTTCAGTTTGTAATCATTTTCTGTATAGATGAAATGCATTGAATAGTGATATACTGGTTATCCATAAGGGGAACTCTCAGCCATCTCGTTTCAGCCTCTTTAGTTTGTGCTACAACTATTATCAATAGAATCTCAGGTTTTCTATTTTTGCCAAGTTAATATAGAACATCACATGTCTTTGCAGGTCAAGCACTTGTTAACTTTAAAACAGCACTAATTAGTTCAGATGATGTTCTTCACCAGTGGAGACCTGAAGATCCTGACCCATGTAGGTGGAAAGGAGTAAAATGTGACCCCAAATCAAAGCGAGTTACATCCTTGTGAGTTTCTTTTGTATTCTGAAAATATTTTAAATCCTTTTTGATATTGTATTTTGGGTGAACATTCATCGACATATTTGTTTAAGAAACAAAAGTTGGTTTCTTAATATGTTTTATGTTCTTTCAAAAAATATGTTTTATGTATTAATTTGGTTCAAATTGTTGGGTCAGTAATCCTATCCTGATATTACTCCATGAAATTGTTGATGGATGAGATTCATCTGTTTTGACAACCGTAGATGATATGAGTTCCAAGGTTGGACAACTTAGTCACCACTTTCTTCAAGATCAAATGTTTTCTATTTGTTCAAACATAATTCCAGCATTTTTAAAGATTGCAACTTGTTTGCCTTGTGTGTTTGGCTTTCTTTTGTATATGCTTGTCTTACCTGATAGAGAAAAGTCACTGCCAATTTAAGAGTACACACAAACACATTCTTAAAATTTTAAGCATTTTCAATTCATTTTAGTTGGATGCAGAAGTTTAAATTGAAACTCCTAATGGTTATTGTTATTTACTGATCTAGGAGCCTACCTAATCACAAGTTGAGTGGACCTATATCACCAGACATCGGGAAACTACAACAGTTGCAATTCTTGTACGAATCCCTATCTCCACTTTCTCTAAAATGCTTACAGTTGTTGCAAATCTGCTAATACAATGTTGTATTTGCAGATCACTTCATGACAACAACTTTTATGGGGAAATACCTTCTCAGTTGGAAAACTGTACAATGCTGAAGTCTTTGTAAGTATCTGCTGCAGTTCAGTGAAGACTCTTCTTTTTCTGATATTTTCAAAAGCTAAATGAAGAGGAATGGCTATATTACAGTTAAAACTCTCTTTGGTCACAGATTGGAGTCAATGTTCCCTTTTGTATTTTCAACTGAATGATCTTTGACAATTATATACCTCTTTTGCCCATTGATATTAGTCAAAGATCACTAGTTAGTGCAGATTAATTATGTATAAGGGATTCTTCTGCTTAATTTACTTGCTCATTTCAAGTACCCTGCATTATTAATCTCTCTTTATCACAGGTTTTTGCAGGGTAATTATTTGAGTGGACTGATTCCTGATCAACTGGGAAACTTTCTTGATCTTGAAAATATGTGAGATTCTTTTCCTCATGTCAGTTTCTTGGTATTTTTATGCTTATGCATGCTGGTTTCAGCATTCTTGTGTGGGACTGTTATAACTGAGTCTGACCTGGACAAGGTTACCTGGTAGTCTGGTACTGCACTGGCAGATGTTTTTGTTTCTTTCTAAAATTATAATGGAGATAAGCATCAAATTCTTCACTGTCAATGTTCTTGAGGGTATGATAGATATTTTTATTTCCCAATTAGAGTGTTACATATTTTGACACTCATCAATCATCATCACTCCCAAGTTTGGTACTAGTAATATTCTGCACTCTTTTCCCAAAGATGTATAATTCTGTAGGTCCTCTTGTCAATTACTTCTGTTTATGCAAGGTTGATTTGGCTGTCAAAAGAAAGAGCATTCATATATCTCTTTGATGTAGGTTTGTGTATATATTCATGCATTCATATTGATAATGTTAACCTATTACATGGCAATGAGACCAACCTGTTTTAATGAGCAAAAGCTGTGGCACTTAGCAGTCCCCAATTAACAGCAAATCATGATAAATTCTGATTGGGTAGCCTGAGCAGTTTTCGGTAATCCAATCAATGATTTTCAGGGATCTTTAGTAATGATAATTTGCTTTGTGCAGGGATCTCTCTAGTAACTCTCTCAGTGGAAATGTTCCGCAATCACTTGGGAAGTTAGACAAACTCATATCATTGTGAGTGAAATTATTCCATATCGATTACTACTTTGAACACCACAATTCATTTTCATTTTTATCTTTCTTTTCTCTTGATAATAATTTTTATTTTTTGTTCACACAATGTGGACAGCAATGTGTCAAATAATTTCCTGACTGGACAAATACCTTCTGATGGTCGTCTTGCCAACTTCCCTAGTGACTCGTAAGTAACAAATTTTAGAAACCTTTTTCATATATGATGGATTGGTATTTTTCTGAGTAATTTTTAGGGTCTAGATTTGGTCCTCATATCCGATAAATTATACAGCATACACTTGAACTGTCAGGCATCTATTTGGCTTGTGATGCAGCACTCGGCTTATACAAGTATACAACTAATAAAATATTCTGATTTAGAAGTGCGTCTTATTTCAGCAATGCCATTTTACAATCTGTTGTATTTTAGTTCTTCTGTTAACATTTACTTCATCAATTATGGCATCCTTATTTGCCATTTTTCCAAACAGAATTGCAAATAATGTTGGTGTTGTTAAGTTATCTTTCAAGTTTTAACTTAGTGCAGATACAATGCACAATGTCTTTTGATCATAACAACTTATGTAGTGGAAGTGCATATATAATGGTGTGCCTAGGGTGCAGTTGTATCCCCATTGAATAAAGAAAAACCTGAAAGAATTGGGTACGGTAGAAAATGTATGTTAGAGATTTTGGCCACAAAGAGAGTGCCTTCATATAAGTATTATTAACAAGCTTGAATTTTGATATTTGCAACTTAGAGCAGTAGAGCACATAAGATGTATCTTTTAAATGCTGATCTCTAATGCTTATTTGCAGCTTTCTTGGAAATCGTAAATTGTGTGGTCAGCAAATTAATGCACTCTGCAAAAGTAGTGCTGGAGGTCCTATGCCATTTTCCCAGCCTCCTTCTGGTAAATCATCATTTTAAATTTGGTGAAATTTCCCGTGAGGCTATCTTCTGATTGTCTGCCAGATTACAACAACTATACATTATGAAGGATTACTTTTTATTTTTTGATGTCCGTTCTATTGCTATATAAGGAAGTACCTAAATGCTATTTCAAGCAAGGAAACTAATTCATATCCGATTAAATAGTACGAATGCCATTGGCCAACAGACTTGGCATCCTCATATCTGTAAACCTTTTTCCTTGTGCTAATATTTTGACTTTTGCATGTATATTTGTTGGGTTATGTATATGAATTATGTTCTTGTCTCATACTAACACTCTACTGATAATTTCTAGGCCCAGCCAAGTAGTATTTCAATTATGATATACACTAGAGTTTTATTTGTTATTTTGGTATACTGCTAATTAAAAGCTCAACTCTCAAATTGACTTTTAATTTAACAGCTAAGTTTTAGTGTTTGCATGTCTCCTCTCTCTCCCTTTCACACTTGTCTCTCTCTTTATCTATTTAGTATTTACCACTCAATCTATTTTCATTTTCCTGTTTACCTTTAAAAGTCTCTTACCATTGTAACAAAATCTATTATCTCTGATTTTTCAGCCCAAAATCAAAATAAGAAAAAAGATTCAGAGAGAATGCTTATAAGTGCTTCAGCCACTGTGGGTGCTTTGCTTTTGGTTGCATTGATGTGTTTCTGGGGCTGCTTCCTCTACAAGAGGCTGGGTAAAAATGATGGTAGAGGCCTTGCGATGGATGTTGGTGCAGGTGTCTATCCTTCACTTAAGTATAAATAGTGAATTTAAAGTTCATTTTATTGTGACCTTTGCTCTGCAGTTTATTTTGTTCCTTTATCAAAGACCTTACAAGTTTCCATGCTTTCAGGTGCTTCAATCGTAATGTTCCATGGAGATTTGCCATACTCTTCAAAGGATATTATAAAGAAGTTGGAGACACTGAATGAAGAACACATTATTGGTTCTGGTGGATTTGGGATGGTATACAAGCTTGCAATGGATGATGGCAAGGTGTTTGCCTTGAAAAGAATTGTCAAAATGAATGAGGGCTTAGATAGATTTTTTGAAAGGGAACTTGAAATTCTTGGAAGCATTAAACACAGGCACCTGGTAAATCTGCGAGGATATTGCTATTCTCCAACATCAAAGTTGTTAATATATGATTTCTTACCTGGAGGCAGCCTAGACGAAGTTCTGCATGGTAAGAACACTTTCTCCACTATTATATCATAATCATATAATGTGCATTTATTTTTTAAAATCAAATAATAAACACACGGGTGAATGACATGGGAATGGAATGGAGATATTTTATGTTCTTAGAAGCAATTGTCATTTTCCCAATACAATTGAGTATCAATCATTATTTACCTTTGTTTAGAGTTTGAACTGCAATATAATATAGCAATTTCTTTTGTTGATTTCTACTAACTGATTAATTGTATCCTCATCAAGTGTGTGTTTTTTCCTGTTTATGTTTTTCCCTTTCTTGGGTGAAACTTTTGTGGAAGTAATTGCTTGGTGTCTTGACTCCTGCGCAGAGAAATCTGAGCAATTGGACTGGGATACACGAGTAACTATAATCATGGGAGCCGCAAAAGGGCTGGCATATTTGCATCATGATTGTTCACCTCGGATAATACACCGTGACATAAAGTCTAGCAACATCTTGCTTGATGGTAATTTTGCAGCATGTGTATCTGACTTTGGATTGGCCAAATTACTACAAGATGAGGAGTCTCACAAAACAACAATTGTAGCAGGCACATTTGGATATTTGGCTCCAGGTTGGATGATTGAACATTATTATCATTTTCTGTTTATTGTACTTATGGTAAATATGGATGTGGTCTCATAGATACTCCTATTGGCGACTCCAATTCTTTTAGTAATCTCATGTGCAGACACGCATGATGAACACCTTGACTGGTTAATTGAGATGATTGCTAGAGAGTAGAGGCAAATAGCTATTACATGATTTGTAGCACAAAATCTTTTGAACTCTGTTCCTTGATGCATTCTTGCTGCATAATTTTCATGCTAGGCATACAGAGACAATATGCACTAGGAATGTGAGAGACCAGAAAACATTGAAGGCCTTTGATGCAGATCCTTATCCACACATTTGTCATTTTTTGGACATATGAGCATTTGCTAGATTGGTCTACTTATATTTTATTGTCTTCTCTAAGTTCTCTTCTGCATCATAATTTGTATTCTTGTCCTTCAAATATCTGGACCTGGAATGCACTTGCAGATTTCTGATTCTTCCATCAGTGATGTGGGTTTTTCTCTAATACCCCCTTTCTTTTGCAGAATATATGCAGAGTGGCAGAGCCACAGAAAAGTCAGATGTATACAGTTTTGGGGTTCTGGTGCTTGAAATATTAAGTGGAAGTCGTCCAACCGATGCATCCTTCATCGAGAAGGGCCTAAACATTGTTGGCTGGGTATGCTTCTCTATTGTTTTTTGTTTTGTTTTGTTTGTTGTTTTTATTTTGTTTTAAAAATATTTTTGCCACTTGGAGAGTGTGGTATGACTGGATGATTTACTTGCTAGATCCCAACACAGTACTGCATACTAGATATCAAGAAGGGTAAGAAGAAAGCTAGTATTTGTCCCAATTATTAGAAAAAATAAAAAACAAAAACAACAACAACAAACAATCAAACTAGCCCAGACTTATTACTGGAAATAAGAAACCAAATCTGTTTGAATTTAAAAAAGATTCTATAAACTCTCAACACCAGTTCAAAATTAAACTCAATAATAAAAAAAACGTATTGTAATCAGCTCTAATTTGCAGCAACAAACTAGGATTTTTCCATGGTTTTTGTTCCTTTGTGTAGCCAAAGTTGGTGGCTCACACTTTGCATTTCAGTGAATGTGTGAAAAGTAATGAAAAACATGCTCTGCCAGTCTGCCTGATTGACTGGACATTGTTCTTCCCTTGAACTGCACTTATCAGACAAGTATTGAACTCAGATATCTAAATATACTAGCCCCATTTAAGCTCCCTCTACTGTTATTGAATTGATGAATGAACCCAAAATTGGTAGGATGTACTCTAAACTTTGAATGTTGACTAGTATCCTAACATTGAACTAAGAGACTGTCTGTATTTAAATATTACACCAATGATTTAGAATTGGAGTTCTTTCAGTTACCCTGCTAAAATCCATTTCTGGTTGTAAAATATTCAGCCTTTGTGGAACCCACATTTCTAGGATATTCCCAGTGCCATATAAAATTGTCTTGTTTAATACATTCCTTTTTCATATTTCAGTTAAATTTTCTGGTCACTGAGAACAGACCACAGGACATAGTTGATCCACTCTGTGAAGGCATGCAGCAAGAAAGCCTTGATGCCCTGCTTTCAATTGCAATACAATGCGTCTCTTCTAACCCAGAGGATCGACCCACTATGCACAGGGTACTCCAGAAACTTGAATCTGAAGTCATGACTCCATGTCCCAGTGACTTCTATGACTCAAACTCTGATTGAAGGAATAATGCTAAAAAAAGCAAGGGAGATATGCTTCTGCAGCTTCATTCAACAACAAAAAAATGCACATAGCTAATCACAAGTGTCGATATCAAGTTATCAACCCACAATCTACAATCGTCAATTTCTGCTCTGTTTCATTGTGTACTCAGATTTATGATCCATCAATCTGCAATCAAGCTTGTTCTTCTTCCACGTGTATGCAATGTTCATTAGGGATTCAGCATCTGCATTAGAATTTTCATCTCATTTCCTACTTCCCTTTTTCTTTCTTTCTAGGCCTTCACTTTTTTCTGCTTTTAAATTTATTTGTATATGAAAGGATTGCATTCCTTCGAACTTGCCCTTTTCTAGATTAATAGGATTTCTGTAATTATACTGCATACGATACGATTGCTGGCATTGCACCAATTCGTTTTTGAACTACGCAGTTTATCTGTCTTTGATTTAGACATCCATGCTGTCACGCTGGTATATTATAACACCAAATTTGGCACAATCATAATTACAATGCATCATCATTATTTTTGTATATTACACTGGTCGAGATGAGTTTTTGTTGCAGAATGTGTTCATACTTCATATAAACCCAATATACAATTCTCTTTTAAAAATAATAAGCTCACATGAAAGCCAGAATGTGAGACTATATATAACTCAACTTGTAAAACAGTACGAAAGTTACTCTATGCATGATGCCCGTCGTCCACAGTCCCCCTTCTCATCATCTGTACAAACTCCTCAAAGTTGATCTTCCCATCCTACAAGGTGAAATTTATCCCCCGTAAGAACTTTTAGTGCCTTGACAGATGAAACTAGTATAGAAATGAGTGAGGATAAAGTTTGGGCACGATTTTTCTTACGTTATCTGTATCCACATCGTTAAGGATCTCATCAATTGTAGCTTCATCGCCCATGCCATATCCTGTCATAGCATGCCTAAGCTCGTCTCTGGTAATGTGTCTGGTGAACACAAATGGCACAGTTATAGAACGTTCGGAAATGACATTTTCAAATAATAATAATAATAATAATAATAATAATAATAATAATAATAAGCATACCCGCTGCCATCCTTATCGAAATAATTAAAAGCCCTGTGCAAGTTCTCGTCACTCTCAAGCCTATGCCGATGCATGGTGACAGTAATGAATTCAATGTAGTCTATAGTCCCGCTCTTGTCAACATCGGCCTGAGATGGTATTGATACTGTGTTACCTCAACTTAGCGATAAACTGATCCGTGCAGTGTGTGTAGATATGAAGCATTAAAAAAAAAAAAAAAGTATTAGAAGTTCTTACGGCATCCATAAGCTGTTTTATTTCCGACTCTGGGAGCTTGGATCCCAGCTTAGCTAACCCGGTTTTTAGTTCTTCGTACGTGATGCTGCCACTCCTATCAGTGTCGATGTTGTTGAACATCTCTTTCAGCCCCTTGATTTCTTCTTCTGGCATGGTTTCTGCAATGACCTACAAGTAACATGGTGTGATTTCCCTTCTTACCTCTACATCAACGAAACTTTAGGGGGGCGTGGCTATTAAACTGGTACCTTTAGAGCAAGCTGCTTCATCTTGTTCATTGCTCTAAATTGCCTCATTCTGATCAAAACAGCACTATGAATAGGTTTGTCTGATGCAACACCGTCTTCCTTGAGCCATGGATGTTCTGTACCACGTAGAACGATATAAACTTTACTGGGCATTAACACCATAAACTAAGGTTTTGGTAAGAGAATTTAAGGTTAATATGCACCTACCAAGGGCTTCAGCTGCAGTTATCCGGTTTTTGGGATCCACTGTCAACATTTTTCTGATAAGATCCTTTGCACTGGGAGATATGGATGGCCACGGAGAGCTTTCAAGATCAAGTTGGGCCTTCAAAATTTCTTCAAATATTGCCTTCTCAGTTTCTAGGGCACCATTACAAAGATTATTATCAAGACAAAGAAATATAGTTGTTAGAATCTTAAGATTAGGCCAAGGTTAGTCAAAATTCCACTTACCAGCCCAGAATGGAGGAAATCCACTCAAAAGGATATATAAAATGACTCCAGCACTCCAGACATCTATCTCCTTGCCATACCTACGACGCAACACCTCAGGTGCAACATAGTAAGCGCTTCCAACAATATCCTTGTATATTTCACCTGAAGAATGATTGTCATTTAGATTCACGGTTATCAAAATTGATGTTCATTGCCACCGCTTCGAAATTTGAATAGCGGGCAGAAATTGATTCCTTCTTATTATACACTATAAGATACTGAGGATAACTCCATAATCGGAAAGCTTGTTGATACGATAAACTACAGAAATTTTTTATGTAGATATGATATTTCAAAAATCATTACTTTCACCATTTCAAACCGCATTCAAATTTAAAGCAAGATAGTGACTTGCTTATTAGTAGGTATAGATACTATTTTCTGCTACGAAAGATAACATTCCATTTCTCTCTTGTTCTCCCCGAACCAAATCTAAAGCAACAACTTCAAGTAGTTTTTCATTTTATGAATCTTTTCATATCGTAACTTTGGTCTATCCAAGTGACAGTATATTCTCATGCCCATGAAACACGATAACATATGCCACACAAAGTCACAGGAAAAGTTAACCTAAGACTGTGGATAGGGACAAAAGGAAATTAAAACATCCCTTGACCTGGTTGACCTGTCACTCTCGCATTGACCCGGTCATGCTTGACCCAAACTAAAATCTACCCACACATGATTTTTGTTTGTCACAAAGGTCCCAACACTATCAAAGTCTCCTTTTAACAATCATATCAAACCCAAAATTTCTTCCTTTTTGATCCCTTTCTCCACTTGACTACAAATGAATTCTTCATTCTAATCCTTTAACCACAAAACCCCGCCAAACAAGCATCTAACCGAGTAATTAACTTATCAAAGACGAGGCTTTGGTCTGGCTCTGATACCAAATTGAAGCTGTTCTCCATCTCAACTAAAAGCCTAAGCTAATAGTTGGATTGCACATTAACGATTTCACTCCTAGGAAGGGGAAGTATCATTTTCTCTTAAGACTAAACTGAATGAAAATGAAATTACATAGAAACAAGATATCTTCATCCAGCTATCCTTGTACTGTAAAGTAGGATTATTGGCAAGAATGAGTGAAATTCATAGCTGGCAATGCTAATATGGAGGACATAGTGATGATGAAGTCCTATGAACATAGTAAACTAATGTCTTCTAAAGTTTCAAAAATTAATCATATTCATAACTCAATTAAAAAAATTTAAACTTTACCTTCTTCAATGAAGACAGAGAGTCCAAAATCTGTGGCCTTTAGGGGAGAATCATCATCTTTACTGACAAGCAAGAAATTCTCAGGTTTAAGGTCCCTATGCATCACTCCCATGAAGTGGCAAACATGAACCACATTCACAATCTGTCTCCCAATCCTCGCCGCCTCTTTCTCGGAGTAATTCCCCTTGGCCGTGATCCGGTCAAAAAGCTCCCCGCCGGAGCAAAGCTCCATCACCACATACAGATTCTCCCCGTCCTCATAGGCGCCCTTGAACTCCACGATGTTGGGCTGCCCAGTCAAATGCTGGAGCATCAAAACCTCCCTCCTCACGTCCTCAATGTCCTTGGGAGTCACAAGCTTCGCCGTTGAAATGGATTTGCATGCGTATTTAAACCCTGTCGCCTTCTCCGTGCACAGATATGTGATCCCGAACTGCCCTCTCCCCAGCTCTCGATCAAGATCGTACACTGTTCTAATGTCCACATATGGCTTTCCAAGAATGGGTCCCACCGGGGAAGCTGACGGCATTGGTTTTTGCGGCGGCGGCGGCGGTTCAGTTCGTTGTTCTAGAATGGGGACTGGACGATACGCAGAAGAGCTTGATAGTATTGGGATTTCACGAACTTTTGAGCAGCAGAGCCCCATTTTTTTGCAGAGGGAGAAGAAAGGATTGGTGGGGTGGAAGGGACAGAATTCAGAGAATGGGCGATTTATATAGGAAGTGTAATCGGTGAAGTTAATGAAACTTTGTGCTTTTTAAGGTGCTTTGCTTTTGCCTTTGGAGTGTTCTTTCTTTCTTTCTGGTTGTCTTATTGAAGCTGCTTGATGTATTATATATAATGGGTTTTGGCACCTTTTTCAACTTCATACGCTTTCTCTACTAATATTCTTTGCCTTTGTTTGTATACAGTATCTGGTATCTCTGTTTTTTTTTTAATCAATATAATTGTTTAAACCGCACAACATTGCAGCTGTTAGGTCTCGATTTTTTGTTATTTAAGTTTAAATCTTGCCTAACTCTGGAAGAGGTGAATTACGAGTCCCATGTACACAATATTGCAGAAGGCATTGGGTGTTAGTTAGGCCCTCGAGGGGTGCCTAAAGAGCTGATTAATTCGAATATATTGTATCTATTTTTCTCACTCAGGACTATGAGTTGTTAAACTGTTACAATACCACATAATTAGTTCGAAAAAAAAAATCGACTTGGCCGAGTTGATCAAGTCGGTCGAGTAAGGCGCCTGACTCGGCCGGCGCTCAAATCGGTGCTTAGGTCGCCTAGTCGGCAGGGTAGTCAGTCGACTGATTAAAAGCCGTGTGGGGCTGAAATCGCTCAACTTAGGAGCGTCTAGCACTTAGTCCTTGCCTAGACCGCTGCCTGGGCTAATTTTTTACAATAATACTTATATAGTCACAAGGACGGGTTCAATAATATTTAAGAAAAATGATTAATATTCGAAACTCTACAGCAACAGGTAATTGGCTCTATCGGCCGAAGTGTGGCCCTTTTGGGAGAAAAGAAAGACTATAAGGTGATGATCGAAATATCTGATTACTCTTTGTTTTTTTTTTTTTTTTTTTTTTTTTTTTTTTTGAGTGGTACTCTTAAAAGACAAAGACATGGAAACGTGTTAGGGGGTCGAATTTTCATATGAAAACATGTGCTGTTGAGACGAAGCCCAAAGATCTTTGTTTTGTCAGGGTTGTGGGATCTTTGTTGGTTTGGGCTGGGCCACATACAAAACGACACCACATTTCTACAGAATATCAGAGTAAACAAATTAAAACTTAACCATAGACAATACATAGTACTAATACAACAAAGCTGAAAACCCCATGGCTGCATGAAGGGAATGTGTCTTAATCTTCCCAATTACACAAACAACAAACCAGTCCAGTAAGTTGGTTTAGTTTGATTACCTCTAGGAGGTCTGACCATGGTCGATAGTCCTCACGCAATTGGGGTGCACTTCATACCCGCACTCGAGGCACTGGTAAGCCCACCCATGCCCCTGCTCGTCGCACTCACAACATATGTAAGCTCCACCCCCAGTCCCTTCCGAGACCAGACTTAGCTCATGCTTATGCCCCCCGTGGTGCTTCGATTTTGGAAGCCATTTCGCCTCTTCGTCCATCTCCCTCTCCAGCGCCTCCATTCTCGCCTTTGTGAAGGGATATGCATTTTCTTTATACAGGCATACAAGGTTCCTCCCTTGTTTGCTCAGAGTTTTGCCATCAGGCCCCAAGATTACCAAGCTGGGAATCCCTCTAATGTCGAAATACTTTCTTAGGTTCTTGGCATTTGGATCACCAAAAGGGAGTGCCAACCATGGCATCGCCTCGAAATAGCCTTCGAATTCCATTTCCCCATCGTCGCTCGACACATAAACTATTTCAAAATCCTCACCCTCGGGTAGCCTCTGCTTAATCTTTTGGTAAACCGAGATTAGCTTGGAAGTAAACTTCAACCCCGGGACACACCATTTGGCTGAGAAATACAGCCCGATTGTTTTACCAGTTAACGAAGTGACAGGCACCTGCAATGCAAAGATATTTTGAGTGTTACTGACTCTGTTACAATGCAATATCCGTTCATAACTACTTTCTCAACCTACTGAAGCACAAAGAGTCAATACTGCCTCCACTGAGGCTCAAATCCACAACCTACCCATATGGGAGTCTGGCTGCAATGCAAAGATATAATGCAGAAACAAGTTGCAATTTTGTATTAACATTAAGTCCACCCAAGCTGGAATTCAGCATTCTTGCTAAAGTACTTACCTTTCCCATTGTGGAGTGGCCTAAAACAAAATCTCTATTGCTGTTCGTTAACAAGTCTTTCAAAGTCTGCTTTTCGTGTTTCTCCCTCTCGTCCTCTCGCAACTTCTGCAACCTCTCTTTCGTAAACGGAAAAGCTTCCACCCCATACCGATAAACAAGTTCAACCCCATCATAAACTATTGCATCATCTTTGTTATTGTTAGGCTGCAGAACAACCAGGCAAGGAATGCCCTCAACATTGAACCTCTGGTTCAAGGATTTCTTGGTTTCCAGGTCTGAAAATGGAATTGCAAGCCAAGGCATGGATGCCCGGTAAGCAGCAAACGCCTCCGAGTCTTCATCAGACGAAACAAAGACTATCTCAAACCCAGAATTGTAATAGCTAAACTGTTTGTAGACACTGACTAACACTTCGGTAAACTTTTTACATGGCGCATACCAGTTAGCCGAAAAGTATATACCAATAACTTTGGTTCGAAGCTCAGAAATTTTCACCTGTGGGCACCAAATAACCACTTTCATTATGGTGAGAAGCACTAGTTGATGATCTTAGAAACAGAATTTCTGGAAATGATAATTGTGGGCCTCAACCATATAAGAAACTAGATGCTTACATAAAATTAGCAGGATTTGAGGTCTATATATCTACACATATCAGCATACATACAGAGATCAATATATATAACACTGTTAATCCAACTGAAACCATTTCAATCAAGAAAGTAATAAAGCCGATGGAAACCTTAATTATACCCTGCTGCAATTCTGCAAATTGTTGGAAAACAGGGAAATCGTTTTAAACAACATAAGAAAGTGAATCCCAGAGCTTCAAAGTACCTGAGTTCCAGAAGGGGAGAGGAGAAAGTCACGATCTTTGGTGGCAAGAAGAGACAATAAGAATGTGGAGCCAACAGAGACCATCATCTCCTTCTCCGCCTCACCTGCGGCTAACATTTTCTTGATTATTTCTCCATCTGCCACTTCTTCATCTTCCACCTTGAAGTTGAAACCATGGCCGTTGGTTTCAAGCTCCTTCACTTCCCTCATACCCACGCCCCGGTCTCTCTCTCTCTCTCTCTCTTTCAAGAGTTTTGATGTGAACGTAAGGCGGGTGTTGTTGATTTTCTTCACTGAATAATCATTGCGTGCGCAGGCGCAGCATGCATCCCCATCAACATTTAGGAGGTTGTAACACGTAGCATTCTTTTCTCTCTCTCTCCTCTTAGCTACACCTCACCCCTTCAAAGTCCAAAATGTGCTGACGCCGAAATAATGACAAAATTATAAACGTGTACCATGCGCCACACTCCTCGCTAACTACGACCTCTGTTGCAGCCCGGGTTAGAGTCACGACTCACGACGTATCTTTTAGTAGGTTGGTATGCCACACCTGTCAATCACCCGCCACACCCAATCCACCTACTAGTTTAACTAAACAATAAATGAATTTGGGTAACAGGTAGTATTTGAGAGATGAGACCGATATTTAAATTTGTGGCAGGATGAAAATTATGTTTAAAGTTGACAGATCTCTTGTGCACAGTAGCATTTCATCATGGTTGCTGAGTCATTGAGTTGCAATAATTTACATCCTCTTAATGGTCTTAAGTCGGGGTGTGGAGAGCTTTGGAGTTGAGGATTTAACCTTTAGAGAGAGGGTTATTACTTGATAATTACAAGATGTCAAAAGTTTTTAGTAAAAATAGTATTTTAAGTAGTTGATAGGATATACGCCCAACCAGATGGTTCCACCTGCCGACAGAGGTCCCGCATCACCCAGTATCAGTTCGCCATGCGCTGGTCCATTGTCCTACTCCCGATCGGGTCTGCCTGACCGACCGCCCGACCGATTACACTTGGTTACCTGTGCACACCCGCTTTACGTAAACCTATGTGTCAACAACAACAGATGCCAAAGGAACAATTCCTAGCTGAAGACAGGTATGCACCACGTGGTCATCATGCCGGTAGTCCGGTTTGTGTTCCTCTCACCATGCCTATAAATAGCCATGTTCACACTAGTGGAGGGGATTTTTGGACTGAGAGAAGGAGACCACTGAGAGCTTCCCGACCGCCACCCGGTCAAACTTAGAGTTAGGTCGTCCTATTGTTCTGTGTATTAGTACGTAGTTATATTATACAATTAAAAAAATAGCTATATTATATTGTAGTACAAATATATGTGGGTCCACCTCTAATATTTAAGTAAATTCGAATTTTTAGAAATAGGATGAAAAAAATAATATATTTTATGTTCAAAATGAACAATAATAGATGAATATGCAATTGATTCTTAAAGTAAACATATTTGAGATTAAAAAATAAGAGAAGTTGAATGGTGTAGTGCTTAATTTGTGATTTAAGTTCAATTAGCCTAATCTTGGTAATGAACTTAATAAGTTTGGTACTTAGCTTAAGCTTTGAGGATTAAACACCTACAAGTGTTTATAACACACCATTTCTGCTCCTTCCAAAAGGAGTTGGAGGCTCCATCCGGAAGCAGTAATAAAACTCTGGATGAAGTGGTAAGTTTCGGAAGGAGTTTTAAGGACTTCTTAATTATACTGTTTTTTGATGTGTTTTCTTCAAATTTTACCTTTAGGTGTATTCTTCTCGATTGCTTGGTATGATATTTTCAATTTATTTTTTAAGAATTAACATTCATGTTAAATTTTATATCATAATTTACCTTAGCTACTAAAATTACAAAACAGTGAACCAAGGTTGAAAAAATCGTTAGGCACCTGAGGACCATTTAGAGCGCCTAGAGCGATTAATCAAAGCTTAGGCTCGATTTTTGCAACACTGAGTGAACCGAGGAAATCCTCACCGTTGAATCCTTTGTTGCAGGCATATATATAATAGATAACGTGGCGAGCGGAGAAATGGTGCAGTGTGCATGGCAGATTGGGAACCACATCATATACGCTCCTGGCATGGGCTGAGATATATATATAGTTGACTGTTTAAACTTTAAAGATAAGTGTTGGGTGTTGGTATGTGATTGGGCCACGTAATGGTGGACAGATGTGAAGAAGAAGAAGAAGAAGAAATCAAACAAAAATTGTGATGGCGAAAGCTGCAATCTTCAATTCCAAAATCTATTTAATTATCTTATGCTATCAATTTTAGCCGGACACTTGTCCCCTCCTAGCCTCCCACTGATTGCTACATTTCTACTATTGTATCTTATTTATTTTCGTACATTATGTTTCCAGCTTATATCAAATTAACGAACAATGAGTATGAAAAAAGATAAATTATGAGTTTTCATTCCCTCTTATACACTTCGCGCACAATGAATTTTCATAACTTTTGATCGAATTTATAGACTTTTGATCGAATTTATAGACTTTGGATCTTTCATTAATCCCACATGTATTCAGTGAGAATTGAAAATCTACCTGGTCGTTAGACTAAGGCTTGCAGGATGGTGATCCTTAAACCATTGGACTAAGGCTCTGTTTGACAAACCTAGCTGAAAAGCTATAAGCTAAGAGCTGAAAGCTGAAAAAGAGTTGAAAGATCAAAAGCTATAAGCTCAGAGCTGAAAACTGAAGAGTTGTTAAGCTAGTTGTTATGATTGAAAGTGTTTGGTAAAATTAGTTTTTTGATAAACTGATAAATGTAAAAAGACTAAAAAGGACATTTTCATAAAATTTAAATTAATTTGTTTACATATTAAAATTTAACATTTTTTCTTTAAAAAAATTAACATTTTTAAATAAAACTATTAACATAATCATAATCTAGCATCTCATAATGAAGTAACAATATAGCTGCAAATTTCATAATAATAATAATAATAATAATAATAATAATAATAATAATAATAATATTTGTGGTGAAAGTTGCGGATAAAGGAAAAGAGAAAAAATGTTTTAATTGAGAATGATAAATTATGTAATTTTTTTTAAATAATAAGGATAAAGATGAAAAAAAAAAAAAAAGTTGAAAAGCTAGGAGCTTATTTTGAAACGCTAAGTCTCTCAGGACATGTTTAATTTTTTAGGCATCCATCCTGATTAGTCAACTTCTCCATTATATCTCATATTTTCAACCGAGAATTGGATTCTCAAACTATCACAGAAAGCAAGAATTTTGTACTAATTGATCTTCTAACGGAACATTATTTACACGTATTATTATAAGCGAGTAACAATATATATACTTTCACGTTTTACTTTATTGTGCTAAATTTAAAATAATTAAAGAATAAAAATAACAATCTATATTAAATGTAACCAATTATATAAAAATTCAAGGAGAAGAAAGAAAGGGGCACCAACTCGATAAAATTAACATGCACGAACCCTTATTAAGCTGATCTGACACCCACACTGTCATCTATGATCTAATTCTTTTTTTTTTTTTTTTTTTAATGTTACTGGCCCTATTACATTGTAGTATCTGTTCATATACTTTCTCAACCTACTGAAACACAAAGAACCAATAACGCCTCCACTGAAACTTGAACTCACAACCTTCCAAATGGAAGTCCAACCCGGATACCATTAGACCACATAGTCCTGGTCAAAGTATCCATAAGTCATGCTTCTATTACTCAAAGTATTAGAATATGATAAGGTACACTTACAGGGCGTTTGGTTAAAAGAAATTTAAATTCTCACATAATTTTAAAGGCCATAAAATTTCTTTGTTTGGTTGAAAGAAATTGTAATTCCATAAAATTGCAATTCCCCAATTTTTATAGAATTAAAATCCCATACCTCCCTTGGGATATTAATTCTTGGAATTTTAGGAAGAAAAAAAGATAGTGATAAATCAAAGTTACTCTTTCCTTTTTTATCCTAAAATTAATGCCTAACAACAACAATGAACATTTTTTACTTTATACTACTTATTCCCTTTCAATTCCCATGTATACCAAACATTGGAATTGAAATTCCCAGTAATTCTATTCCTACAAACCAAACACTGAAATTTAATTAATTCCTACTTTATTCCCCGTAATTCATCTTCTATAAAATTGCAATTCCTTTCCTACATAATTCTCACTCTCCAACCAAAGGCCCTGTTATAGTTCTATTACTCTAAAGTATCATTTAAATAAAATTTTAAGATACAATTATGTATTACTTATACATTTACTACTTAATATAAAAATGTTTCTTAATTCTGGCTTTACAGTGTTTTATTATAGACAAAAAAAAAATTCATAAATGTATTAAATATGTTTTTTAAAATTTGAGTGTCCAAGGCGATAATAATTTTTTAGATGGAATGAACTATCATATTTGTCATAATTTATTTTATACTGACATTTAAGCGATTCAATTCAGAGAAGATGTGATTCAATTGACTACGGTACTAACTTAACATAAAATCATAAATAAAAATTATTCTTGGTAATATCTTTTCGCTTTGTCTCTCATATGTAACTCACAAATTATTATTTATGAACAAACAATTTGTCTAATAAATAGGAAATACATTTGAGTAATGAGTCATAGCTTTTTTTTTTTTTTTTTTTTTTTTTGATAATTAAAAAAAAAAACAAAAAAAAAAAAAAAAACAAAAACAACAGATTAGGAATGAAACGTAACGCCGCACCCAACACATGACATCGCCCCATTTTTTAACTTTTTCTATGATTGTTATATGAGCTGTCGGATGCGACAACTCGCTACGTGTTGCCTTTCTGTGACGTTTCAGACAACCATTTATTTTCTTTTATTATCAATGAATTATTATTCCGTACTCCGTAACCAAAAAAAAAAAAAAAAAAAAAAGGAGAGAGATAGATGATGAGAAAATTTTATTTCGGTGAATTTTGACAAAAAAAATGATCGAAATGACTATTTTTGTCAAAAAAAAAATAATAATCGTGAATTAAAATTGCATGATTTGAAAATTGTGAATCAATTCTGATAGTGTTACTATAGTCGTGGGATCAAAATGACAAAAAACTAATTTTCCTTTTTTAGTATGATAATAATCATACTCCACTTATTCGATTAATCTTTTCAAAACCAATATTATGTATTTTGATTGACTAATTGGTCTGATAAAAAAAAAAAAAAATTATGGATATTCTTGGGAATGGGCCCATAAAAATATGTGGCTAGGTTTGTGCTTTGTAGTTTCGAGAAAATTCGAGTGTGATATTTATGGGAGGCCCAATAATAAGAGTTCAAGGACCATCACATCCTAATTAAAATTGATAGCTAGATCAGACAAGTTTGTATAGCTGTCCCTTTAACTACAATGGGCCCCAATTACGGCTCGTCATAGCCCAATCAATAACCAAAGATCAATAATTAGGCTCTATTAAATGCTCTATTTGTATTCACAGCATCACCATCAGAGCATAATATTGAGTTATTAAAACAGCAATGGAGTTCATAGCTGATGTGAGGAAGTGGTTCAAAGCAAAAGAATCTCAATGCAACAACCAAGATAATGGCAGAGTGGGGCTGCGCGTTAAACACAATTCGTGCCCACTGGGGCGCGTCAGAGTGGCCGCCAGCTCTTTTAGCCTACTTTTTACTGTTTTTTTTTTAAATGTTGGATTTTTTTTTTCTCTCACATTTTTATCTTTTTCCTAATTACACTTACAAAAATCCTCAAAAATCGCACCGGGAATCAACTACTATGGATGCTCTCATTAATCACACCTAGTGACTTGCTGAATAAGTTATTGTTGAGTTTAATCACACATTTTTATTAACTTAAAAAGTCTTGATTAAGGTTTTTTTTTTTTAATTTCATTTTGGCTAAATTACACTATTTGTGTTACTTATGGGACTTGTTTTGACACTTTTTTACTTGGGCAAAGGATGCAAAATTAAAAAAAAAAAAAAAAAAAAGAAAAAAAAAAGTCAAATTCGGTTAAAACTAACAAAGGTACAACTTCATGTGATTTAAGGTTTAGGGTTGACCAAAGGGACACTTGAAAATGGGTGGTTGAAATGTCACATTTCATGCAATTGACGTGAATTCAATTCCTCCCCCCTCTCTCGCTATACAGGTAGATATTTGTTTTGTGCGGGTGTAAAGTTCAGAGTTGGGCAAGTAATTTTAAATCTTTCTTCATCAGTATTTGGTAAATAGTTAGTATTTGGTAAATAGTTGTTATTTGTTAGCTAATAGGATTCGCGAATTTGACTAGTTGAAAGTATTAGCTGAGTGTAGAAAGATATTTGAAAAATTAGCTGTTATTTGATAATTGATTATATACAAAATCACTTTCTCAAAAAGTTTATAGAAAAAGTTGTTTTGAGCAATTTTTTGAATTTTAGCATTTTGGAGCAATTAGTTATTACAAAATGATAATTAATCAAACACTTATATTGAACATTTAACCAAGTCAAACAACTAATAACGATTAAACAAAATTGACTGATAAGCTAACTATGTTACCGAACAGGTCATATATCTTGAAGTATTGAACATTTGAATCTCATGAACCCGCCTTCAAACGAATCAAATCTTCAATGTTCGTGACAAAAATTAAACGTTCACATTGCCATGAAAAGTAAGTCTTAAATAAGACTTTTCATCCACTAAATAAATATTTTAGAAGGAAATAGATCTTTCTAACCGTATGCAATGTATGCTAGTACAGTAGTACAAAGGTGGTTGCTACTTTTACTATGTGGTACTGCTCTCTTTAGGAATCTTAATGTGGTCATGGTAGATTCTGTTGGTCAATACTACAACTGTAACAGCTTTAAATTATGAGTTGTTATAATGGAGGTGCACAGTTCTAAAGTTATTAAATGTATGAAGGAATATGCTCAGTACAAAAGATCAGTATTTATTATTTCACCAGCTTGGGAATTTGAGTTTCTTTATTTACTACAATTCCAGAAGAAGCCATCAATGATCTTTAAGCTCACCAACAAAAATGGAACTTCTTTAACCTACATGACCAATTCCACAAACCATGGACTTCTTGTCTTCTTGCTCACCCATATATATTCAACTCTATTTTTTAGCACGTAACATATTTCTACAAATAATGTACAATTCACTTATTAGTTTGACATTTTAGTTAAGATAAGACACATTATATTATAACCATTTTGGTATTGGAGTTAATTATGATCCATGTGTTACGTGTATCTTGCTTCTCTAAAATATTGATCAATATTTTTTTAATTTCATTCTTTTGAAACAAATTTTAATGTCGTGTAATAAAAAAAAAAGAGTCAATTATGTTTAATTAAGAATAATTAATAGTGCTTTTTATAGACAATTAATAGATCTAATTAGGAAATACTTGAGCACAATTGGAAGTGTCATATTCAACATATAAATAAAGAAGTAAATTTATGTGATGATTGAATGATAGCACATATGTGTGTTGGTTTGAGAGAGTCCCAATTCATTCTTCAATGGGTTTTAAACCATATTGGCATCTAGTATCTAGTATAATATAATAGTATTGATGTTGTTTTGTTAAGCTTTATTTAGTTTTTTTTTTTTTTTTTTTTTTAAATATAAGTAGCTATTCTACTATAAGAAAAAACATATTGTTAGTTGTCTTACTGGACTTAGTCCAATGGTTCAAAGATCAATCTGCAACTCTGAAAGTCTTGTTCCAGTCCCGGTCGACTCCCAAGGTGAGGGTTCTAGGGTATGATCATTGGAAGATTTATAACCCATAAAAAATTAATCCGATGTGATTAAGAGTATCCACATCTGTAAATTTTAGAAGGTTTTTGTAGTGATTAAAATCAAAGTGGAGTTTTTACACAAATGAGGAAGGATGTTTTTGAGTTGTTTTTTCTCCTGCAAGACTTATGTTTTTTGTGGGCCCCACATGATGAGAGAATGACGACTTGTTCCACGCCTTCTGCCTAGCATGGCGCGTGCAATGTTGGTGCGTGAATCATGTTTTTTTCCTGATTTTGTCAGCTTTTTTTTTTTTCTTTAATTTCCTTTTTTCCCCTCTTTCCTCCTCCTCACTCTTACATGACTGTGACAAAAACCAACTCAAAAGTTGCTCTAAGAATCCTTTAAAACTCAGCTTAATGGTACAACAGAAACTCCCTGAACTTTATAATAGGAACCACTTAGATATTTTAATGGTTGGCTATAATTGAATATAGTCATGATTTATTATTGAATCAAGATACCATTATTAGTGGTAAAAGGCTAAAATTGTTGGGTATGGGTGATTGTTACGTTGTTACCTTTAAATTGCGTAGAATGAGATAGAAAACCAAAAAAGGAGGGAGACATTAATGGGAAGAAGGAAGAGATAGATAGATACTGGAGAAAGGACTGGCCAGCTACCCCATTCAAATAAAAGCCTCAACTAATTACCCATTATTTTGGGTCTGCAGAAAAAGGCAGCATAAAGTAAAGAGCACCAAGAATCAAGATGACTTTGTTGGGCAATTTTGCACCGTTTGATTTCTTGTTTTTAGCAATTCCCCACTGCTCACTTCACTGCTAATAAAAGCCGTATAGGCTAGCCACCTCCCAATGCATTCATTCATATTCAACGGTGTACAAGCAACACTGTATGTATGTGTCTGGGCAACAACACCCCTTTACTCTCACTTTGCTTTGTGTGATACTTACACCCCACCACCCATATTTCTCTATGGAAAAGGATAAGTGGACTCTAATCGAGTAAAACTCCAACCTGTCACGTAAGTAAGGAATATAAAATGAAGTAGAAAGTGAAAGTGTGTGTATTATTATTCCTGTTACGTTTTTTATTAGAATCTTGCACTGAGTAAATTTTATTTTTAGGTAATAACCTGCCATTTAGACACTAGAGATAAACTGCATTGTGAAGATTATGTGCAATACACGTGTGATGGACTCTACCAATTTGTTGTGTCTAATTTTTTTTGAATTATTCGATAATGAATGGCTTGAAATTCATGCGTTTTAAAAAAAATATTGCAGATTTTAAGGATTTGATTTGATTGTAAAGTAGTGTAATTTTCAAGATTTAATGATTTGAAGAATTGAAAGTGACGCACTTTTAATTTGAAGGGTTACTATCATTACAACTGAATTACTGTTCAAAAATCTTTAAATTTCAACTTCGGAAATTATTTGATAACTACATAAATATGGATCAAGTGACACTTGTTAAATCCATAAAAATTAGTCAATGACATATGCCCCAAAATTTAGAATCGGGATTATGTGTTATACGCTATTCATAATGGAACCCACTAATTAAAACTCTTTGATCTGTGTATCTGGAATCACTCTTTTAGTTGAGGCAACACCAAATTAGTATTTTAACTTCCATTGACATTCAACTTCACAAATAGAAAATGTCAATTTGAGACTAATTTCATATCACTTTATTAGTTTAAAACACTCTCTTCTTTTAATGTAGTTTTTAATTTAAAAAAGGTCATATTCTATAAATATTTATAAAAAAAAATCTCTTTGAAATAAAAAGTTAAATTTATTTATAATTTTATTTGAAAAAAATACCCTAAAGGGATTAAAAAAGTTTATGATAAACAGTTTGAGATTAAAAAAATGTATATTGAACAACTCCCATAAAAAATCAATCTTGAAATCGCATGATTACCAAGTAAATCGTCCAACTAATTTAACTGAAGTTGTAAAAGATTCAAAGTCATGAACTTTGACATGACTCTGATACCAAATTAAAACATGTACTTATCTCAACTAAAAATCTAAGCTCATAGTTAAATTGAACATTAATGGTTATATGCTCAACAGTTATCTCGAGAAATACTTTCTTAAATATATAGTAAATAGAAGTATTAGAGTTATTATTCGTATTTTTATTAGATTTGATCTAATAAGTTTTAGTACTTGATTATACTCTCGACATATACACATGAAGATGGAATCATATATATTTTGTGCTTTTATTGAGACCTACATTCAAGCTAAGCATGCAACTTTTGTTTGCTTACACCGTTTTCTGTAATTCATACATTCATCCCCAATTTCAAACTTTTATTTATTATTAAGTCCTTCCTTGCCTTTCGCCAATTTATGAACTTTCACCATTCTCACACTGTAAACATTTTTATATTTTGTGTAATAATAATTAATCCTGCAATATTTGTATGCTTTTTTTATTTATTATTATTTTTGGGTAGTGATTAATACCAAAGCCATATTTTTTGCCAATAATAATTTATTGAACAGCTGCTGCATCATCATCACATGCTACAAAATTCTGAAAAAGGATCTTACAACTACTCTAATAAAGCCTAATTTACAATAATTATATTTTTTAAAAAATTAAGAAATTAGGAAAAAAATAAAGAAAATTCCTAGCCTAATGTTCTACACTGTCTAAAACTCTTCTTTCTTTTTTGTTTTTTAATTTTTTTTTTCCTAAGACCTAAAATACGATTAAAATGAATTACCATTTACCACCATCATCATCACGCATCATTTGGTAAATTCCCAGCAGTTAAACCACATTTGATTGTTTAGCAAGGATTGGTCTCGGGCGGGTCGAAGAGCTCCGGGCCGAGCATGGTTCGGCAAATCGGGCAAACGGGGTGCTTGGCGAGCCACGTATCGGCGCATTCTAGATGGAAGCCGTGGTTGCAGCCGGGGACCACCCTCGCCGCTTGCTCGCTGCCGATGTCGTCCAGGCACACCGCGCAATCGTGGCCCATCACCAAATCCTTGCCGGTGATCGCCGGAAGCTTCTCCAGCTGCGCGGCGGAGAGCCCCTTCTCTTTCGTCCCTTTCATCACCTCCTGGCCGCGCTCCGGGTCGGCGGCGCCGCCGTTCTGGTAGGTGGCGGCGTACCAGAGCAAGCAGATGTACACCAGGAACACGGCGCTCATGCCGGCGCAGGGGAGAAACAGAGCCAAAAACACGGAGAGAAGCATTCTTAGTAGTAGCTAAATATATGAATTCGAATGAAAAATTTTAGAAAACTGGGAATGTGGGTTTTTCAAGGCGATTCAGGGAAGCATGAGAGAAGAATTAATTAAATGTTATTTGAAAATGGAGGGCGGCGATGGTGGCGGCGGAGAGAGAATATTTGAGTGGAGTGCAAAGCACACCAATTTCACGGTGAGACTTGGAAGGGAAAGGGCAACTGATATTTATATGGGCAGAGTAAGGGCGTGTTTGGAAGTATGAAAATAAGGAAACATATATTCACGGCTTTTCAGGTGAGAAACGAAGAAAGTGCCAAAACAGGTTGGCTGAGCGTTGGTGACGACTGACACTGCTATTTATTTCAGGAGACTAAGCGCTTTGCATTGGTAACATAACCAAAAACAACGAACCAAAATGCTTCTCGGACAAATTTTTTAAATTTAAAACTATTAACAAATTCGTCAAATTGTTAACTTAATTAGTAACAATTAAGTTACAAAAAGAAGAATATATTAGCTTTTTGATTTGAGTATGTCAGCAATGACAATATAAATTCTCTTTTACTAATTAGAATCACAAAGTGAAATTGTACAAATTCTCTGGTTTCCCTCATCACTTAAAAATAAATACAAATAAATTTATTAAAAATTTATTTTATAAATTAATTTATAAATATTTAATGAATGGTACTATGGTAGCATTAAAGGCCATTGCTTAAGTGAAAATGATTTGAATCATCTATATACATTTTGAATGGGACGAAACTCAGTTAGTTTATTCTCATTTTGTGAAATTAGTGTTTTGCCTAAATTAGTGCAATATTATTTTTTTTTGAAAAATAATAATAGTAAATTTTAAATATTTATTATTAATGGTGGTTTGATTATAAATGGTAAAAGAAAGAATGAATGAAAGTTTTGGCATTAATGTTTGCCCAAATATATACGATTTGAATTGGGGTTCGTATACTGGAGTCTACTGGCGTATAAGTAAAAAACGTGTCCACATTAATTTATGGTAAAATTATTTAAGTTATGGACGGGCGAGAAAGGAAATAAGATTTTTGTGAAGGGAAAAGAAACAGAAGGAGAGGACGCGTTTCTTGAATGGCAAGAAAGAAAACGAAGAACGGGGACAGGCTTCAGTGACACGTGCGCTTTTATGTGACCGTAAGGGCGCGTTTGGGCCTCCGCTTTCCACAGCTTCACCTACAATCATTAATTCGCGAGCTATTGCTTAGCTGTTCGCCATTCCCCACTTCCACTCAAAATTCACCGCACACAGACTACTCCGTTATATTTTAAAGGGACATTTGATTCAGGTTATATAATATAACTAATGTTATATTTGTTTGGTAATATAATATTTTTATGTTTGATTCATGTTATATAATTTTTTTAGAAAATGTCACATAACCTCTATATTAAGTTTTTAAGTATTAAAAAGGAATGTGAGATACCCTCCAATTTCTTAGGTAATATCGCATTCTCTTGTCTTATTATTAATGTTGGGCTTTGGACGTTTTAATCAAGTTATCTTATTATCATTGTTTTATTTACATATCTTAGTTTTAAACCAAACACAAGAATATAATATTATGTGAACCAAACGCCTCCTAAGAGTGTTGCTATTTGTACCACCTTTAAAAAAAATAGGTGTAAATCATATTGGAATTATAAAAATAACAAAAAATTCAACAATTTTATAGATGGTGTAAATAGTCATAAGGAAATTCATATTATTATTTACACCATCCTGGTCAAATGTGATTTACGAGATTATATTAATAATTTTTTAATTAAAAATTTAATTAATTAAAACATTAAAAAAAAAACAACAACAACAATCCCTCACCTTCTCACCAGAGAAGGCGAGGGAGGTTTTTTTAAAACAAAAATTATTAATGTTTTTATTTTAAATAAAATTAAATAATAAATATTTTTTAAATAATAGTAATAATAATATAATATTTGACTAGATTTAATGAAGGTGTTGCAAATAGCAATTTTTTGTTTACACCACCTATAAAGTTATCACACCCTCTACCAAAAATAAAATAAAGCTATCACACTTATCAAATGGTGGTATAAATAGAATTTCCCTATTTTAACCGTAATCGTCTCACCATATTAAATACATATATTTTTTAAAAAGTATTATTGACCATGTTACATGTAGTATATGTCATATATTACCCCCACTGAAACTCGAACTCATAACCTTCCATTTAAGAAAGTCACTTCATATCGCTTGATCACAATGTTTTTTATAATATACTCTTTTAAATTTGTATATTCAATTAATCAGGACATCATTTTTAATAAAGAATATATATACAAAAATTGATATCGTCACAAGTTAATGAGTATTAAATTTCTTTTCGTAAAAATAAATTTTTGCTAATATTTGTGTGTATGCCGTGACGATCTCATTACGGCCAGCTGCATATAAACTGGCAGTAAATACATGATTACGTTACTTTGCGTTTGCGTAGAAACGTGGCCTAACAACATTTGTCTCCTTGTTTTAGAGGACAGTGCACCTCCACCAAATTCAATTCCACTTTTGACCTTCGGCTGACTTTCCTAGGGGTTTGCGTAACGCCGTATCTTAATTCATTGTCTTACGTTATTGTCTTGTCGTGAAGCGATGAATCGCCGGAAAAATGATGAGGTAATAATATGTGTTGTGTCGACGAAAAACTTTTATGCAACGTGTAGTTTTATGATTCATTTTTTTTTTCATATCAAACTAAATGTTGATTCAAATGATTAATTCGATGAGACATAATTAATTAGTTAAGTAGTTTTTTTTTTTTTTTTTTTTTTTTTTTTTTTTGCCTAATAAAAAGAGTATGCATAAAAGACTTAGAAAAAGAAGAAAGTAATTTTGTGAGTTGGGGAACTTAGAAATTTAAGTCTGTTAATTAAAAGTGTAATCTTTTTTAAATATAAAGAGTTAGTATTTATGCATAATAAGGAATACAAATAGGTGTAATTAAACCAATATAAGTTAAATAAGTGAAATTTATAGTCAATATATAGTCTTTTACGACATAGGAGAAGAAACTAAGAAAAAGTTATAGGCTCCGTTTGCTAAAATAGTTAGTTTATTAGTTAATTTTAGCTTATTTGATCACTATTAGTTATTTGACTTAATTAAATAATTAATGTTAATGTTTGCTTGATTAGTTTTTTGTAACAACTTATTGTTCCAAAATGTTAAAATTAAAAATGTTGTACAAAGTAATTTTTCGATCAATTTTTTGAGAAAATTAATTTGTATGTAAACAACTAACAACTAATTTAGCAAACACTTTTTTACAATCAACTAATGCTATCAACTAGTCGAACCCACAAACACAATCAACTAACAATCATTTACCAAATACCTCCATAATATAATAAATCGTCTTGAAACAAGTGATAACCACATAATAATTTAATACTTTTATTTACTATTTAAGAAAGTAATTCCTCGTATTCAGCCCATATGTGCTTAGTATGATGGGGGAGATTTACAGTATATTTTGCAATCATGGCCAGATAAGATATTATTGTTGTCTGAGAATGCAAAAAAAAAAACAATCCTAATCGCATTTTAATAATCAATCAACTTTATTGAATCACTATATTAAATATTTATTATATACTCCTTGCTTTCTTTATTTTAAATAAATATTCAATCTTGCTCTCTGATAATCACTATAATCTCCATGTCATATAAATTGTATAATAATCAGGATATAATTTTTACAAGATAAAATTTATGGTACCAATTGACATCCATAATTCTTGCACCGTGTAGAATCTAAATTTTTTTAATGTTGTATCAGGCCGTCCCCAAGTAACCATACAAACTTCAAAACTTTTTTGTTATACCTGGTGCAAGTGTTACCAATATAGTAAAAAATTTTAATTCTTACAAGTAGCGCTTAGTATCTAACTTTAAAAAATACAAACTTTCAAAAAGTGGGCTATTAAAATAGTAATTTGAAATAACAAATTAAGAAGCAATTTGAGTGTCAAAAAGTGGGCTATTAAAATAATAATTTGAAAAATAACAAATTAAGAAGCAATTTGAGTGTCAAAAAGTGGGCTATTAAAATAATAATTTGAAATAACAAATTAAGAAGCAATTTGAGTGTTCTTATCATCAAGTTAGGCCCAGCGGTAGTAAAAACAATCATTATTCCGGAGAAACGTGGTCCATACAATTGTATAGATGACAGTCTAAAAATATATAAAGTATATTATTCTAACTAATAAAATACATTATTTTAAAACATAAAATATATTATTCTAAATCACAAAATACATTATTTCAACATATATAAAGTACATTATTCTACTTCATAAAATACATTATCTTGCCCCATAATGTTCATCATTCTAACATGTGCGTGTGTCAATAATTTTTATTTTTTTTAACATCAAAACGACATTGTTTTGAACTGTGGTTCACACAGATGTATGGACCACAGTGCTCACAATAATTTGCCAAGTAAAAAAAGGCAGGAACATGGTGGCTTTCTTTCTTGGAACAGTAATAAGGCATATATATATAAAAGAGGGTCATGGTTTCCAGTTAAGCTTATACTATAGATAAGAATGGATGCTTTTCCCCCATATGACCTTATCTTTTGCCTTTTGTTTGAGATAGAAAGACATGATGAGATGAGATTTTTTTTGTTTCATACCCTTTCTTTTACCCAATCACCTTTGCACTACCCCCAATATATGTGCCTTATATTCATCTTGTCCAGTACAAATTATTTTGTTATTAGTTTTCCTAACATGGATTAAATCATCGTTGCGTATGTAGATGCTTATATTCCGATGCTACAATGCAACCAACAAATTAAAACTATATAATTATGCACCATACTCCTCGTTAAGAGGATCGAATTCTCATCGTCTCACTTCATTATAATATTACTTTTGACAGCCCAAGAGTAGCTCAAGCCGCCTTTATCGATCTTTTATTTGTTTACAACTTCATCCTAGCTTGTATTTGGTCACAAATCACGTTACAATGGTCAAAAAAGTAGTGCTAAACTTTTTACATAGATTAATACGAATGCCAACACTATCTATATACATGCATCGTACAGAATCTATAAAGAATGGCGTAAGCTGCCTTTGTCTTTCAATTGCATGGATTAATCGGCGTCTAGGCGCTAGGCAGTCGGCCTCTTAGGCACTCAAGGGTCCGCCTAGGCGGTCCACACGTTACAATGGTCAAAAAAGTAGTGCCAAACTTTTTACATGGATTAATACGAGTATCAATACTATCTGTATATATGCATTGTACAAAATCTATAAAGAGTAGTGTAATCTGCCTTTGTCTTTCAATTGCATGGATTAACCGGCGTGTAGGCACTAGGCGATAGGCCTCCTAGGCGCCCGCCTAGGCTGTCCCCAGGCGCCTAACGATTTTTTCAACATTGATTTCAGGCATAGTAATATTAAAAATTAAACATTGGATCCGAGTTATTTACAAGGGGCGGTTTTAGATGAGAAACAACAATGGCCCTTCTAAATTATGTTGGGCCACTTTAATTATTCGTCAAATTATTTACTTGGTATCTAATTTTAAATTTTGTACGGTATATTTAGAGCGATGTACTGGCGAGTGGTTTTGGTGATTGGTGAGCCCATTGCCAGCCTTGCGTTGGGACCTCATCACTGTCTTTAATTTATGTGTTAGTGCTTTTTTCTTTAGCTTTTGTTTATATGTATCTGTTCCACTATTGAGTCAAGTGATGAATGCCATAGAAGAAAACGAAGAGCAAAAGTGGGGGGAAAAAAGTGTTTTGTACTTGATCGTATCTTGACATTTTTTGCTTTTTTAAAAATTTGTTTCTTGTAGATAAGCTCACGCCTTAGCAACAACTCTTATTTTTCCTATTATTATACGTTGTAATGCTTTGAGGCTAATCTTGATTTTTGTTGGGAATCCTTTAGCAAATTGGAGGCAAAGGACGTCAAACGTTGCAATGGGTTAGGGTGGATCGGAGTGATTATGATCATTATCCGATTTATTATTATACTTGTTTTATTTAGCAGGACTCGCATTAAGTCTAGTTTTTAAAATATATTCTTGATTCATTGCCTATTATTACTCCAACAGAATTCGATTCACACAGGATCGAGTGTGGGTGAATACTCGTTCAATTGTAAGGATGACAATCAATAGGGTGGGTTGAAATGACTACCACCTGTTTGATAAATGGTTGTTAGCTGTTAGCTGATTAGGTTAATTAGAGGGTATAACTAGTTGATAATATTAGCTAATTGTAGAAATATGTTTGGTAAATTAGCTGTTAGTTGATGACTGTTTGATATAATTTCTTTTCTCAAAAAGTTGCTTTAAGTAGCTTTTTGAATTTTAACATTTTGGAGTTACAAAAGCTAATTAACCAAATACTTGTATTGATTTTTTAACCAAATCAAACAGCAATAATGTTAGGTGGGAATAGATCCCAATACATAACAGGAGACTGCTGGAAAGTAATAGATGCTAAAGAATGCGTTAAATAATTGTCTGATCTAGGAATAAATTTAAATGAACATAAATCAAACGAATACGTAATTTCTCTGTAGCTATCAATAAATTTAAATGAACATAAATCAAGCCAATGTAGGAACGAACTGTATATGGTTGTGAAGTAAGATAACGCTGTAATAAGAGGCAATCTATGTATAGCTCTACTGACCGCTCGTCTCGATCTTTTAACCATGATAAGGCTTCCTTGCATGCCAATGCTTCGGCCATAAGTGGTGAAAAACAATCCGGGAGAGGGGCACTGAATGCTGCAATATATCCCCCATTCACATCGAGGAGAACAACCCCTACTGTTGCCTTGCCCGTGTCGTGGAGGTACCCGGCATCGACTCGACAAATTCTCGGCAGTGGGACGACATTTGTAGTAGCAGAGGCAGCCGGCAGCCCGTGTGGCAGTGGTGGTTCTCCGGCTGCACTCGGGTGATCGGGCACCGTTCTAGCGTCGGCGGTGGGTCGTGTTTGACGCCATGCATGCATGGTTGCAGTGGCCACCGCAAGCAATTTCCTCGGTCGCGGAAGGAACGCATCCCAAACCGCTCCATTCCGTGCTCTCCAAAGATGATATAGAATTGTTGTTGCATATGTTATCCCATTAGAGTCTAGAACATTTAGAAGTTCACTAAACTAAATATGAAAAATATTTTTCACAATATTAGGGATTGGAAGGTTAGATTGCCCCCATATGGCCTTTGCAAAATCACACAACACTAAAGCATGCATAGTGTCTTTGAGATATCCCTCACATGGCACAACTTGTATCTACATCCACTCTCTTTATAAGCAAATTTGTAGTAGTATGGAGGATATCACTAATAGCTTTCCATATGAATGTTTTTCATTTCTGGGAAATTTTGAGTCTCCATAGGACGAGCCAGTTATTAAAAGCCCCATTACTGTCCTCATAATTTTCTGTGATGCGCCTATAGCCACTTTTCACTAAATAAAAGAAAGAAATTAGTTTTAAGGGAATCAATGAATAGAAGTTGCATTGTGAAAAAGAGAGTTTGAGAAGGGTTTGGAGAAATTTTTATTCCATGTTGAAAACTCATGAGATATGTTAGAATGTTGTAAAGGAAATATTGTCTTATAATACAAAGGCAACTTTGTACACTTTTTAATACGTAACGCCATGAATTTAGATAACGAAGTGGATAATTGTTAAGGTAGTTTGAGTCTTTCCTCTTGGATTGTATACATTGATGAAGACGCAACATTCCTACATAGGCAGGGAACCTAGGCCCTAATTTTGTGGAAATTCAGGCATTAATGGATCGGACTTGAGAACTGGAATCCATGAGTACTAAGGTTTAAATTGTTAGTCATTTTATTAGTCATGTATAGGCCGAGCTCATACATGATGGTTGAGGTCCTAGTAATTTAATGTTTGGGCCTAACTGTGTGCTATGACCAAAAACTTTGCCCATGATTGTGGAAAGCTTCTTTAGTTACAAGGTATAAAAACTCAAATCATTACACTGTTGATTATAATTCAAATGGTTGATTATAATTCAAATGGTATGGTAGACCACTACTTCATTTTCAGTATTTTGTAAATTTATTTTTAATATATTTATTATATTTTGATTCAAGTTCATTTTAATGTATTATTTAAAAATAAATATATAATATACTAAAAATAAACTTATAACAGTGGTTTATTTTGCAATGTGGATCACTATATAATTTGTTGTGAAACCTTTTGCCCATTAAGGAATGAAATTCCCCTCCCCATCTCTATCTTTGGAGAGAATTTTGTTGTGTTCATGTATGTTATGTGTATTCTACATGCATCGAGCATGCGTGAATTTAAATATACACCTATAGTTAATTGTTATTCTCTATTGTTTTTCCTTTTAGCAAATGTAGTAAGTACTACGGAGTATAATTTATTCGAATATTATACATATATGCATTGAATACTTATGTTTACACCTTGCCGATAAAGTGCTAGTAATTTAATACATAACAAACATTGTATTATTGTATTCATGTTCTCATTAAATTAAGATATCTTTCGTTATTTTTTTTTTGTCCATAAAATGTAAAATATATTGTTTCAAGAGTCTCACATTTAGGCTTGATAGAATTGTAGATGAGTAAATCATGATAACTCAACAATTCATGAGGTGGAATGACTAGTGCCTAATGCCTACAAAGATTAACCTGCACCAAAGGATGAAATCCTATGATACAACAGGACCCCTTGTCGCCTTATTCATAATTTGTCGCATAGAAAGGAACTGAGCTATCCACACTATGGTTGTCAGGGTTACATTCTTTGTCGTTGTCCATAATCTACCATTTAAGAATCAACTGAGTTGCCCGTGCTACCATTATTTAACTTATGTATGTGTTAACTCTTGGTTTAATTACTTAATAGACTTTCTCAAAAAAAAAAAAAAAAAAAACTTAATAGATAGTTAATTTTGTCTAAATTGATACTCTGTAATATATCAGCATATGCATTTTTAGATATATTATCCAAATTTTAGTATTTTACCAATTACTTTTATTTTTAATATAATATTACTTTTTTAAAAAAAATTACTAAGTATTTTTTTTAATACAAGTAAATAAATTTGTCAACAATCTTGTGGTCTACGTGAAGTTACTCAAACGAAAAGTCAAACAAACACGTGAATCCCTCTGATCTTTTTGGTTACTCTCTTTGTCGGAGACTTTCATCGGGCGACCGGAAAACTAGAAAATGGAGCAGTTTTACACTCTGAGGCCGGAGTTTTTGGTGGTGGGGTTCTTGTTGTTCTCCGTTTCGGTTCATGCTCAGATTTCGGTTCCGTCGAAGCAGGATGGGTTCTGGTACAAGGATAGAGCAGCCGGGATTGATTCCATACTGATCGAGGCGTTCCTGGACCCGGTCTGCTCCGACAGCCGAGACGCCTGGCCTCTGCTCAAGCAAGCCTTCGAACACTACGGTTCTCGCGTCTCTCTAATCGTTTACCCCTTCGCATTGCCGTATGCTCTTATCTCTTTGAATAATTTGGTTATTTGAAGTAAAATGATTGGATTAGCCAAAATTGTTGTCTGTTTGGATTGAAATGCCGAATATTATGTCTTATTTTGATGGAATTTAGAGAAGTTGAGACCTTATAGAGGTTGTGAATTAGGTCAATTGTGTGAAGATTGTAGCCGGCGTTCTGAAATCAGAGATAAATGATAGTAATATAATGTGGGATGGTCTTGGATCCACACAGAAGAATTGTCAAATTATGGTGTGTTTGAGGTAAGTGTAAATATGATATGTTTTAGGTCAATTGAGAAGTTATCCAATTTGGATTTCTCTTTGCCTTTTGGTATCTGAATGTGCAATTATGTTTGCTTTCATGGTTTCCAGACATCACTAGCTTTTTGAGAAGGAACTTTGAAGTCTGGTCTAGATACAGATTATAGCAATTCAGCTGATTTGTTGTTTCTTGGAATTGCAGTTACCACGACAATGCGTTTCTTTGTTCCCGAGCTTTGCATATTGTCAATAAATTCAATAGTTCTTCCCCATACAAGTTACTGGAGTCTTTCTTTCGAAGCCAGGTCAGAACGCTTTTGTTCCTAGTCTTCTGACTACCTAGATCTTTTGGTAATTAGCTATGGATATATAAAGAGTTTGCTCACATATTCTGCTTTTAAGTGTTAATAATCTTTTCCAATTTAAGCATTGGTTGATAAATGATAAGTTATAACATGTGTGTATATTGATCCTCGAAAACTATTCTGCTATCAACCTTCTTTGGAGTATGATCTGCAATTCCACACGGACTCGATATAATACCATAGAATCATATGTTCATGATCATTGCAGTTTTTTTGCTTGTGGCACCCTTGTGAATTGGTTGCTGATTTGTAGTCATGTCGCTTTGATGACGTTTCAAATTTGGAATTACTGCTTTGTGGTTGACATAAAATGAACTGAACATGTTATGTTATTGAACAGGAGGAGTTTTATAACAAAGCAACTTTCAACTTGTCCAAAGCATCGGTTGTAGCTTACGTTGCCAAGTTTGCAGCTAATGCAGTTGGAAATACATTATATGCTAAAATTAAAGCTGGATTTAGCGACTCCACAACTGATAGCGCAACAACATATTCCTTCATGGTAAAAAGAAGAAAAAAAACACAAGCTTTACTGAGTCCATATAATGCTAGATTCACAGTGGACACTGAAACCTAACCATGATCTTTCGTTTCATTAACTTGTCTTAATTTGTTCGTGCTATTTGACTTGGTATTTTGTTTCAACAGTATGGTTGTTTGAAAGGGGTTTACGGAACACCGTTCTTCTTTGTGAATGGCTTTCCATTGCCCAATGCTGGCTCAGCCTTGGCGTATAAAGATTGGAGAGTCATCATTGATCCACTGGTCGCTGAAGCAGAGACGAGCAGGGTGCAGCCTTCACAATAGTTACTATGAACCATTGTGCTCTGTATCACAGTGTGTTAGTGCTTTTTTCTTTAGCTTTTGTTTATATGTATCTGTTCCACTAGAGTCAGGTGATGAATGCCATAGAAGAAAACGAACTGCAAAAGTGGGGAAAAAAGTGTTTTTGTTGATCAATAGCTAGAAATGAAAAGAGCGAAAAAGCATAGGTTAGTTTCATAAATAATACAATTTGTTAGGTGATTGAGAAACTCACAACATGGGCAATTTTGACAACAATTTTTATTTTACTATGCTTTAAATTGAGCTGGATTAACCCTATAGGGTAGTTCAAGTGGCAAATGAACTATTTTGTGGGGGAGAATTTCGGGATAACCCGGATTTAACTCCCGTAAGTGACAATTTCCTTTGGGCCAGCTCTCGTGCCTCCCGAAGCGAACAGGAATTAGTCGGTCGGACGGACCTGGATCATTAAACGGACAAAAAATGACCCGGATCACATAGTAGTTTATGTGTATTACGGACAAAGAAAGATCTGGATCACATCATAATTTATGTGTATTGTGTATTATGTTAGATTATGTGTATTCTGTTATACAATTATGTATATTCTATTATATAATAATATACATTGAACTTTTTTTAAAAGAGTTAACAATAGACATGGGAACGCGAATTTAAAAAAAAAAAAAAAAAAGTACAAAACAACGTCGTTTTGGGTCAGGATATTGTGCGTCCAGTGCTTTGAGGTCGAGCTAAATCATTGCCCATGATTGTGGAAAACTTCTTTAGTTACAAGGTACAAAAACTCAAATCATTACACACCGTAAACTATAATTCAAACGATAAGATATACCACTAATACATACGTTCATTTTCAATATTTTGTATATTTATTATATTTTAATTCAAGTTCATTTTTAATGTATTATTTAAAAAATAAATATATAATATACTAATCCAAAAAAAAAAAATATATATATATATATATAATATACTAAAAATAAACTTATATCACTAATTTATTTTGTAATGTAAATCACTGTATAATTTGTTGTGAAACCTTTTGCCCATTAAGGAATGAAATTCCCCTCCCCATCTCTATTTTTGCCGAGAATTTTGTTGTGTTCATGTATCTTGTGTAGTGTGTATTCTACATTTTTACATGCATCGTGAATGCATGAATTGAAATATATATACATATAGTAAATTGTTATTCTCTATTATGTTTTTCTTTTAGCAAATGTAGTAAGTACTATAATTTATTCGAATATTATACATACTAGTATTGTCCCGTGCGATGCACAGATACATATTATAATCATTGTTTTCATAATATAGTAAATAAATCATTAGATAATTAAATTGTAATTGTTTAGAACAAAAGACATTTAAATACCTTAACTAAGTACAACTAATATACTTAATATTAAAGGGTTACATAAAATCAAATAATTACAAAATTAATATATATTACAAAATGTATTATAATAATAATAAAAAAAAGTATATTAATACCAACAGCTCTGATCTCAACCGACATTACTAAGAGCATCCACATTAGTTGGGGAGATTTGGAGGATAATGTAAGAGTGATTAGGAAAGAGAAAGTGAGAGGGGAGAGAGAAAAAAAAAAAAAAAACAAAACAAAAAAAGTTAAAATATAAAAAAAAAAAAAAATAGATGAAATACCCTCCCATGGTTGCTTTTTTTTTTTTTTTTTTTTTTCTTCTTCCATTCTCCCCTCCTTTGCAGGAGAATTATTTTTGCATTCTTCCTTCTCCACATTTGTTATTATCTTCAACATGAGAGAATTCAACTTACATTATCTCCATATTATGGATTGATGTGGTTGCTCTAACACATTTTTAACACAAAACTGAGTCAAATAATTTTATTATTATTACAAATTACTAATAATAATAATAATAATATCATTCATCCCCATCTCTGTCTTCACTCTTCAACCAAATAATTCATTTCCAAAAGCATCACTCTATGACCTTCGTCTCTGCACTTTCCGTTTCAACCGTTCGACGACCACCTCGCTTTCCGTTTCAACCGTCCGATGACCACCTCCTTCCCAATCGTTATACTCTGCACCACGGGCACAGAGCACTGTGCACCCCGTGTCTCCCAAAACGACGTCGTACGAAGTTGACGTGATTATGTGTATTTGTTTATACAATATGTGTATTTATGTATACAATTATGTGTATTTTTTATACAATTATGTGTATTTGTTTATACAACTATGTGTATTCTAATATAAAATTATGTACATTTTTTAACATGAGAATTTTTTTTAAAGAAAAATTAACTGCCAACATAGAGTAGCGAAATTTTTTTAAAAAAATCTAAAACGAAAACGATGTCGTTTTGCATCAAGGCGGACAATGCAATGCGCACACGAGTGCATGATATAAATTGCCCCACCTTCCCTTAACACTAATATATAATAATATAAACTAACAAATTATTTATTATATTAATATAAATAATCAAATTTAATAATATTACTAAATTTAATAATCAATTTTATTCGAATTTGGGCAATATTACTTCTCTACCCTAACCGCCCCTTGTCCTCAACTCTGCTATTTTCTCTCCCCACGCATTCCATTTCAGAATGTTCAGTCCCATTCTTCTTCGCTACGCCGGTGGTTCAACACTAAATCCAGACGCCGGTGGTTGGTGAGATGATCCTAACACTGTTCGTATGGCCTACTTTGTCTTAGTTAACTACTTCAATTTTATATCTGTACATTGTACTTCAATTTCTTAGTTAAGTTCTCGATTCCGTTAAGTTATCTAGTATATCTCTCACTTAATTCCAATTCTATTATACAATTTTTAAGAAATTGAATAGATACAGTGAACCCTAACTGTGAAGGGTTTGTTTACCTACTAAGTCGATGGTTAAGTGTAGATCTGATGAAATCCTTCAATCGAAATCACATGCATGACGATTTTGACAACAAATTTTGTATTTTTATCCCCATTATCTTGTAATCTATTTGGTGGATTCGTAGTTCTAAAACCAGATTTGAAGCAAAATTCTTTCATTTTGTTGTTATTAGTATTTTTTTATATGCAGACTTTCTATTTAACAATTAAGTTTAATATTATGTTAATATTTTTCAGGCACATGTTGGGATGCAGAAAAAGTAAACCGCAATTTGCTACAAAGATGAGTTTTTTCATTCTTTAGATTTAGAACAGATTTCAATCTTTTCCAGATTTTTTGTTCAGGTTCATGTTTGTATATATTCATAGGTTGACCGTAAAGCTTGATACATGCTAGACACAAAACTATATTGGTTCATGGTTATGTGATTTATTTTCTGACTATGTTTGCAAAGGTCTGCCTAAGTGTGTACTAAGATTTACTCTCTCCTGTGGTAGTTTTCAGTCATACATAAGATTTTTAAAACATCAGTGGTGTAATAATCAGAATAGTAGATAGATTTACCTTTGTTTTGGTCCAGATGCTTCCTCTTAGACCCAATAGTGATTGAAGATGCATGTAATTTTCCTCATGTTGTCTTGAGTATGAAAATACTGACTATATGTCTGGAGAGATGGTTCTGAAAATGTTTTCTGATGATGTATGAAGTCTCTTTTATAATTTCAGATTTAGAGAGGAAGGTCATGGGTTTCTTTAAAACTGGTTCAGTGCAGAGTAAAAGATTGATCTTTATTATGCATCTTAGAATACTAAGAGTTTTATGTGTGGTATTTATTGCAAAGTATTCAAATAATTGTTATCAAATTTTGAAAATAAATCATTTCTGCCAATTTGATTTAATTAATTTTAAGCATGAGCCTAAATAAAATAGATTTTTATGTCCTTTTCCCAATAAGTGTTAGCAATTCTTGAAAACTTGCAAATACTGAAGATTATTCATAATGTACATCCTCTATGAGTTTTCCTGCAAAAAGTTAGTTGTTTATAGTTGTGTTTTAATTCTGTTTAACTTATCATTTATTGATGAATTTTCTTTTGCAAATAAAGTTGAATAAAAATCTACATAGTGCTGTGGTAGAAACACCTCAAGATCCCTTGAAGTCAATCAACAATTGTCATAAACAGTTGAAGCACAGAAGGTCATGATATCAAAAATCAAGTTTCATTAGAAATCAGTACTATGTATATTTGAAATAAGTTCCTATCACATTATCAAATTTTTCCATTGATTTTGATGGCTTCCTATTACTTTGCAGGTTCAGAACTTCTCCCTGGTTTCTGAGGTAAGCCTCTATAAATCTTTTAACATTACAGTGTTGCTATCCTTTTTAGACTTAGAAAGAAGTAATATAGATATAGGCCAAAATCCAGTAATCAGTACTATGTATATTAGAAATCAGTAGTAAGTAATGATAAAATAATATTGAAATATTTATTTATTCATAAAGCTTACCTCCTCGTCATGAAATACGATCTGCTTGGATCTGATCCATTGGACTCCTAACATTGAAGTGTAAATATCACTTCCAAGAATATACATGGAATACATAATGTATGAGAGATGAGAGATATTCTTGGAAGGGACTTGTTGTTCAGCAACGTGTGGTTGAATGCATAGGCCTGTGTAATTCATTATTTATAGAATTGTTGAAAAGTTGCATCCTTATTTGTTCTTTTAAATATACCTCTACTATTTTTATGTATTTGAATTCTGAACAGACGTGGATTCTGAACAGACACGACATTGAAGAATTTAATTGTGTATCAACAATGTATTTAATTTTTTATTGATTTGTATTTGTATAATCTGAAAAGTTGCATCCTTATTTATTCTTTTAAATTAAATATATCCTCTAATATTTTTATGTATTTGAATTCTAAACAGACTTGGATTCTGAACAGACACAGCATTGAAGAATTTAATTCTATATTCTTCCCAATTTAATTCAATTAAGTACTATATATATATAGTTTTGGCGGGAACTATAGATTCTGCTATATTATAATAGAAGATGCATTGAATACTTATGCTTACAGCTTGCTGATAAAGTGCTAGTAATTTAATACATTTACAGGGCGTTTGGTTGGAGGGATTTTAAATGGGAAATTCTATTTGCACCACCCATTTTGCTATTTACACCTCCTATTTAATAGGTGTAATAGCTTTATAGGTGGTGCAAATAAAAAAGTGCTATTTGCACCACCTCATTAAATGTAGTCAAACATTAATTTTTATTTTTTTTATTTTTATTTAATAATCAATCTCTTTTTATTATTATTATTATTA